TTTATAACTTATATGAATTATAAATATTTACAAAACATGTTATATAATCAAGGATTTTAGAAAGTTGGAAGTCGTACTTCCGACTTTCGAAGATACTTGATACACAATTTAAAACATAAACCACATTTCTATACTGAGCTACATTATATAAATTCCGAGGAAAACAAAAGTAAAGCGAGAAAAATACAGTAAAAGAACATATGCAAACAATAACAAATTTCATTATTCAGAGTATATCTCTGTTAAATAGCAGTACATATTTTATTCTTAACTAGTAACTCGTCCAGGCTTCGCCGGGTTCGACTCTTAACTATTTTAGTTTCACAAATTTAAAAAAAACATAATATATTATATATTTATGTCGTTCTGGAAACCTTTTAAATAATATAATAATAGTAAAACAATTAACCTATACAGTGGTTTCAGAGTTTTTCATGGCAAAATGTCTGTTCTGTCTTTATAATAGAATAGAATAGATTTTTTACCCTGGACAATTAACACAGCGCCATCTAGTCTCACAGTAAGCAGAACTTGTGTTATGTATACTAGTCAACTGATATCAATATTTCAATATTTTTTTTTTTTTGTAAATACAAATGTTTGCATCGTGCGAGGAATTGTACCACCGGAAGTAAAGTGGTGTGCTAAACTACTATACCACAGAGGTTGTCAAAAATATATATTTAAATTACATAATTCAACGTTGAAAACCGCGGATTTTCGAATTCTTTATAGATAATCCAGTGGGATATATAAAAACCTGAACCCAAATCAACACAAGTAGCTGCTACATTATATTTATGTTATTGCTAACAAAAGGCCGCTTAAACTTTCAGGTAGATGGGTACATAACAAAAGTTTAAATTTTACAATAGGTACCTCTCCGCTTTTAGTCTGAAATTACGTAACAAACAACCATTTCATTTCATAAGATAATCGCTAGGAACATTTTCACTGTTCCTTTAATTTCCTTGGTTACACGGCTTAAATGTATTACCGTAATGGAAACTTAATTGTCAAATAAAATCGTACAATTAAGTAAATTTATTTTATTTAAATTATTTTAGGCAGTTTTACTCACTGTATATTTAATTAATTTTTGTACATCTGACGTCTTTATTTATTGTAAAAATGTATAATCATTATGATAATTTTAGATATACAAATGGAGTTTGGGTGTATTTAAATAACAAAATAAAGCCACATTATAGCACAGATTTGAACGAATTTGTTTTTAATGTAATCGACCTATTTCACATAGACATGGAAAATACTGAATTCAGATTTAATTTCTAATTGGTAGGATTTCGCTTATTTTCAAATTATTACTATATTTTACAATTCTTATCGGCAAAATAGAATTAAATGTGGCAATTCTATGTATAATGTCATTCCGTACAAAAGTATAGTATTAAATATACTTGTTTACTACCTAACCTTAAAAATTCCGTAAACAACAACCCAATAATAAATGGAATTGTCATTTAATTATGTTAGTAAACAATTTATTTTTTTATCAGACATTAATTGAGATCAACATTCAGGAATGGAATAATTAATTAGCCCTGATATTCAGTTTTGTCACAATAATATGTTATTTACACGTACTATATAACACATATTATGTTATCTGTGCTCGTAGTAAAATTATATGTTCACCGCTAATGTACTAAAAATAACGATTTAAATTAAATATCCTTACTTTTTAACCTAATCTAAAGTAGATATCATTCGTGCCTGTACCATGATATCTAGATAGATAAAGTCATATTTGCGAAGTGCTTCTTTTTAAATGTATGCAGGTCACGTCCCTTGCAAAGCAGGTTAGGGTCTGATAACTAAATCAAATTTATTCGTAAGAACAGCCCTTTTTCTGTGCAGTATCCACAAGTTTTTCTATGTTATTTATATCAGATTTATTTTTAATAAATTGATATTGTTTTGTAGTAATAGTGTAATAATAAGGTATAACATAACAATGATTGTTATGTCTGAACTTTATATGTATTTCTGTGTATATTATAATTTATTTTCAACACTAAATTTGATAACTTATGTGCTCTCGTGTTATATATTTTTTATATACCACAATTCACTTTTCCTAGTAGTTATTCTGTCTCCAGTAAAGTAGGTAATAGAATGTTATCTTCAGATATGTCGTCTCAAATTTGGAATATAAAATAAATTAAAACTTCACACCAAATTTCATTATTTCAGGTAAATCGTGACTCGTTAGATCAACAGAGCCCGGCAGACGATTCACCCTAGTTAATTACTCCTTATTTGGGCGTACATTAAATATCTCATTAAGATCTTCATGAATCCAACAATGTTATTACATCCATTGACGTATACGATTACATCATTATTTTATTCTTGGTTTATTCAATCAAAATTATACTATATAAGGATACTAATTGACCATTTGATATTATTATTTGATACGATGTGTGTAAGGGACACATATCTATATCATAATAAATACTTCCACATGAAAAATATATCTAAATTTCCACCTTCTAAATGCATTGTCGATAACTAGGGTTTTCTATTTATTCGCATTATGAAGCTACTAGCAACACACCCTTGCCTCGCATGGGTGTATGGCGTAATAGAGATTGGAGAACTATATGCATGTATTATATATTATAAAGGTACTGGAATATCTTCAAAATTATAGTGGATAGCGTATCAAGATCCCTTGCGTGGTTTATAGAAATTAAACCCGAGAAACAGAGGGATGAAAATATTAACATTGTCCATTAGAGAAGAGATATGTATATTTACAAAAAGAAAAGCTGTTAGATGTTTTTTTTAATATATCTGATAGTAATAGTACAAACTTGGTGTAGTATATTTTGTATTAATATTGCTCTTTATTTTATAAAAAAAAACTGACTACTTAACAAACGTCAACACTACAAATTGCCCTAATTCTGCCAAAGAAACCACGACCACAATCTACGAGTAGGAGTCGCAAAGTTTTTGGTGCATCCAATCGAAATCAGATCATCCGATTACACACAAATTACAGCCTACATACAAAACAACAAAGATAAGAACCCAATAAGCAGTAACAATATTGCTGTCGCCTACAACTTTCCTTCTAAAGGGAACGATTATTAGTTTCATTTTGTTGTTTTTATTGCATCGTTTCAGATAGCTATCTGTACTTGTATTTAGTTAATAATATTTTTTATTATCTTAGTCAAATAATTTGTAAGTATCGAGCACTATCGTATTAATATAAATATATACTGAAATAAAGCTATAATGGAACAGTTATTAAAAATATGAATATTATTAGAACAAGACTTCCAAGTTTTAATATTTTTATTCATATGGGAGCACAAAATGTACAAGATAGATTTTATATCTTTAGAACAGTGTTTGGCAACCAACTCTCTATACATGAACAGCACCACAAATATCAGGATCTCTAATGTCATGACAGGACTAATATCATGACATGACAGGACTAATATGTCATACCTCTATCCCCTGTAACTTCACTGCCTCCCTGAGGAGTGAGCCCTGTAACCGACCACAACTTACAAAACAGCTTGGCGGGTGAAATAGCTGAGTCAAAACACACACAGGCGCTTTCTCTAAAGTCAACCTCAGAAAAAGCTCTTATTGCTGAATTATATTATTGATCTTGTCTATCCACTCACTATGTCCACAATAGGTATTTTCAATGTAATTTTCATCAAGTATTTTTCATATCGAAGTATCAAACCTTTAGATAAAAAATGTCTTACTTCACTATATGTTTAGGTCAAGTAGATATCTTGAAGATAAGCAAAGGTGGTCAAATGCTAATGGCCTCAACCTTAAAGTATCTACGTGTGACACTCTAGCGGGGGAAAGGGGATTGTTAGCAATGTGGATTGATAATCATATTGCAAGCAATGTACCATATCAGGTGTGATAAATTATTGGTGAATTTGTTACAATATGCTAACTGATCTAACCTCACGCTCGTCTTATCATCCTCCACTGGTGTCCCGCCAGCATAAACCGTCAGCGCAACCGGATGCACCATCCCATTATCATCCATAAAAAACAATACTCCAGATATCAACTCTACAAATTAACGTGGCAAATGCATGATTCGATAGTAATACTATATCAACATAAGTTCGAGCCATCATAAACTTGAGTGGAAGGTGGGCACAAAGTTAAACTTCGACTATCGCCTGTTGTCATGAATTACCTTCATGAAACATCTGTAATGATATGGTGACGTACCGCCATACTCAAGATAGTACAACTTTGTCATCACTCTAATATTTACAGTTTTTATACTATTATTGTACACATATGTACATCTTAAGTCTTAATTCAGAGTAAAATCACACTTACATAATACTGTAAATAATACTATAAAGCCGTTAATTTCATTACTTTATTTAACAAATTACAAATTGATAGGAATACTGACCCATTCCCAAGTCAATGACTTCAATTTTTTGTACAAAAAACTTTGCTTATATATTTTTGTTGGTCAGAGATCATTATGTAATCCTTAATACTAGGTACTTATTGTTGATAGCATAGTAACAGTCGTAACTGAATCCACGGCTCGCTCTTTCAAATCCGGTTCCATTGAATAGTTCAATGGAAATTTAGTGAAAAAACTTCTTTAAATTATAATCAGTGTAATATTTAGTATAACCATTTACTAATTACAATTTCAGTTATATCTATGTAAATATAACACATACGCGATATATCTCCATACTCTATATATAAATATTGATAAGTAATTATTCCTTTGCAGAAAGTTTTCAAAGTGCTAACTTCTCTCTGGAACCCCCACGTAAATTTAATTGTAAACAGCAATTTCGTCTATTAAATATTACGTTGAGTTGCCAACAACTTAAATAATAATAGTAATAAATATATAATAGCATTGATTTTCTTATTAATTCGTTCTACTTGTACGATATAGTTGGCGCTGATAAATTCTGACCTGTGACATTCGTTTCTTTCCTTTTATTACTTATCATAATGTTTGTATACAAGATTAACAATGTTCGTGTATAAATTTGAGACCCATTTATAATAAACATCAGAAGTATTCGTAGTAGAATTGGTGTCGATCTCACAGTTCGAATCCACAATGACGGCTCTATATATCTTCCTTGTTTTGATGGTATCCCAATGTGTATTCTCTGGTAAGTACTTAGTAAATTATTTGTTATTACTAGTATAATATATACTTTAACCTCGCATAATCATTATATACCATATAGTAAACATTATTAAATAGAAGTAATATTTACTGCATAAATCTACTTAATAATTTTACAGTATAATATTATAAATATTGAAAATGTATTTTTTCTATTTATGTAAACAATATATCAAAATTTAGTCTTATTTTTTTTTTATATACTATTTAAAGTTAATAATCGACTTAATTGCCTATTTAAGTTAAATATTATTAATATTTAAATTCCATTGAGAATTGTAACAAGTCACATTTTTTAAATATTTTTATCCACGATATAGTAAAAGAATTACATCAATTAGGTACTGTGTTCTTGTATCTTTAGTCATTTTATATTTTTTTTATTCTACTTCGACAGTGACTACTCTGAAATCGCTTCTGAAAAAAGAATCTTAATAAACTACTGAGCATTTACGTGTATTATATTTCCTAAATACAAGGGTAGAATATTTTTTTCTCAATAAGCTATTGTATGTTTTGATATCATTAAAATTTAGGGAAGCCTTGTTTACTATATTATATAATAGTATATTTTAACACCCTAAGATTTTAAAAGATATTGTAAACATTTTTCCTAAAATTTAAAGTATATCAAGTACTTGGTTATTTAATTGTCTAAATAATGCATAGTAATCAAAGGTATGTACTAAAACAGAATCATTATTTTAATACACATTTCCACACACACACACCTGTAATAAATAAAGTAGCAGATCCACAGATGGACAGACCGTCATATATTTTCGCAATAAGTACTTAATTCAGTCTACGGAAATATTTAACAGATTCGTGTAACTCCATCCTAGTCACAGTAACAGAAACGATGCCTTGCATAAATGTGGACCTGAGTTAATTTCTAGAACTTTGTGACCATATCGCTGATTACAAATAATTAATAAATTAATTTATCAAGTATTATCTTTAAGTAACTGAAATGGGGTCAGGTTTCTTCAAGCCGTACTTCAATAAATTACGAAATTATGTCTTTCATGGTACATATAGTCTTCAGTTTTATTTATGTACCTCGAATAGCATACAAGTTCACAACCACCTGCCTGATGGCAAATGGCAACTATTGTCTATATATACACAGAATACGTAAAACCATCATCAGTAGGTACTACTTGTTTGTTATTACAATCTTCGTAATTATAAGTAAGTAGGTACGGAACTGATATAACCAACAGTTGTCTTAATTGCTGAGGTTAATTAGTTAAATAATAATTTTATACGAAACTAAGCTATGCCCACGGTTTTGTCTAACATACGACAACCCAATAACGACCCAGTCTTATACCGTATATCGTGATATATAATTTTATAAAGATCATTCAGAAGTTTTGTTATATAAATATTACAAATAGACAGACAGACAGACCCTTTCACATTTATAATATTAGCATAGATAGACAAAAACAAGTAAACCTTTGTGTTACATATCAGTGCTTAACGGCTACCTATCGTTAAATGGAATCTTTCACAGGAAATCTTATTATATATATAATATATCCCTTTATCCAATATGAGGTAGTCAGAGAGGATATCAATTGTTGACGTCGTGGTGAACGCCACGCTTCACTAAACTTTACAAAGACAATGTATGACATAACATTAATATCATGTAGATACTTCATTATAAAAGTTCATTGTGTAACTAGGCATGCATTAGATAAATATTGAGGTTAATAAACATAACTATTATCTCTGTTAAAACAAATATAATTATATAAAATAACTAAATAATGACATTGATAAATGTATCAACAAGTATTGTATAATATTTATGAACTGCTGGTGAACAAGCCTTGATAAATATAAGAATTAGGTAATATATAATATATCTATAACCGGAAGTGAATATTTGGAAATTGGATTCAAATTAAAAATGGATCAAAATATAATCGTAAATTAACACTAATTATACGTTACATGTTACACAGGATTTTCTAAGTAATAGTTCTATGGAATGTACGTATTTAATTATTGGAAAATTATTAAATTTCGATTCAATCCTAAATCCCTGGTACGTAAAGTTAGGGTATTTGTCTAATAATTAAACTTTTATTACTCTATAAAAACAAATTAATTTCATTATTATTTTTATTTAGGTTTCGATCCTAAACTCGTAGTCAATTTTAACTAAAACGGAAAAAAATAAATGCCTTCGGTTCTGGTCTCTGGTCATTTGGCAAAAACTTAAAGTTTTTGCCAAATGAACCTTTTATTAATGTAAGCAACTTGAGAATACTAAAAGTTGTGGTTGAACAGTTTAACACACGACCTTACTCCCGATGGTCGCGGGTTCGATTCCTCGCACGGCACAAACATTTTTATTCTTGAGTATGATTATTTGTATCGGTCTGGGTGTTTTCTGTGTATAATATGTATGTATTCACTAAATAAATACATATCTGTATATTTATATCAAACATCTAGTAACCATCACATAACCTTTACTAAACTTGGATCTAGAAGTCGCTGTGTGAATTGTCCTGAGGTTATTGTTATTGTTAATTTATGATTTTTATACATCAAAATTTGAGATAATTTTTTTAAACAAATATAGTAATTTAACATAATCTATTGTTATGTAGAACTTAATTATACAAATACTGAATTGTAATTACACTGATACCTTTTAACACGTAAATTCTTTGGTATTATTACTTTAGATTTTATTCTTTCAGAATTACCCTAATACCTTACCACATTGAAACTTGGGTGTTTCAAATAATAACTTTCAAAAGTGTCATTCGATATAAATAGTAATTAGATGAAATTAATAAAAGCAAAATGCGAACAAAAATTTAATTAGGTACTAAAATTTACAGTCGACAACGCACTGTACTGTTTAATTGTATCAGTTACGAAATACACATTTAACAGCACTTCCTGAACTTAACTGTAATAAAAAATCTAAGATAATCAATTAAACATGTTTAAACAAGTCATACAATGAATCAGGTATAATAATAGACTCAATATCTCTGTATATAAAAATATAGTTTTTTGTTTACTGTGACTGAGTAATTACGTTATATTAATACCTTTTAAATATATTTATTTCGGTATTAATATAACGTAATTATATATTTACTACTATACTATTCTGTTATAATATATACATATAATTATATTATACTATTATACCTATGCACCCAAGAACTAAACAACATAACCCCAATAAAGATGGAAAAATGGCAACTATACAAGGCACAATGATAATAATAATCTATAACTATCCGTATAACTAGTAACTAATATTGTGAATCCACATAATTTGTTACCACTCTACTAAAGTTTGTGGCAGTAGCAGGAAATAAGTTCAGTTGCAAACTTAAAACTATCTCATTAAGCAGACAGGGTGCTCTTGCAAATGGTGTACGACTGTACGACAGCGTGTAAAGTTCTGCACGGTGCAGTGCATTAAAAATGGCTTTCTATCAATGATCGATCTCATAATATTTATTACAAATTAACGTAAAGAACAATAATATCTAAATTATTTGAATGATCGGTACCAGACATTCATATAATTGATGTCAATTATTCTAAAAAACAATCGAATTATTATACTAATTGTTTACTAATACACCAAAAAAAAACACCTGTAAGAAATAAATGTATTTATTTTTTGTGACTTTGTTTTTATCTTAGTCTGTAAAGTCAGTCATACTTCTCTCTTAGTTTAATTATTTTTAATACTTCTATATGCCGTACGGTATCGGTCAATACAATTATAAGTACCTAGCGAAGGTTACAAATTCTTTAAATGATCAGTATAAATTTAACATTCCTTTTGTTTACAAGATCTTTTTTTTATTTACAGAAACTGGGAAACTTCATTTACCTTCCGAGCCATGTGAAGTATCCGATATTGACTGCGTAAGCAAGGCAACTCAGGCTTTTTTTTATAACACCAGCGATGGAATTCCAGAATATGATATAAAAAAACTTGATCCTATTGTTATTCCTTCCTTAGAAAAAACTATTGAAAAACTAAACTTAAACGTTCATTACAAGAATGTGAAAGTAACCGGATTTAAAAATCAGCAAATTACACATTTCGAGTAAGTTTCAAATATAATATAATTATTAAAAGTATCAAAGCAAAACTATATATGTATATAATGAATCAGTATATAATATCTACTTATAAATATAAATTTTGGAAAAGAACCATCATTCCTGGCGCATATCGTACAGAGTGCCACTATGGAAATTTCCAGTATTTTTTATCAAGACTTTATTTAGAGCTTACCTTTATAACGGACTATATAATTGGGTTATATACATATATTAAATAGTGAACGACGTAAAGTCGTTTACTATAATATAAATATAACTGTAGATATATGTATTTGTATATATAAAACAATGAATCAATAGTATTTTTTTTAAGACGGCATGTCCCTTAGATAAAATTGTTATGATGCAGATAATCCGCTAATCTACTTTTAAATTAAAATGTCCAAATTATTTTATAAATAATCGTTACAGAACTCAATTTTACTCATGCAATAATCTATTTAAATCTTTATAAAATTAATATAGGATTCACCATATCACCATGTACATAATAAACAAACAAAAAAACATCAAACGACACGCAAAACCAATTGAAAATTCTTCCAAGAGTAGATTATAGGATAAAATTATCTTCGCCATATTTTTTATAAGAGAGTTTATTAGCTTGCGTGTATCTCATTCAGAAAATCATTATGGTAGGATACAACGCGTGTTGTAAATTTTGATAATTTATTTCGCCAGTATTCTTTCACGATATAAATTCCATTAGGGTTTGGTAAGCATGATACTTACTATATTATTTATCATATTTTATATTAACTTATTTTATTAATCTAAAATGTAAATGTTAATTATTTAGATGCAGATACTTATATGTACCTAGAAATATTCAGGAAAAGAAAATCAAGGACAATAAATACAATTAAGTATTTAATTGTCAGTTTAGTAGTTAGTTGGTAGTATAGAATCTACATCTCCCTACATGACAAATACAAGATGGATTCTACGATATTTTCTAGCGAGTTTTACTACAGTTAAATTTATTTTACAATAACTATTCATATTTTAATTCCAGATTAGAAAGAGAAACAAAAGCAGTGCAATTCAAAACTAAGGTTAACTTCACAGCTGAAGGAGAATTGACTATTGAATTGCCTAAGATATCGAAATCCTTCGCAGGAACTATCACAATCGACGCTAGTAAGTAAACCTTTATTTATGTTTCCTAAATAATAAAAAATATTATTATTACTATTAGAATTTTAAAGCAAATCAATATATAATTTTATATATAATAATTATCTATGAAATAATAATATTTCGCAATATTAATATTTCATAGTATCACACACCACAGGACACATATTCTTTTATATAAAATACCTATTAAAAATGCAAGTAGAAGATATAATTAAGTATTCATTGCCAGTTTAATAATTATTTCCTAATGGATCTGTATTAAAATGTACTGTTTTTATATTATTTATCGTTGTTTCCTTATTTTTTTGTATTTTATTTATGTACAACACATTCGGAGGATTTATTTTTTGTTTTATTGGAATTACAAATTCAAATTCAAATGTAAGCGATAAACCTCAACCAGCACAACCTATATACATGTACAGTACTACGGACATCACATTGTCATATGACACTCGTGATACCACGCGTTGCCATTCCAGAAAACTAGGATATCATGTCTCTTATCATATAATTTCACCTAATCTGCAACTTACAACCGAGACACAGCTTACAAAACAAGCTGCTTGGCGGCTGGAATAGGTGAGACTGAGATACCGACGCTGTTAACTTTTTACTCTTTACTCTATTGCCTTAATTACCATAATTAACGTTTTTCAAAATTACAATAATACGGACGATTCTGGTCATAAAAACTCTTGAGTAAAAAGATTAAATTCCCATACTTGTTTTTACAGGTGCCGAAGGTGGAGCAGCTTACTCTTACACTGTGAAGACAGATGATAAAGGAGTGGAGCATTATGAAGCAGGTCCTGAAACTCTCTCTTGCACAGTACTTGGTGAACCTACAATCGAACTGAGTTCTGACCTTAAGGCAGCCTTGGAAAAAGGTTTGAATTCATTTATATTTTGTTGGTGTCAGGAATGTCTAAACCACCTTCGCTGTACACATAGGGATATCTCATAATTTGAAATCAAATCCTTATATATAATACGCATTTCTCCGTTCGAGCCTTTTTGAAACTTCTATACCTAATATTGAACAAAGTCACCAGGCGCGTATGTTTAAATGTTTGCAACAATCAAAAGCTGATTTTTTGGCCGTTTTCTTCCATCATCAGAGTGATTGCTCAAGATAGTTTAAGTGTATAATTCGTTAAGCTTTTGTGTAAATTTAAACAACCGTGCGAGACCAGAGCGGGTCGTAATTATTATAAAAATGTTATATATATTTTTTCATTTTATTGAAGTATACTTAAAACTGATCTACAATACTTTTATTTGTTAATAACAGTATATTGTCAGTTTTTAGGAATTACCAATTTGACATCGTATCATGACAGCTTATTTACCTATTTGGAACGAATTATTCAATTCGTATTTTGATAAATATATCTGCTTACGCCACGTGATGCTTAACGTGAAGACCATTACAACGTAACGTGAGCAGTCATAAATCATAAAGTAAACAAAGCTGTTTATGGTAGTAGCACAGATAATATGGTAGTAGCATTATCAATAACATTTTTCTGAAATAGGCTCAATGTGTAGTTACAACATAGTTCTACATAATCCAGTATGCAATTAGAAGTTCAAGTTCCTTTTTAGATATTATACATTTTTTATGAGCTATAGATAAGATAAAATGTGTTACACGAACTTAATAATTTTTTGACTCTCTTATCCGTTACAGCGATCACGATTTGTGATGACTTTTTCCTCTTGTCTCCTCACATATTTATTAGACAATTAAACATCTAGAAATTATTCAATTAACAAGTAAGCAGTACCTAAATCCATTTTATTTTATATAGTTAAAATGTTAATTAATTATAGATTTTGAATGTGCCGTTACATTAAAACTCATCTTGGTAGACGAAGAAGGAAAAAGTGACGAAGTGAGACACTGTGTGTTGATGACAAGATAGTTCTTGTCACACGGTGTATCACTTCATCGACCCACTTCGCATCCCTTTAACGTGTGGCATAATTGATGTATGACCATTTATTAGAATAATGTAACCTTGTACTACGTTCACAGATGCAGACGTTCAGAAGTTATTGGCAGACTACACTAAGCATGCTCCAGAGAGTAACAAAGTAACAGTTTGCAATATCGTTAAGACAGTGTATGCTGTATCTATACACAACATCAGAGCCGCTGCAAAGGTACTACCTAAGAGTGCCTACTTCAAGAATGTTTAAACGTATATAATATGAAAAAAATAAGAATAAACATTTCAATACAAAATTGCCTTTTCATTATATTTACACTTTACTTTCTGTTACACTCTTTTCCCATAGTATCCTACATTCTTATAGGGCTAGGTTTAAAAATTTATATCTTTTTACTTGCAAATGCAAAATAAGCTAACGCCTAAAAACTGTGGACATAAAAAGATCGATAGTCATCACAATACATAAGGTGACGCTTGTGGTATCACAAGTAGAGGTTGACATTCTTAGGACAATGGTACTATCTTGTTATAATACGTTTCTTTGCCATATTTCACTCATACACACATTACATCCGATGATCGCGGTTTCAATTCCTCTCACGCACAAACATTTGTATTAATGAGTATAATTACTTTGAACTAGTCCTAATCTGTGCGTAAATTAATTTAATTTGACATTTAAAATAAAAAAAATTCAATCACTTTTTTGTATATTTTGGAGCTTTACAAAATAATACTAAACTAAACAAGAGCAAACTGCTTAATACATAGTTTCGTTTAATGTTCGTAAATCCTCATGAAGTAATTAGGAAATAATAATAAAATACTGAGCGACTTCCTACATAATTACATTAGTTGAATAATTATAACAATCTGTAATGCAGTTTTCATTGTATAATATGTTGAATAACACTAGTGTCTGTCATGACGGTTTTTTATGTATATGAACATTCACATACACATTACATGAACTTAAAATTAACATTAACTCGGTAAATAAGGGACGAGCCTACAGTTTCACTATACAATGTTAAAATTAAATAGCATATGTATCATAATGTTATTTATAGTTTATTTCACAATTTGTAGACATGGTCTTTGAACAACAAAGGTTGTTTAATAAAAACACTACATACATTCTTAGAAAAATCAAGTCAGGAAACACCCGACATCAAATTAAAGCAAACGGACTCTTACACAAATAGGAACTACAATTCACTGCGAATATACGTATGTCAAGTATAATTATAATAAGATAATTGTGACTCTAGAATTAAATTGTAAAACTGCTTCTAAAATCTATAAGACTATAATAAATAGAATAGAAAGTAACATAATTAAACTATGTGGAAAGTTTTCATGATTCTGAATAATATCTACAAAATTCATTGATTAAAATTGTAACTAAGTCCACGCATTGTAGTAATTCAAGTAGTCGTTTATTTTATAATAAGCTTTAGTGCAAAGTGTATATTTTATATGTATCTTAAATTTCCCTTCATTTAATTACTAGCGGGTAGTGTGCGCACAATAATAGAAAGAAGCAGTATAGCTGTTTCTATTTGGTAATGTATTTCTTATTTACCTCATGCTCACTGTCTATTTCGTACTACTGCGCTGTGGCCGTGCACCTCCAAGCTTTAAGCTGCGTTAAATGCTATATACGTCAGTATCAGTTCAGCACTACATATCATAATGAAATGTTCATTATGATATATGCTTGAATTTTAGTACCATCAGAGTATCCATCCGAAATAGAGAGTATTTCTTCTCTATCTATCTTCTAGTACTCAATTTAAATGACAATCATATATATCTTTTCCATCAAACTGAACACAGTTAATGTATAGCTTCTTGAGTATGAATAAGTAAGATAGAGAGACAAAATAATTACAGAAGCTCTCTTTTTCTCTCTATACACAACGTATTTTATACACAAGAAGAATCCACTGATCACCGATACCATCATGTAGAACTTGACCATACTTTAAAAAGTCTAGGACTAAAGAATTAGAATAGTATTATTTGTAATAGTTATAAATTAAGCAACAAATATGACGGGATCCTTTTCGTCATTTATGAATAAAAAATTATGTAGGTGCTTAATAACTTGAATAACGTTCAATTAAGTTTGTACAAAATAATGAATGTCGGTAAGTACCTAATTAGCAGTTCCCGATCGCAGGTCGAACGTTACAAAAAGAGAATTTGTATAAATAAATAAACTAATTGGCTATTGTTCTCGGTCTTCGTTTGTGAGTTTAATAAAAATTCATTGATTACCATTTTTTATATATTGACTTTTATCAAAATTGAGTAAGTACCTACTGTCCTTAAAAAGTTTTAATAATTATTAATATATCAATTTTTCTTTCTTAGAGTGGTCGCGTTTCAGAATCGATGCATTATTGCGTATTGGTGAAACGAGTTACGAAAGTGAACGAATCAAGAATGATATATAACAGCCCTCGTAACAATGACAACATAGATAGATATTAGTACCACTGCTACATATGTATCTCCTTATGAGAGAATTTACAATGAATTTTGGAATCGTATTTTCTGGCTGTTAAACTGCCCGTCATAATATAACGCTCACGTGCCAGTGAAATGGAGGAAACATTTGGTCGGAACATGGATCATGAGACGGATATATTAAACCGGATTGCATTTCTAATCTAATTGCGTAATGATTTAATTATAGTACAAAGCACTTTTTTAAGTTGACTAATAAGTCATATAAGAAACGAAAAATGAAGGTATCCTATAAATTTTAATATCAAACCAATTTCGTTTTCTAGATTAGTATTGTAATTATTTTAGAAGAATATATTTTTTTATTTTACTATAAAAGAATTTGGAGAAAAGAAGATGTGAGATTATTATATTATAGATATATTTTTTATCTTAAAAAGAAAACTACACAAATTCGTTTTACCTTTTTGTTTCGAATAACTAAAAATAATAAAAAGCGAAGACAAAAAGTTTTATTTTACATTTTAAAACGTTACTTTTGTGACATGAGGGTCTTGGCCATGACCATGAATCATCGAGTAATTTCACTGCACTGATATTTACCAAAGTAGAGAATTTTTTTCATTGAGGGGTTTGGGTTATTGTCAGGTACTTCAGGTCCTGTAGCGCTCCGACCTACATAGATCTATTGTGCTCTAAATAATTGAGATGACTATGTCAATAAAATTATATAGTCACTTTCTCATTCTGGCTTAAGCCTATTTAAAATGTTGTACAAAACCTTTTATTTGCAAAGTGTATCTAAGCAGTTACTTAAAATAATGTTGGGTTTATGTGCTGTAACCTAAGTCAACAGAATAGAGTTCAGACCTGTGTAAATTATAAGATAATGCTTTTGCGCCCAAACTTTATTGGCGCGGACGAAGAGAAATTTTTTTATTGCTAAATAGGTAATAACCTCATGGTTATTTATCTGATCTATGATTTATGATATGATGATAAAGTGTGTAAGGAATAGGCTCACCTCCTTTGGGAAGTATACACTGATGAATTAATTAATTAATTCAAAAGTTTATGATTTGTCAACATTAATATTAGTAGTATCAACATTCTCATGACCTTACAACCAACCAGTGTATATATCAATCAAACCATTATATTTCAAAAAAATAGACAATGAAACATAGTCATTCATGGGATGTTATCAAGGCGGTCGATAGTCCTCTTAGGTCGACATGAGTATGTAGTGATATAGCAACAGAATATTCTGAAAAAGGCATATCTCTTTTCATTCCGGCCCTGGATTGCAATTATATTACAATAAATCCGCGGTCTTTTATATTATCTCGCGACAAAGTTGAAGGATCATTTGTATGAATAATTTAATCTTACGTATACTTTTTGTTATGCATAGTGGAGTATTTAATAAATATGTTAGTAAAATAAATATTAAATTTTATTTATTGACAAGCACAAAACACATTATCCCTCATTACTACATTTTACTTTAAATTATAACTGTTTTTAAATATTCTAGTTCCTGTTATATAGGTATATCTCATTATTAAGTAATGGCCTCTTTATTTATTTTTTTATTGTAAATATTCTTAAATTGTAGGTGTTCCGCTTACTTTATAAAGGCAGTTAAAAGAATACTCTAATTATAATCTATTTAATTAAATTTTAACAAAAGTTTACAATATTCGACACAAGTAGGTGATTTTATAATTTGAATTCAAATAATGACAAATCTTATTGTAAAGTTTTCTAAGAACCTGACTGAAACTTAGTTGTTATTTACAGTAGTAAATAAATACTAAATATACTAAATTATATACTATAATATGAAATATTATCTAATAATGTCTTACATGATGGATATCGATCTAAGTATGCCAAATCAAACTCCATATTGAGTATTATCATCCTTGCAAATGATCCATTACACCAACATCCGAGGTCACGTTTTAAATTAAAAACTAGGCAATTTAAATGTCGAACAGTCTCTCTCAAAACGTGCTTATGGCTGCAGGCCATATTTTTTACCGGTTTTCCTTTTTTATTTAATAAACAATATATAAAGAGATCCTTCTGACCGGTCTTTTTCTTACGGGCACAGGTCTAACAAGATGTTACTGCAGTGCATTCGTTTCATTCTTTGTACTCTTCTCATGGTGATTGATACTTCTTGTGATGTACTTTATCGTCAAAATGTACAGTCTAGGTATCCAGGTCAGTATATATCTACTGTTATATTAACAATCACTCTAATTGCTGTTAAATAAGTCATAGTCCAAAGTGTTCATATATAGCAATTAATTAATATCCAATGCAGATTATAGTAACATTTCATTATAAATGTTAAATGTTATGGTTATGTTATGACACAATTATGCATCAAAGTCTCAAAAGATAATTAACTTTTTTAAACATAGTTATAATTTTTTCCCTTTTTTATCTCTTAATTAGTCGTCCTTACAATTATTTGGATATAAAATGTTGTAATGTTGAATTAAAAACAAAGCCACCAGTGTACCTCATCAATTACAGTGACTCAACGAAATTTGTCGGATTTATTCAAAGAGATATTATATGTGCATATATTACAAAAACCATTTTCTTTATTAATATATAAAGATGTGATAAAATTAATTATATTTTATTACACGTTTTATTGTTATAAGTTCAAAATTCTTGTGTACTCGTAGGCAGGCAACCTTAATAATTAAATTTTATATTTCTGCTTATTACAACCACTAAAATTTTGAATAATTAAACATCGAAATAATGATTTATTTATTTATTAATCTGTAAAAAATCTGGAAATATATTCCAAAATAATTAATCGTTAGAAAATTATGGGAAAACTACGAGTACATGAATTGTTATGAGCTGTAAAACGTATTTTTTTTATTCAAATTTAAAGTAATCATTGTAGTTATTTAAGAAGTACATTTATTACACCACAAGTGTAGTCAAGGGCAGTCATAATAATTTAAAAATTATGATAGGTACATCAAAACAGTTGATATCGTTCAATTGTTCATTTGTATTCAAACTTATATTATGAGTAAACAAATTTTGGAACTCGAAGAGTTTAATATTTTTGTTTTGCAGAGGAACTGAAATTTGGTCCGTAGTAACTTAAGTTCGTTATCATAAGTCAGTGAAAGGTAGTTGTATTAGGTATCACTAGGCTGCCCATTATCTCGGAATATTAGTGTTCTTCATATGTACCGCAAAAATGGACTATTTTTTGCAACATGCTAAGGGTTTGTTGTTTTTTAGACCGCATGCCTATACATGGTCTTATATTTTTTATTTTATAAACTAAATAGCGAGGTATCTGCGAACTAGTTTCCGTTGTTTGTCTTTCGGAGTGCTTTTCTCAACTGTGATAGTTCGCAAACTGTCCATATTAGTCGATCGTATCAGTTCGAAACAAACTGTAATACTATGCGGATTGCGCGATTTTGTAACACATAGTAAACGTTAAATGCTCTATAAACCTCCAAACGACGCGTCTCAATTACAATCACTTCAAGATTACCTTGATACTTCTCAGTCATTCAAAATATTGGTGTGACAATTTATGACGGTACTTGATAGCATTGAAGGAAAATCCTGTCCCAAAAAAAACAAGAATATATTATAGCTGTGCACTGGCGGGTCAATGGTCTGGCATTAGGCTAGGTTACGCTCTGTGCATTACTAGCCTTTCTATCTACTTTAGCACATAGGAATCATTTTTTATTGTAATATGGTGTAATAAAATATTTGTATATATAAATAAAAGTTACCTACACTTTTATTTTGTATTATTGTTCTACAAAAAATATTTTATAACAACGTCTGTATATCAATCGGATCAACATTTACATACAACGTTTGTTTAAAATAAATACCATTAATTTGTATTCGACTCACCTGATTTGCTAATTTTTCTAAAAGATAAGATATAAAAATAGGTTATTAAATTGAAAATTACTTTCTGTTTTTCTTATAAAGTAGTTTATTGGTTGATGTACGTACCTGCTTAGTTAAATATAAATATAATCTTTCAATCGTTACAGATTTGCTGCCCATACAGCACCATTTTTATAATTTAATACTACGAGTATATCACAATTTTACTTGCTATATTTTGTTGGATTGACGGAGTATGCCCGTACTTTCTTACACTCCTTCTCTTCTTTTGGATCCTATTACTGAACGATTTATATAGCGAAGTGTATTAATATATCATTACATAGTATAAAACAAAGTCTGTCGCTGTTTGTCCGTCCTATGTATGCAAAATCCATTGCGTAGTTTTAAAGATTCAATCTTTAAAATTTGAATTTCGAAGCGGTTCTTTTAATAAATGAGAAAGGTTAATATAGATGTACATCCGGGCAAAGCCGGTGCGAGTAGATTGTATTAATATATAGCCTAAAAGAATTCCGCAATCATTATTCCATTGAACGCAATTTTTTTTTAAATCCAACTGCCAGTTCCAAGGAGAATGCAAAATGAATGCGTTAAAAGAAACTGTAATTTTATAATATTAACATACCTATGTGTTTTTCATTGATTTGTTCATTAAGTAAATAAAAAAATATATGTTTTAGTTTAGCCACTTTTATATGTATATTTATATATAATATAATATATGCTTATTACTATATAGTCTTGTATGTGGGTTCAGGCTATTTATTATTAATATTATTTCCTTCGTCTTATTTCTTTACTAGTATAAAATTTCTTTAAAGTATTGATGAATATTACAAAAAATATTTAGAGATTTTAATTACCTATAGTTAAAATTAATATCGCATATTAAATAAAATACGGTTTATATAAATATTAAAATTTATACAACAACTAATATACATAAACAACTGACCACCCCGCGCAATTTCGCCTACGTCACACTAGAGAAAAATAATTAAATTTTCTCCTTTTTGCAACACTTTTTGTCATATATACCTTCGTCTATAAATGGATTAAATAACACCAAAAGGATGTTTCAATTGAATCACTATTTACTGAGGTTTTGCAAGTTCAACCAAACAAGAAAACCAACTCAAGCTTTATATATACTTTATAAAATACAAAACATAATATTCATAAAAATACCGAAATGTCAATGTCAATTAACGCTTAATACTACCGTGAAGAGACGCAGAATAATTTGGTGAACGGTAAATGATAATTAGCCTGACATTTGCAATACTATGTATTTAGTTAGTAGCACCTACCAACGTACTTATTAGCGTAATTAGTCTTAATATAGGTACTCTAAATAAATATATAAAAGTGGCTTCTACCCGATACTTTGTTTGTTCTAGTTTGTACCCGCTTCTTAATGAATGAAAAAATATTTAAAAAAACAATTAGTGCTGTATGTATATATTAGAATACGATTGAGCTATAATACTGGTCTGAAATAGTTTACTTTTAAACATTTCAAAGGCTTTTTGTAAAATCTAGGTCGGTAAAAAGTCTTAGTCTTTTTGCCATAGGTAAGTCACAAAAAACTATGTGCAATACATAAATAATACTAGATAACTCGGCCTCGTGTCATAAAGAGGCATTCTTTAATACTTTCAGTTCATCTATATACAATTCCCAAAAATATAATGCTCTACCAAATGCAGATTGTTTTGAATCATTTTCTTATGAAGAATTAAAAGAAAGAGAATAGATAGTCCAATGAAAGTTTTCGCTAGTACATGGAGATAATCTTCCACAAGATGTATTCAGTTGTGGTTATAAGTATAACACCTCAAAAATGCCAATACATGGTACCTAGCACGCTTAACAAATTCACTGGAACAAAATAATAAAAATCAATATTTTCTCAAGTGTACATATACCTACCTACCTAGAACTTTATAGAATAATAAAATTTAAAATACAAAATATCTATTTCCATTTTTATTGAAAAACTTTTTGGGATAAGTTTATATTATGTGTATTTTATTTGTATTACTTTATAAAATCTTTATTTGTTACTAAATTCTAAATAGTTCTTAAAGTTTGGTAAATAGTTGCGATAACTTAAGATTAGACAATTCTAAGAAAAGTACTTCAATCATTCATAATTTTCCACCAGAGTGGAGGAGCAGGGTGGAGGGATCAGCCTAAAATACAGCTCATTTTTAATATCTCTTAAGGTATATCTTCTTCGATTCTGTACAATTATTGAATGAACATATTGGTAAAAATATACCTACAATTTTTAACAAATTGCCAAAGTGTTCATTCAATAATTTTCGCTAACATTAGACCTATATCCATCATTGATTTTGCAACAAATAAAATATCTACTATTCTATAGGGTTCTATTGTCACGAGTGACATAATAATCACTCTTCTTCTTACCGATTTATAATTTTAGTATAGATATACATAAAGTCATTGCATGCATGTCTAGGATACCGTGAGCCAAATGTAGACATGCCCAAAACGTATAAATAACAATATTTCTATTTGTAAAATATAGCCTACGTATTTTTAATATATATACCGTCTAACATATATTGATTGAATCGTTTTGAAAAAAGAAACTGTTATACACTTGTAAGTAGATACTCTACTTATAGATCAGTTATTGTGATCATTGATTAGTACTTATCTACCTAACAGCGTCAAAAAAATTAACCTTGGATTTTATGGGTTCCTTGACCTTCCAAAATGAATAATCTATACCAAAATATTGAACGCGGAACACCAATGATCGGCTATCTACGGTCAGTCAATAAATATTTTTCACAAATACCTAATATCGAATAAGAATCCTGAATGAGATTGGGTTGTTGTACTTTTAGAAGACAGATAAAACCCACATATCTCTGTTCCAATATTTATTAATATTGGAACAAAGATTTGTCTCTGTTCCAATATTTATTAATATTGGAACAAAGATTTGTGGGACCTTAAAGTAACTGGAAATGAAATGTGGGTCTGATCTAATCATCAGGTCCATGTTGGTGAAATACCAAAGACATTTGCAATTAATTAGAAATATACAGATAGAGTTGGAATAAGTAGTACCTACCTAAATGATTCAATAAAACTCTCTCTGCTCTAATAAAACTGTAACCGATAGCAATCTGTGCATGAAAGATATAAGCTTAATTACAATTAGTATAGTAGTACAATTAGATATAAGCTTAAATACAGTTAACCTGTATTGTATACTATTGCATTGGTTTAGCTATATAATATAAACCAATACAATAGAATATACCCATATTCTATTGTATTGGTTTATATTATCACCTGCATATGTGTGCTACAGCAATACAAAGTGGCTCAGTGTAGATATACATTTGAGAAAATGTATTATTACGTTACGGTTTTTTGATAACTAATGTATTCTGATAATAAGCGTCACTAAAAAAATTGTGTTTATTTTATTCTAATCGGTTTCCAAACAAAATTGTTATAATGGTACGAAGTCGCAGGCTCAGCTCGTATATAAATTTGTATTTGCAGTTGATTTGTTTTTACTATACATGTTATTTGTGACTATAGAAATGATACCAAACAGCAAACTTTATGTAGTAAAAAATCATAATGTATCGAACAGGTAAACCCACCAGAAACACGAATTGAAGGAAAAATCTAATATTCTGTGTGCGTTAAAAAGGGTCACAGTCAAATATTCACATTGTTTGTAAAGAGAAATTCGCAAAAAGGTCCGTTATGGTTTTATCTGCTTGTATATTGTGCATATACAGAGAAACATATGTAAGGATATGGCAAAATCATTGTTTGCAGACCTGGATGTTTAGATCCTAATTTGTATTCACGAACCCTGACGTTGCAAAGTAAAGGTGAGAATGTTTGTATATTTGCGACATAAAAGAATCCTAGTATCGAGACACTATCTAACGATTGCAAAACATGTAGATAATATATTGGCTAAAGATATTATTATATTGAATGGACTTAAAATCGGAGACTTTTAGATTTACCATTCCTTTTCATTTTTACTATGGATACATATCTTAGCCAGATATTTAAAACAGATTTTTGGGAATATGATTGGGATTGGTATTTTTCAATCGGTTACTGCGTTGGTCTAAAAATACTGTAGGTATATAAGTATCATATCAATATGTTGTTTCAAAGTCGTAAGTTAAATTCATGTACACCTACCATATTTCAAAAAGGAGAATAAAACATTGTTGTTTTATCACAACTGAAATATTTTTTGTGGTATGTCCACATTTATTGCATCTAATATCAGTGACTAAATTTATTAAAAACATTTTGTTACGTTGTACCAGTTAGTAGAAGCAACAAGATAGTTTTAGGATGTAATTTCATGTCAGTAGCCAGGTTCCTAATCTAAAGGCCCCTTTTAAGCTGAAACGTTCAATAACAATACCGTCCTTATGAGCTCAGAGAAACTGGACACAGACGTGGAGTGCAAACAACGAAACGACAGATGTCCCGATAGTGATAGAAGTGCGGTGTTACGTATGCACACGCGATTGCCAAATAATTCACAGTATTTGTACTGGATTTGGAAGACAGTAATGAGTCTTCCAAATCCAGTACAAATACTGTGAACTAAATTCTCCAATTATGGGGATATAAATACAAACAAATTGTAATTAGCATTTTAGGATTAAAGTTAGGGTTTATCAATGAAATATTAAAATGTAACTGCGCGATCGTCAATTCGTACCTACTTGACCGTACGCAATGTTCCCTTTCAGTGGGTAAACAAACACTGGGATTCTTTTGACCGCTTGCATTACGTTTGCACAGTTGCGCTCAATTACGATGCAATAACTTAATTTGACATTCACATCACAATAAAATACAACAAGCAAAACATCGGTTTTTTAAATGTTGGTAACAACGCGTTCACTTACCATTGTTTCTCACTGTCCCACCTAGCATTACAGTCAGAAGTCCTAGCATTCACTGCAATGGAGAAATGGCGGGAAATACCTAGTAAATACTAAGCTTAAATATCCAATTTGCAGGCACACCCGCATTGCCGTTCCCCACTTGCAACTCCAATGATATCGCGTGTTTACGACGAGGATTAAGAACATTTTTCATTCTAATGAACAGTGGTTATGTGGGTATGAAACCCATTGATCCAATCATCCTCGATAGCGTCGCAATCTCTCTTCCTGAGCAACAAATGTCCTTTTTACTGAGAAGAGCAAACGTCGCGGGAACTAAATGGACACGGCTAGCCGATAGAAAGTAAGTAAACGTTCCTTAGTTTTTACCCGACTGACTAAAAGAGGATCTTAATACAACTGCATTTTTATGTGCACTTAATTATCTTATAAACTGACATGTATCTTGTATAGATATCAGTGGCGTAGTTAGGTAACCAAGGACCCTGGGGCAAATCAATCAATCAATACATTATAGTTTTATTAAAACGCACATATCGCTATCCGTCAAATTGATAATACTGCCAACCCACAGAAAGAATTTAAGGGATTCCAAAGGTATAATTTATGAATTTCTCTCAATTGAGTTGCCATGATTAAAGTCGGGTTGCAACCTGTCATATTTATTTTGAAAATGGGAGAAATTTTCAAAAGTTTAGTTCGATCGAGATTTTCTGGTAAGGATTCGAGGGGCCCCTGAACTTGAGGGCCACGGAGCACTGCCCTAGGTAGCTACGCCACTGATAGCTATATCCGTTACCTACCAGGACTGTCACAATTCGTGAGTCGGTTTATATTTTATGCGATAAAGTCATAAAGTTTAAAATTGCAAAGCACTATTAGATCGGTTTGTCGTTGATCATTTGCATTGGATAGTTGAAGTTTGACTTCCTAAGGCACATTGTTAATTTCAGTTTTACCCTCACTGGGGGTGTAACTCAGTGGTAGAGTGTCTGCTTCGCATGCTGAAAGTCCTGGGTTCAAATCCCAGCACCTCCAACTTTAACATTTTGTTTTGTTGGACTATATTTTTAATAAACTCATCGGGTTATGAAATTTGTATACTTTTATACAAAACACATATTTTATAGCTATTTCAAAAGTGCTAACTACATACTATACTATATTTGCCAGTTTCGTCAGAGTTGAATCTTTTTAAGGTTTATACATATTCTCTTGCTGACTAATTAAGATATCTAGCATAACTTCCGTAAGAGCAGATGTACTCTCTACATATATCTATATATTCCACATAAATTTTATCTACTAGTGTAAAGTAAAATAATTATCCTTTAAATCTAAAATAAAATCCTAGCATTTTTTACTTTTCAAGCAAATTGTATGATATGATATTGATTTTGAAAAATATCTTCAACCCGCGTTTTTTCGTTTTTTAGCTCTTGACTTCGCCTCCTTTTTTGTAACAAAAGTATAGCAGTCCTCATGATACAATCTATCTTCTCGTTATCATAGTTGTGAAAAACTAACCAACAAAAAAACAAACCAACTAACATTCACAGTCTTAGAATTGTTTCCAGTATATTTTTTTACTTCTACGTATTATACCTACTGTATCTGATTAATTCCAAATGCGTGCAGTGATGAAATATAAATATTTCCAACTATCAGAAGAAAAGTGGAAATAGGGTGGAGCTGCAAGCAAATCACGTTGTGACCTCTTTCCGTGTATTCCGTAGCTCTCCAAAGCTACGGAATTGAAACCCTCTTGAAAAAACTAACACTTCGCAACAGAGAGAGTTAAACGAGAAAATACCACATTTTAAAATACATTTAACTGATTTAAGTATCAGGAATTTTACTGTATGTAGTTAAATATTATGTATGTAGTAAAAACTATTTCGCCGCCGGGTCTGTGCGCTTAGATCTTTTAAATGACACAATGTAATTTAACGCAGTTTTAAATAGAGTGACTCTAAATGATGGTATAGGTAAGTGAATGCATATTACAGCATAGAAAAGCCGAGACATTTAAAGATTATGCACCGGTGCAAAAGCCTATAATGTCACTAGTTAACATATTTTTTTCTTTATATTAGGAATCTAACTGTTTACGAAGTAATGAATTTTTATTCTGTAATTGTCAATATTCAGTTGGCAAAGCATACATTGTTTACAATCCTGAACCCTAGAAGTAAGTATGTAGATATACTGATATTGGTCCCAATTACTATAATTTATTGTTAGATATAGATACATGAATAGGTTTTACTAATTTTTTTTTATACTACTTTGGTGACAAACACGAATGCTTGTTTCTCAGCCCCGAAGCACATATTCGTACAAATACAAGCGTAAAATTAATGAGTTATTATTAGGTTTATAGAACTGATTGCTTATGAACAGTTATAAGAGCTTTAAAGAGCGTTTATGAATAGAGATTTTTATAAAGCCTTTATAGCACTGCTATAGTGGACTTTAAGGCTTTGTAAGTTTTATAAGGCCGTATATATGTAAGGTACATATAATACCTATCTATCTTATAAGACCTTGCATGTTTTATTTACATACGCTACTAAATATTTTGGAATGATACCACTTCAAAATTCATTGCTATTATATTTTAATCATCCATGTTTATTGATTAATCATATTATATTTAGATGATTTTTACACTTACCTACTGTAAAAACAATTTTTAAAATATTCGCAAATAAAATATAAGGTACGTGTTTTCATTAAAAGAATGTTATTTTTTGTAAAGGTCTGTATATATTAATAATTATCCCAAAACTTTTAAGGAAAACGCTCTTAACTGTGTCTGTTTGGACGTACAATAATAAAAAAATACAAAAACTCTTTGGAAACATAATTCAAGGATAATGTAGGAGCCACCATAGTGTTACTTACTCAAGGGCACCGCGTTATCCTTAAATTTATGAACCTCTGAATTTTATTTTTTAAATACCTATTCAAATTCTCAATTCGAGATGCTAAACAGTATACCATTATAAAAGGTTGTATTACCATTTCATTGGCAGATTTTATTTAGATGGCGGCAAAAGTGGAGTCACGTTCAACACAGACCTTCACGTAACCGGAGAATTCAGTATCTCGATGGCAACGCGACTAGAACCTTACATCGCCTATATTACTATGGATATTGGCAAGTTATATCAATCATTTACTATTTATATTTATAATAAATCGTACTAATTGTTTGTACTCCCTCACGAAACAATTACTACTTACTAATTTGGTACGCAGATAAATTATATTCTACACTAAAACATAGTATCTACTTTTTATTTTAAATTACAAGATAAGAGGAACGACAGTCTTGATTGGATTGGATTGGAATGGCAACGAATCAGTTGGTTCACGGTTGTCACATGATAACGTGATATCCGTATTGTTGTCCATATACATAAGCGACGCTTATCACTTAACATTAGGTGGATCATCAGTTTGTTTGCCGTTCCAATTACATATAACAAATTCCTATTTCTTATATGTAGGTACCTACCTACTTAGGTATTTGGAGATACTAAATGCAAAGTTGTATTTATGCCTGGTTGTGAATTTGGGATAAATAAAAATTAGTTTTTTACGTTGTTATTACGTGTAGATTATTTCTTATTGATTGTGGAATATATAATGCCAACTACGCTAATGGTACCTATACACTGGCCGAGTACCAGTGAAGAATGAAAGTATCATTATGAAACTAAGTCAGTTAGCCATTGTTGCAAATTCAACGCGAATTTGTGCCCATGGTAGAAGTTTACGGCAAGGTACATTGGTGGCACAGAACCAGTGTTACTAACTATACCTTTGGCCCATTACCAAAGAAGCCCGCGAAAATTGGAAGATGAGGCTGTTTGTTAAAATAGTATATCACCAAATAATATTATCGGTATCTCATTTTGTTTCAGAGAATGTAGAAACTAATATCACGTATGGCTGGTCGACTCAACGGGGAATTGACAAGGAAGATTACATCTTCATCGGACCAGAAAGAATAGCTGTAAGAAACGTGCGACTTCCAACATTCTTTTTAGAACCAAGTATGTACATTATTTAGCACACTGCGGTCCATGCCTAAACCAAATTAACACATAAATAATCTAATAAATATTTTGATTTTATTATAGTTTTACACATTAATTTAGAAAATAGCGTAACGTAACAGATTAAACCTCTCTGTTATTATTCAACCTTCCACTTTAACATGGTGCGAATGAGATGTAGATGTAAAAATACAATAATCGTTTTACACCTCCCGATGACGTGAATACCAAGAACGCACGATGAATGTCTAAACGAGGCACAGTTCAGCAAGCCAAAAAAGATATCCTTCGGGTGCAATAAAAGACGATCAATCCAAAAATAAAGGTAGTCACATATTGTTAGATATCTCTCTGCTGTTCTTGAAACCGAAGAGATATCTAACAATATGTGACCGCCTTTATTTCTGGTTTGATGATAACACTGTCAATATTTAATACTGCAAATATAAAACCAATATTTTACTAAAATAATTAATAAATTTATGTAATGCATGCTTCGAAAAAAATGTGTATGAAAATATAAATAATAATAATCCGTCGCACTGATGTACCCCTGAGACTTTCATACAACTCAGAGTAAGCTGAAGTTCACGAGCGTAAGGACACTCTTTTATCAGCCTAATAAAGCATGAAATTAATCAAGATATTTAATGCTTCATTTTATTTACTACATATGAGTTAATTACTTTATTTATTGTATATTGTTTTACATTTGTATATGAATTTATTTGTATAGAGTATTTTGATTTATCAAAGAATAACATAACCGCAGTCAAAGTAATGTATTAATCATATTCGTTTATTACAGACTCCGAAGATTCCAGAATCATTGAAAAGATGTTACACGCTAAGCAATCAGTTTTGGACCATATAGCTGATGAAATAACAGCGGCTGTGATGCACAATGTTGTTGATAACTTTAGACTGTTTGCTAGCAAAGTTCCAATAAAGTATTATTATAATTACTAAATACAAAATACATAAGAAATTAATGTTATTTATTTCAAATTTCAAATTGACACTTTTCTATATACGAATGAATATAATTTTTGTACTTCTCATAATTGACTATACACGGAAGTTTAAAGTTTTAACAATGTATAAATCTGAATTTCCTACCAATAACACAACTCTATTTGCCAGGTCCAATTTATGGAACCCATTGAAATATGCATACAAAGTCAGTTCAAGCGTTTAGAAGTGTTTCTTTGTCAAACACAAAAGATATATAAAAAAATATTTGATTCATTTTCTTTTTCCATGTTTACGTAACCAATCATTAAACAATTTATTTGCCTAACAATAAATTATATTTACGACAGAATAACCACAATTAATATGCAATCATCAAGTAAATCTACTGAATGCCCACTCCAGAGGAGCAAGGTGTAAAGGCTTCTTGTTGCTGTGTTTCCTCTCCCCTTTTCCTTGTACTTATGTGTTTGTGTTGTGGTGTATTTAATTTATATACACTACTTTTTCACAAAGTGAAGTAAGTAAAGTTGATGAGACAAATAAATGGTAGCTGTTATGGACTAAAGCGGGTACTTTGTGAAAAAGTAGTCTATAGATGTAATCCTAGCCAGTGTGATTTGTGCTTAAAGAAATATGTGTTATAGTGAGTATATAATAGCAACATTTGTATATATTTATTTTACTATTATGCAAGTGACTATTGGCCACTTACTAATGCCAGACAACATATCAATGCAAAAAAATGGTTACATCACATCCTTTTCTACTTCATTTTAAGTACATATACATATTTAATTGTCACTGAATTTGATCAAGACAAATTTTGTCCCATGGATATTCTTACACATAATTTGACATTCAAATTATCAGTTCTAATAACATTATAATTATGATAGTTTATATGTTAATCAGTCACATTTCCATGGCCACTGAAAGATACACCAATAGATTAAAATACTATTTACCTGTATTCAAATGTCATTGGCATGGGATATTTCTCCCATCCTCAAATGAAATTTTTTTAAAATATATTAAAAAGTAAGGTAACAACTAAATACCAAAGTAAAAACACTTTTATTAAACATTTCAAATGTATTAAAAGGTTTTATAGCAATAGGTACATTCAAGTATTAATTTAAACTTATCTGAACAGTTCATAATAACAACAGTTGAAACAGTAACTTCATACAGTCATTTTCTTTTCTCAAAATGCATCACCCAATGATTCTTCCATGAATTTTTTATAAATGGCCATAAATTTTGCAACAAATGCTTCTAAATGAAATATGGGCTTATTTCCTAATCTCATTCTGTGTTCAAATCTTGCTGCATGACTTGCGACTTGGCATTTCATTGCCATATCACAATTCTGTACCAATTCTTTAAGCAAACCTGCAAATATTGTGTCGGGTGGAACTCCATGTATTATCAGCTCATAAAGTTTCTGTCTAACTTCACCAAGCTTTTTAGGAGATTGTTCAGATAATATCATGGAAGCTGTCTCTCGAATGAACACTTGCCAGTCAGGCTCTGGGACTTTCTGATCAGCTGTTAAGGGGTACTGTTGTACTTTGCATGCCTCACACATAAGTATAGCACGACGCAAATTACGATCAGCACATTTAGCAATACGCATTGCTAACTCAGAAGGAATATTTATACTTTCTTTTTTGCAAACTGAGTTTAATACTGAACAAATTTCCATTTCTGTAGGAGCAGGTACTCGTATTGTCAAACAACGAGACCTTATTGCTGGAATGACTCTTGATATAGAATTAGCAATAAGTATTAACCGACAAGTAGCTACATATTTCTCCATAGTTCGACGTAATGCGTGTTGTGCATCTTTAGTTAAATCATCCACCTCATTTAGTATAACTACTTTGAATTCTCGTTGTCCAGATGAATCAATTTGATGTGTTTGGGCAACATTTTTTACTAAATCCATTATAACAACACGATCATGAATACCTACGTCCGTTGGATTAACCTCTATGTGGTAATTGCTACTTACAGTCATTATTTCTATTTTTTTGTTCGACGGAGTTGTGAAATTCATTGTTTCTTGTCGTAATCGCTCTACGCCAGAACCATACAGCTCTCTCAGCAAACACATTATACGAGTCTTTTTACCGGCACCTGAAGGACCGTAAACAAGAAGATGAGGAAAGTCACTTTGTTGAACCAAATTTTTTAAGCGTATTGCCTGATCTTTGTGGAAGTCTAACTTCAACAAATCTCTCGGCCGATGTTTATCTACCCAAAGACTCATTTTATACTACGATAAGATTTTAATATCAAAATTAATATCAAGAAATTGGAGAAGAAATATACAACCAAGACACAAATTCAAAATCTGACAGTTGAAAATGTCAATGTTTAAATTGACATTTGATACGATACGTTTTGTCAGTTCATATACATTTTCAAAGCGTTTCTCTTTGATTAAAATTATAAACAGCAGAACCTAAAAAAAAGAATTTTATTCTTTTATTCACCTCGATCTTATTGCATATTTTGGAGGAAAAGCAAATTGGGCGTCTCGCACTACTCACTAGGCTGTGCTTGTGTAGAAATCTTAACTTTTGGACAAGCAGAAGCAGTGAAATTACTCTGTACAGTGTGTATGATTTGAATTGATATGTAATGTCATTTATACAATTATTCTTATAATATGTACAAAACAAAATTTAAGTCGCTCTATTTTTATTATTCACAAACTGAACAAATTATAGTAATGTTAAGACATTGATTAATTTAATAATAAATTGACCTCGAAATATACTATTTTTTATTTATTATTCATGAAAAACGAAACACGTGACCGGTAAGTTTTAATTCTGTTTTGTCTAGTTTGGTCAGTCTGATTAAGAATATTTTAAATTTTTTACTATTTCGAACATTTCAATCGATTTGCTTATTATTATTTGATATTTACAATATTTTAACACTATGTAAATTTATATAATTCTATTTATTTCTTGTTTAATGTCCTTATTACAGTATTTATTTTACATATTTAAAAAGGCAAAATGCACTAATACTTTAAAGGCAAACTTTACACAGATGGGTATTCTCTACGAGTCAACTGACCAAACCAAACTGAACAACAGTAACTATAGTTTACAATCATAATGTAGAAACTGTGTCATCAAACTAGATAAATATAGCATTTAGTTATACTATAGTTATAACATATATTATATAATAATTAGTAACATATATTAAAAGACAAATTAATAACAAAATATTTGAAGTAAATACATTATGTTACAATATTTTAAAAGTTTTAATTGTGACACTAATATATATAACCATGCCAGTTCTATCATGATGTATTGAGACAGGACCATGTTCCACAAGCATTTTATACACTGACTGATTAGTCTGTATTCATATCAAATCATATATAGGTATATGAAGTTTTGGGACATATTCAAGAAATTAACAGGAAAGTTTCTTATCCTATATACTTGATCTGAATTGGGTTCTAGAATAAAAAAATCTAATTTTATAATCATGTATGTCATTTTACATTCCTCTATTGAACAGTACAAAAAGTAATGCTTTATGTATACTCTTCTTTAATACTTATAAAATATAGTAATGATCTATGCAATAATAAAAATACAATTTTATTTTGCAGATAGAATGAATACAGCATTACTAAATGAAATGAGGATAGTTGAAAATACTTTGTACAGGAAAGTTAACTTGTGAGTATTGTTTTATGGACTATTTATTTAATTATTTATTTATATAACTTTAATGCACACAGTACAATTGGTGGACTTAACATCATGAGGTATGATAAATAATTATAATGTGTACCTACTATACTTACATTACATTTTATGTAAAAAGCATATTTAAATATCTTACTTATTTAACACTTTGTCAAAGGTGCTGCATAAAAAATGAAGTTCCTTAATACAAACTTAATTTTTATATTCTTTGGTCTTGAGACTAATTTTCAAAACCTTGTAAATTTCAATATTCAGCATACTTCATATTTGTCAGGTACTCATACTTGATGGTACAATATATATATACTTATATATATGTTTTCCAAGCAGTTAATCAGTGGATTAATATACATATATAATTTACGTTCACAATGATCATCATTATTTATATGGGCAAGTAGAAATAGAAACAATCTTTATTTAAATAAACACTTTTGAATAATCACATTTTTTTCTTCTACCACTCATTTAGAATGCAGTCTCATCACAAGAAGAATGAGCAAGAAAGTTGTGTGTTGCTCTTTTAAATAAATATTGTTTTAATTAGATTTACATTAACAAGGATTAGGCATGCGACAATCAACATAGAAACTGTTAGGCATTTAATCTCTATTCAATCAGATAAAAGTTTCTAGTATAATAAGTTTCTAGACTATTCAAAAGTTAATATTAAGTTTATGTCAATAAAGTCTAGTAATACAAATTTATTAATAAATTAATACTAATGGCTATTATTTGTACTATTACAGATGGATTAACTTAAAAAAATATCAAACATCATGCTGGAATGCAACACAGAAAAGTGGATCAACAAACCGCACAACTATTGACACACCAAATGTTGAAAAATTTACAGAGATGTCTAAGGAATGGTGGAATCCTAAAGGACCAACTTATGCCTTACATTCTATGAATTTAGTTCGGTAAGTAATATTTATAGATATGTGTCCTTGACACCTAGCAGTTGGCACATTACTTTACTATCAGATGGCTGCAAGTAGTCTGGTAATACAAGCATTAAAATTCATAAATATATCTTCTTAAGTCTTTTATATATATTCTGTTTATATTATTTACAGAATAAATATTTATGATGACTGTTCCCACTTTGAGAAAACAATTAATTCATATTATAAAGTACTATAACTACCATTTCAACTGATACAAAGCAATTTAAATTCTTTCTGAAAATTCAAGTAAAACTTATACATGTTGTCCTGTCTTGTATATACATGACAGGACAACATGTCTTATACATTTTACTATTTATATATGTTATATATTGTTAGCATGAGTAGGGATTTTTTTTTTAATCCATGATAGCTAATTGTCACAGCTTCAGGTAGAGCTATGGGGTAAAAAGGATTGTGTAAAGTGCTCTCTAAACTCGCTGAAGTATATTATATAAGCAGCCCTAATGTACCAACTTCAGACTGGGGTTTTTTTTAATACATAGTTAATGATCTCTTTTACATTTGCATTTGCACTTACATACTACAAGGGGTTCGAGCAACGTATATGACTGTCATGATATAGATGATATTGGGCAAGGGATAAATCAGAAGATTCCGGCACTTCACAGAATATTTTTTAACAAAAGCTATTCTAAGAACTTTTGCATTCTACAAAATAAATTATATTATGAATTGAAGCTCCTTCATGTATATATTGTGTTAAATTTTAGATCACATGGTAAACAGTCATTGAATAGATGGCACTAAGTGAGTAGTCCTGGGCTATTTTTTTTGTCTATTATTGTTAGTTGCCATGTCAGATATCCTCTATCACTGCTCCTCCTTGTAGTGCTCCAGTATGTAGCTTCTATATTTTTCCTATCGTTTAATGACCTGTGAACTACTTAATACACAGAGATAGAAAATATTATATAATTAAAATAAATAAAATCTGATATGCATTAATCCCTTGAGCTATGACTAAAGATATAATGAGAAAATGTGAATGTAAGCTATTTTTGAACTATAGTTTCCTATAATACTTTTTTATTCTTTTCAGAGTGCCATTCATTAGAGATGGTCTGGTACAATGTGCACCAAATGAAAGAACTACAATGCCACTGAAAGACAAAAAACTTTTGGATGTGGGTTGTGGTGGTGGGATCTTATCTGAGGTTACTTACTAATACTGCATGACTTTTTTACGGTACTCAGAAATATAGGCCTTAGTAGATCACAACTTCGCGTTAGGGCTGTGTTTCCCATCCTTTTCTGTGCCATGCCCTTCCTCAGCATTTCTAAAATTCTCATGCCCCATGTAGGCCGGCTATAGCTTAAAGATATATGGGAAATTATATTCTGTGTTTTGTTTGTCTAAAAATATAAGAAACAAAATAAACTAAGAACTGTAAATACCTCTGCTAAATATTTCTTAAATCTTTTTTTAATCTTTTTTTCTATTTATTATGCCACATTTTTTCTCCACAATTAACAATGTCATCTGGTATAATAATTTATAAAATTAAAATAATAATGTTAGTTTTTATTTTTGGAACTACTTACTTAATACTTTGATGACTTGATGCCTGTAGCCACATTTATGCTCACCTTCTGGGAACTAACTAGTCACGTTAATTGCGGTTTAGAGGAAATTCATACCACAAACACTCAGGTTGTAACATGAACAACGAGTTCAGATTTATAAAAGGCAGTTTTATGAAATTGAAATGCCAAACAAGTTGAGGAGTCCACCTGATGGTAAGCTTTAACCGTCTATGTACAAAAACACCACTGTGAGCATCTTGTTCTCATTCGAGTTAGATGTCATGCCTCTATGAAATTTCACTGCCTAAACATGAAACAGCTTACAATTCGAGCTACTTTGATGCTGAAATTGGTATTTTTTAATTGATGACAAGGGAATGATGCACCCGTCTGAGTTAACGATTTACGTTGGCGATACACTAGTAGAGGATGACAAAATGAGGTCAGGTCAGTTAACCAATAATGACAAATTCACCAGGAACCAATCACAATGGTTTCCAAGGTGAACCGCGTAGAAATAACCTGACATGGTACATTGCTATTCCCAATAGGTAGGCATATTCTTGTGTATGTGTATACTCACCGATCCTTAAGTGTATTCCATCTAGAAATTATCTCAGTAACTAAATACTTAAAGCTAATCTATTTTATTTTCAGGCTCTAAGCAGACTTGGTGCAAAGGTTACTGGTATAGACGCAAACAAAGAATTAGTCCAAATAGCACAATACCACAGTGACATAAATAAAGAATTGAATGTTAAACCAAAATACCACCATACTACTATTGAGGTTGGAATATTATATTAAATATGCATATAATAACCTAATGTAAAAAAATGTATAACTTCGAACAACTCACACAGCGCCATCTAATGTTTCCCTAAGTAAACAAAGGGAAACTACAAGTACTATGAGTACTCTTGATATACTGAAATAAATACATTTTCAATACATGATATCCATAGAAAAAGACCCAGGCTGAAAGATACCAGGAAGAAATTTGTCACCAAGATCTGTTTCTGTATATTCAAATCGCATTAACCCCTTTATTCTGCAGTCAAAATAAAAAAATGTTAATCTTCTGTGAGCAATGTAATTGATTATTAACTATACAGAAAAGAATTTGTAAAGAATGAAAACTTCTTAAATAAAATTATTTTGGTAATATTTTAGGAATATAAATGATGTGAATTAATAAAATTATTTCAGGAACACTCAAAAGAATTTAGTAATTACTACGACGGTGTAATCGCATCGGAAGTAATAGAGCATATAGTAGACAAAGAGCTATTTATCAAATCATGTATACAGGCGCTCAAACCAGAGGGACGAATATTTTTCACCACTCCAACAAGAACTCGAATTACCCAATTTCTCGGAATATGGCTTGCGGAATATGTCGTAAATATAATACCGAAAGGAACGCACCAATATGAGTTGATGATGACACCAACAGAACTAACCTTTTTGTTAGAAAGAAGTGAGTACCGAAGTTGACTTTGTACAAAGACGCTTTATTTCAGCTGACGGCAGCTTACTTTGATACATATATTTCTGTTGAAGAGTCAGATAAGCAAAGTTACAAGGTATGGAGGTATTACATTTTAGTACTCCAAAATTGCAACACATGATACCAACTACAGACACATATCATTAAAATATCGGCGCCCAAGCCCTAGTATAGAATATAATAAATAGGTGTAAAGGTATGTGTACGTGGAACTCGTTAGATTCTGAAGTTACCGGGTGCTATGAAGTAAAGATCAGTTCTAGCGACATTTTGCTTATTGCAATTAACTGAGATGGGGTAATATAATGTAAGTTGAACTCTTACTCTTTTACGTCTGGCGATCGTAACACTCGACTTGCAAACACTTCACTGAATATATTAAAATCCAACAAAGCATTCTTAGAAGCTAACACCCTCCCAATATTGTTTATTACAAAGTTTGTGAATCCACAAATATCTTTGAGGGTTTAGGTCTTTAATTCTATGTTAGGCTAGCAAACCCTTACCCAATAAAGATAAATAAGCTGAAATACAGATAAAGATTTTAATAATAATAAAACTACACTATTTTTGTTTCAGATAATTGTCATGTAGAGTTAATATACGGTCTTATATATAATCCTCTCACAAACAAATGGGGTTTTGTTAATTCACAACAGTTATTATTTGCTCTACAAGCTGTTAAACTAAAGTAATGTTTATTTATTTATCAAATGTTATAATAAAGGTGTTATTGTTTTATTTACATATTTTATTTATAAACAAACCGAAACTATCACATTACTACTACTACTTGCAAGTTGATAATTTTCAAATAATGTTGAACGGGTAGAAAATGTTGTGGGGCTAAGGCTAGTGCCTAGTTCGCTGGGCTGTACGCCCATTAACGCAAAAAGAATCATCATAATTCATAATTTATGGTAATTAAAGTATGCTCTGCTTACTCTTGTACTAATATGCTATTATCGATACGTGACACAAAGTTTATAAACTGTAGTTGAACTTTGGAGTGTCTCAGAGTTAAACATAAATAGCAAATATTAGCATTAAACGTGTTTATTTGCTCAACCGCTATTTAGAATTAGCATATTTAGTACTTTACTGTAAATGTACAACTAGCAATAAATATTTTGTCGAAAACGTTACAGAAAGTTAACTAAAATGCGAGGAATTGTTGAACTCTGCTGTTACGTATAAAACCTATACATTAAAAAGTATGTGTCAAGAACGTCATTGACAGTGATTTTATATGTTTTAATCTAAGTTATACGTCTTAACATCTTAAATCTACAAGGAATGATTTCGACGTCGTAATACAAAATTGAAATGTTTTAGGCAGACAAAATCTGTACGGCATATAATGAAACTTATTTATGATGTCTCTAACAAAGATTTTTTGGACTCCCATTAAATTTTTTAAGAAGGATGTCATAAGTTTTCTTGTTATTAGACGACACGATTTGGGTGGTAATTATACATTAGAATTTCTAGTTATTACTTTTACGACATATTCCAGTATTTATGGCATTTTTATTTACCAAAATAGTAACAAATAAGTATACAACCAATCTGATCACAAACTGTTAGCGTAGCTTGTGGAATCCAGATCAGGCGTGGCCTGTTCGTGTTGCCAACCGTTTTTAAACCTTAAATACCTTTTTTTGAAAAACCTTATGCTTTAGCCTCTAGAGAATGCCTCGGCAGTTCATTCCAGTCTAAGAGTTTGCGGTAAAAATCTTTGTAACCGCGGCATTGCTAATTAAATTAATGTTACAATTATTTTGGGAATGGTGGCACTTCCTATAGATATAGGCTTTAAGGTATGCTTCATTTATTATTTAACACTCTCAAAACATTGTAGTCACCGAGGAAAAGCTCCGTTACATAGCTCTGAAACCTACTGCATCCATGTCAATGCTTCGACAAAAAGTATGGCATCTGCTCGATTTGCCTGATTACTGTGAAGAAATAATCATATTGAAATGCAACAATGACGTTGAAATACCCTTGACGGAATTACGTAAAGGCAACGATCCACAGCATCCGTATTTGTTGGAGGTTTGGTTACCTAGATCACGACTGCAATGTGAGTTCTTCCGTCTTAATGTTTAATAAATTAATTTTATAATATATAGAAATAATTTATTTTCATTTTGGCACAACTAATGAAATGTCCTATCTACAGCGTTAACTATGGTACATAACAATATGCTCACGATGGGTGAAACAAATCATGTTGAAGAACACATTATTACCAAAGAAAATTCTACTGATAATCAAGAACTTACAAATTGTGTCAACAATATAAATGGTAAGTAGTCTAAAAACCAGCTGCCTTGATCAGGTTGGCACCTTCAGTCAATTCCTATAACAGAATACATCTTAATATCAAAATGATAGATCATTAAATAGGACATATTAGACCGATAGGAAATTACGTATTTAAGGCTACTAGAGTCAGGTAAAATTTGTCGACTATTTACATTTTTATGAAGATCAACTTTCATAGTATTATTCAAATTCCTTACTGCTCGCTGAGGAAATGACATGGTGTGCAACATCACCAGAGTCAATAGTCTTTATAAGTAGCACCTAATAACAAATATAGTAACCTGTATTGTAAGTCAACTACTAGCTTACTACTTACTATTTTATTCTGAGTTTATTTTATATTAATTTCACCATTGGTGTATATTTTACATTCAGCATTATAATCCATAACCAGCGTACCATTTAAACATTTACATTAGCGCAATATTTAATGATTATATCAAGATTATGCATTATTATTATTGTTCTGTACCTTAACAGTATTCGTGTTTTACGTATACAGTTGATATAAAAGATTTCTGTTTCAGGAAATTCCTCTATATTCGTCGAGACAATAGCGTTAAACAACCAGTGTATGATGGATAACAAAAGAGCAGCTTTCTTTCGTAATGACTACAAAAAGTCCGACCTATCTTGTCGAATCTCCAGTAATTCCTTATTCCGACTCCACAAAAATAAGAGCCGAGACAGCTTTACCAACATTTTGCTGAAAATTCAAAGCGATCTATCCACACTGAGCAGCAAATTGTCTAATTTAGAAACTAGAATACAAGCGTGAAATTCCATATTTATGGATTCAACAACAAAACATAATTTTATTAGCGTGGGATATGTACTTAAATTAAATAATGAAATAAAAAATATTTCTATAAAAATAAACAATTTTATTGTATACCAAAATAAAGCTTAATATCAAATATAAATGATACAACAATAACTGTTAATAAATAATATAGTTATATAGCACAATTACGAACGCTTCGAGTCTGATTCTTATTTACAAGAAAATTACAATGTACTAATAATACGATACCTACTTATTTCTTATAATTCCGAGGTATTTCATGTTCTGGTATTACTGACTAGGATCTATATTATTATTATTATCATCATTCATCAACATTTATAAACAATAGATAATAGAATATGTAATATAATTTTAATATACTGATCATTTTCATCAACTATAATACCATTATGTTTTTTTTTCGCATTTTCCGTAAACCCAATATCTCAATTTCAATAAATTAGCATAAATAAGGCGTCTTTGGTGACAATTTTCCCTATATTACTTTATCTAGAATTATACAGATTTATCAATTAAATTTAAATAGAATCCATACAGTAACAGCAATAGTAAAGACCATCCATATTTAAGATTAAGGAATTGTCGTCGGATCATAGAATTTGAATTCTGAAAGGAAAAAAGATATATTATAATACACACTACAAGTAAAATAGTAATTTCCTTATCAACAACAACATATTTTTAATCCACATATGGATTGTATATGGTAAATTAAAACATTTGTGCTACGACGAACTAATACTAGTTTTATAGTAGTATTTCTCCTTGGCTGTATTTAAACTACTAATTAGCGGTAGGATAAAAAGAATGTCTACGCTTATGTTAAATATATTTGAATATAGACTATATTGAATAAAAATTTAAAAGTAAGTATATTTTTCTGAGTACGTCACACAGAATGATCACTGTCGACCTGTTGATCCGCTTTGTGCTTTACGTTCTGCCATTCATCAAGCACTTCGTCAGATATTTACAATTCCCGGTAATATAAATTACTTTAATAACACTATATTTTTTAGACTAATTCATAATTTCTTAGTGGTCGGCATATATGTTTTGTCCTATAGTTTATTACTTCGAACTTCTCACTGATTTTGTAAACATACAACTAAACTCAGTAAACACGCATACGTACACGTATATACTGCATATAGAAAAAATTTTTTTTTGTTGCATGTTGTTAGCATCTGCTACGACTTCTCAAAAAGGACGAAAACGGGTCTCTCGAGTGATGGCGAAAAAAGTGATAAAACAAGTGTTCCACTCACCTTATATTCAAGTTGGTATATACTCTGCATACAGCACTTGGTCATCACTCTGAAACCACACATCCTATCCTGTGTACCCAAGGCGTACTCTATACTACGTATCAGGTCATTTGTTTTAAGTACTAACAATGCTTGCCTATCCACGTGTTCTAAACACTGGGTGACATAATGTAGAAAATTCGGTAATTCATTTTGGAATGTAGATTTCTGAAAAAATAAATATGTTATAAATATAAGCTTACTGGCATTATGATATTATGATATAAGTCCCTAAATAATAGTAAGAATAAAAAATATATATATAAGCATACTGTATGTGTTATATGTATGTACTAATGACTAATAAGTTATAATATTATACATAAAATCTAGCTTGTTTAGAAACACAAGTAGGCGTTGTAGTCTTAAAAAATAAAATCTATACATATAAGTTTACATTCTAATCACATATAGATCAATATATATTTAATAACTGCATTGTGTATAAACTTTTGACTCCAAAATATGCTTAATTCCTAGCACGACTCCTTAATACGGACGGACATGAACACCAGTACGGGTATCGCAACATGCTCTTTGACTACTGGTATCTGGATCTCTTATTTAATATATTTGTTTGAATTACTAAAGACTAAATCACATAGACTATTTCTTTCACTCAGGTAGGCCTTCAGCTTGTTTGCCATTCCAGTAGTATAAAAATCGATTTGTGATAAGTGAACTGTAATTCACTGTGTATTTATCTACGAAATACAAACGCAACAGCGCATCAAAGTTAGCTCATACATATCGTGCCGGGAACTGTTGCTATGGTTGGAATTATGTAACATGCATAGTATACATTAATTGGACCTATAAAATATATTAAATTACACGTTTAAGTCATATTTAACTACCCATGTATATATACTGTATTGTGAAGGTAATAGTCGAGGCGGCGAATTGATATGAGGCGATTTCATGTAATTCTCTAATGCATGAGTACATAAACTCTTCTATTTTAGAGGTGGTGGGCTTTTACATTTTATTGCGTGGTATATACTTTCTGTACTGTTCTATTTACCTGTGGTGCTGTTCGTGTCAATAGGTGCCTATTGACACGATTATCATGTTGTCACATGATGCGATTGATATCTCTCATGCATTGCCATTTCCTAGGAGTAAATTGTCATGTCACAGCACCATATAGTTTGTGCTTTATATCAACTTTCAATACGAAACAACACTTACAAAGCATGTTACTTGGTGGCTAAATAGGCGAGACCCACGCTGATGACTATACAAAGTAACTTTCGGCGAAAAGTAAGAGAATGTGACAATATTTCATGTTTGTTGATTTTGTTACCAGTCCCTACCATGTGAAGTCAAACATTACTTAACATTGTCAATAAAATTCTAATAAGAAATGCTATCTTCGTTATAAAAGCATAGTTACATATGTTAGTAATTTCAGCACTAACCTCTTCTAATGTTGGCTTAGTGTTCTGTATACCTTTCATAATGGAATCCCAAGGACGCCCTGTCACCATGCAGGCAAATAGTCCGTATAACTCTTTACGAATACCCAATACTTCTGAGTGTATTCTCATCTCTTCACGATCTCTAGATAGAATTGATAACCACAGTTTTGAGTAGTGATATCTGAACTTATCTGTTAATTGCTAAAAATCATAAATAGTTTTATTAATATTAAGATGGACATAAAAGAATACTAATACTAACTCGAAAAAAGACTAAGAAAATCATCTTTTTAAGAGTGGTGCGACCACCTAGTCTCTATCCTTAGGTTATCTAGATATTTATGTACCTATAAGTCCCGAAGGTAGAACACTAGTTCCTAATAGTTAACCACTCCGACTTAGGTCCTTAGATTGTATATGACATCATAAAATTATTGTATCAAACCAGATTAATCCGATAGACGACGGCTCGCCATCTACTGAACTTTGTATGTGAACTTCAGTGTAAAATTTATATCTGGGCCTTGTAAATACAAGATATTGCTATTATAATGTTATATTTAGAAAGATATTGTGATTTATCTTCTATTGTTCGTTGGATTCTGCTACTGACATATCGTGTGACAGCATAGTAATGTCCGTCATCTCATTATCATGTAACGACCGTGGTATGCTCAGTCATTGGCATTACGAAGGACTAAGGTACAGTCCAATTGAGAGAATATCTTTCAGTCTGTCTTTTGAATTTGATTGATTACCCATGGATTTTAAAGTACTTATGCTAAGTATTAATTGTAATTATGAAATTACGACTTTACATACAGGTATTTAAATGTACATAGTAACTTTTATATTATTATATTTTTGTATTATCAAGTACCACACGTATGGATACAACACATCTGTCGTAGTAACTGGTTCTGTCAGTATAGTCTTGCAATGTTTTATTAATTAGATAATGGATACATTGTTATCACAAAGTGTAACAACCCCATCATTGGTCATTGGTCATTTTTGTCTGTCTGTCGGTCTATTTGTTCAGGCTAATCTCTGAAATCGCTGGACTGATTTTGACGAGACTTATTGGCAGGTAGCTGATGTAATAGGGAGTAACTTAGGCTACTTTTATTTTAGAAAAATTAAGTTAAATTCCACGCAGACATAGTCCCGAGAACAGCTCATCAATAAAAATTAAATTTTTATCAACAACTTACAGCATACAAACCATGGTCCAACAGAAAGACTGTTACTTCTTTCTCCCCTGGGTCCTGTTTGACCAGGATATTACCAGGGTGAGGATCGCTGTGTACAAAACCGCTAATAAAGATCATGTGAGAATACAAGTCCCCGAGTTTTGCACATAGATCAAATCTATTAATTTTATGTTCCTGAAATATAAAAAATAAGATACAATTAATTAGCATATCATATCAGGAACAGTTTACAAAAAAAATACATATTTAGATATTTAATTCAATTTAAGCATTTATTTACTAAACAGAAAAATACATTTCCAGTTGTTTTTTTTTTGCATAATTAATATAACACCCCTCTAGTCAGTGTATCTTTGGACACAAAGTCATTTAGATATAATATAAATTTGTTCAATTATAAAATAATAATATAAAAACTGATATGATATGACATGTAACTTAGTTTTGTGTTAAAGCTTACTATACTGAAATGCTTAGTTTCAGTAGAACCAGTGAGAGTAGCAATTGAATTTATATGATAGATGTCAAATCAAAACATACTTCATTCTACATGGGCTCATGTTTATTACATTAAATACACATTTTTCATTAAATGAAATATTAGTTTTTTATCTATATTAATAATAAATATACATAATACTTTATTTTAAGTGTAGTAATTGTTCTCTAAGTGATATGAAAATATTAGAAATACTGATATAAAAATGTATTTTCCTATACTTACATCAATATATTTAGCATCATTCACTAATCCACCAACTACATACTCCATAACTAAAACTCTTTCAGAACTGTAGTCCCAAAATATTTTTGGAACTTTCAACCACTTATAGTGACTAAACAGAGATGCAACTCTTTCAGCATTCTTTCCTTCTTGCAGGAAATCCAGTTCTTTTGCTATATTCTTCTTTGTTTCCTCAACAAGCCACTGCATTTGGAAATCTGGGAATACTTTGGACATTGTTGTAATTATAAACTCCATCCATCTTAAGTCCATATTAATATTTTTACGTACAAAATGATGTTGAACTTTTACAGCTACTGTATTGCCGTCTTTCAGTTTCGCTCTGTGAACTTGTGCTAAAGAAGCTGTACCAAGTGGTTCTGGATCAAATTCATCGAACAATTCACTGGGCTGAAAATATATGAAAATTAAATATTCATTACATAAGTAGATAATTTTATCTTATGTAGTGTTGTCTTTACAATCCCCTACAAAGAAGCCCCATGCATGTTTCTGGGACTATGAATCCCAGATTTAATTGATAATAATAAATATTACTAGTGTCCAACTAAACTTTAGGTTTAATTGGGACCTGGTTTTTAAGCAAAATTTGTCTACAATTAAGCCAAAACTACATCAGTAAATATAAAACATTTTTGTGAATAGTAAATAGTTAAATTTGATTATATTGACTAACAATAATATTTAATTATAGTACTTCATATATCATTTATATATTTTCATTTTCATAAGAAAATATTCAAAAAAAGTTTATTTAGATTGAAAATGAAACATGATGTTAAAAAAAAAATAGGTTATGATAAAACCTACTTTCAGTTAGATTATATGTGGTGTACATGTAATGCAGTATTAATTCCAAATAGATTGGTGTTGGATTGATATAAATACTTATGTAATTATTTTGAGCCATTCATAGAGTAATATTATAATTCTTATAATTTGTATTAACAATGCTGGAATAAATCTGTAACAATATCACAGAAATGAAAATAGATTTCAAATGTGTTACATAATCATATACAATAATAATTCCCAGTCTAATAATATTTTTATTACATTAATATCTAATTTCCAAAAATAAACAAATACTAATGCTTGGTATATTTGAAAGAAAGAAAGAAAGATTTACATATTATTAGACTATCAAATGTAAAATTGATAACATTTGCTAAAAAATGTAGGTCAAGAAGAATCAGAAAATATAATTCTATACCCATAGGATAATATATAATATCTTATTAAAATTGACAGGTAAAATTAACTTATAATTTAATCATAAATGATTATACAGCAATCAGCTAGGATGTCTTGGAATATTTATATTTATGTATATCCTAGGTTATTGCTGTATAATATTTAACAATTATATTTATTGCACAATATTTAGAGCACATTATAATAAATGAATAATAAACTATTATTAAAAAAAATGCCATTAATTTATGTTAATTACAGGTACAATTATAATAATAACTAATTAAGGCAATAAAGTGCAATTTGAAAGTGGCATTCCATAATTCCAATAAAATAATACTTAAATTTATATTTAGAGATATCTTTAAATATAAAATTATTTGATAAAAGTATTTTAATATCCACCATTAATTACATTAAAATATCTTTCAATATGTACAGTTATAAACTATCATAATCTAAAATTGCTTATGCAACCTAAACCATAAAATTGAAATGTGTAATTATAAAGTATGTTTCTCATATTTTATCATTGAAAAAAATATTAAAGAAAAAGTATTTCAGAATGTACACCAATGATAAAAATTAAGAATACCTTTTGTTTCAAATCCTCCTCTATAACTTTATACAGTTCCTCAACTGTGTTCTGTGGAGCATTCTTATGCAAAATACGCATTGTCGTAACATATTCATTTGGTAGTAAATAATCTAAGGCACCAACATGTTGGCCTACTTTTATATAGACTCCTTTATTAGCTTTACACAGTTCCAAGAGTTTTTCTGCTCCTATTCGATGCGCTTGACTTTTGACCTCTATATATTCTTGGGAAGTTCTATCCCATTCTTTGCTATATAGCATAGATTGGTAGGTCCTTCCAATCTCCACTGCTGTGAGCGCAGTTCTTGTAATCCTTACTATAGCCAGGGAATTGTAATCCTCATCTTGGAATTTCAAAGCGCTAACAGTACCACCAATTGCTACGCTACCATAAATCCCGTATTTAACCACACGTGTAATATTCCTCGAAAACATTTTATTAATATTTTACATTCGCCTATATATTTTTCATTTTCTTAATGGAAGTAGGACTTAGTATAATATAACATAAATAAAACTTTCTATTGTAATTATTATGAATTTAACTCATACAGCTATTGTTAAAAGTAGGTGACTGACACTACAAATCAAATCAGAACTCCTGACAGCACTAACTAAACTGAGAATAGAGAACTGCGTCAATGTCAATACGATATAACCGGTAAGAACAACTTATGTGAGTTTGACTTTATAACATTAATTTAGATAGATAGATAGATAAAATATACTTTATTTGCAACATACAGTAAAGTAGAGGCACAAACAATATAACAAAGGACACACGTATCGTTACAATAAGGCGGCGTTAATTTACGTATTTTCATTGATCTGTAGGGACGCTATCTAATGAAACAAAAGACTTTATACATCATAACCAAACTTATAAAATATTGGTCAATAAAAAACATTGTTTAGTAAGTTTTTCACGTAATAATTATTTTTGGAAAAACCTAGTATAGGTTGCTTGCCTTCTTGTTAGACAAGATTCCTTTCATAACTTAATGAAAATCTTAAGAAATTTAATTTATTGCAGAAGTCTGCTTTTATAGTAATGGTTTAACATAATAATATAAGTATTAAACATTACCCATTTCTGACATGAAATAGGTAAGATGTGTTTTTATCAGTTGTATTTTATTTCTAAAACAATTCGAAGTTTACAAATTTTAATCAATGTATTTATTTCAAATAAATTTATATATATATAAATAATAAATTCAATATATTTAAGTCAAATTTATTTGCGTGGAATAATTGAATTAAATTACAAATATGCAGATTAGATTATCTTATCTACTTATATGGACAAGCATATAGACTGTATTCCATAGCCGTTATAACATTGTTATTTAAAAAAAAATAACATTTGTCTTTTCTTTTGTGTCCGCGTTCCGTTTCCGTTGACGTTTCTTAATTCTTTCAGGCAAAATTCTCCAAAAATGAAGGCTAAAGGAGAGGTTAGTTATATATTTTTATAGAAAATAATACATTATATTATCCAAAACTCATTTATTCACTGGGTATTTGATTTGCTCTTTATCTTAAACTATAACAGAAATACTAACTAAACATGTGAATGATGATTACTTACATACACGTTGTCGCTAGTTTTATCAGACTTTTATTTCTTTATTTTGTTTGTTTTATTTTAATTCTTCAGAGTTTCTAAATTAACTTAGTATATACACACTCCAGTAATTACTTAAAATTTAGTTGTGTGTAATTAGTATGGTTTAATCAATTTATATTTTCTCATATATTAGGTTATGTCATGTTGTGATATGTCGATATTATACCATTATAAACTAGGATTTCATTACAAAACGAATAATGTGTGTCGTGTCTTTAAGAGAAGTCTAAAGATGTCCATCTATATAAAATTTACCACAACTAAAAATAGAATTGTCAGAAAAGCTAGAATAATTAATGCAAATTTCATTTTGTCTCGGTCCATCCACATATCATGGTTATAGAAAAAAGTTGGCACTAATAATGTTCTTTATATCATATGAACATCACCTGAAATATCTTAACACTTTACATGTATTCCATTATCACGCTATGTAAGGCTCATGCTATGGGTACAATACTTATTGATACAAATATATTATATATATATTACTTTCTTTTTACCTAGACCAAGACAAACATTCTATGTACCATACTAAAATCACAAATATTGTATGTATGAAACATATGAATATCAGACGGCAAAGAAACATACTAAACCGCAACAGCATGGTGCTTGTTAAATAGTTATAATTCAATTTTTCTGTCAAATCATGAAGTTTATACCATATTACTTTGTCCTAAATCACTCTTTTCAAGTTTATTTTATAAATACATTTACAAAATATTGCAGTTGAAGGAATATGAGGTCATCGGCCGCAAGCTCCCATCGGACAGTGAGCCAAAACCTCCACTCTACAAAATGAGAATCTTTTCACCTGACCCCATTGTAGCCAAGTCCCGTTTCTGGTATTTCTTGAGACAATTGAAGAAGTTCAAGAAAACCACAGGAGAAATTGTTTCTATTAAGGTAAGCATTTAAACAATAAAGTATTATCTATTTTTATATTAATATTAGCTAGTTATTTTATTTATTTAAAAATAGCCATTTAAAAATTACACTATTTTTATTTTAATGATTATTAATAAATTTTAATTAATATAAAAATGGTGCTGTATTGTTGTATTTTATTTCTATATATAATAATAATAATATAAAAAATATAAATTTTGCTTTTAATCTACCCAATATTGTATTATTTCATATATATTTTCCATTCATAAATGATCTATGTCATATTAAGAATAATATGCAATTATTCTATTAACATTTAGATAAATTATTTATTTGGTGTTTTTCAGGAAATCCCAGAAAAGAGTCCAGTGAAAATTAAGAACTTTGGTATTTGGCTGCGATATGAGTCCCGGTCGGGCGTACACAATATGTACCGTGAATATCGCGACTTGAGCGTTGGTGGCGCCGTCACGCAGTGCTACCGCGATATGGGTGCTCGGCATCGCGCGCGGGCACACTCTATACAGGTATGTATTCATTAGCTCATTAAGCATGATAGATTTAGGTTACAGTACCACAGATGTAAATACTTGGAAATAGCCCAAACCTCCACCAATATATATCCACCAAGAATACACTTAATGCTTTATGTTTTCTAATACTTGTTGTAGAATACATCAATCAATAGGTTTGTTTGCCACATATCTACTATTACATATTCTATAAAGAGTGTACTATGAACCTGCATTCAACTTCTTATCCAATCCGATTATACCAAAAGTGTGTTGAAATATTGTCTGGAATTGCAATATACATTTGCAGTGCAGAGTCTATGTATGTATAGAGTCAATGTATATATACATTACATTAAAGGTTTGTTAGATACAAACCTTAAATGATTATCAAATTGAAAGAAGAAAAGTTTTTAACATTTAGATTTAACTTTTTTTCATACTTTAAAGGGATTGTATCTACTAAAATATATAAAGCTAAAGAATTAGTCTGTTGTGGCATGATACACATTTTATAAAAAAAACATTTCTTTCAAATTAGAATGTGGAACAGCTTGTTTCATTTATAGTGCTAGTCATAAAGAGTATCAAATAAATGTGCCTCATAGTACAATACAATATGCATGACCTCCACTATGCAACTGTAAAGCACAAATTATAATAAGTATGTTTTAATTTGGTCTTGGTAGGCCACTGGTGTCTGAAATTTGGGCTTGGCCTAGTATAGACATTACTGCACTGGACTAATGTTAAAGGTTTTTTGAATAACAAGTTACTGGCTTTATCTAGGTAACTACTATTTGTTTAATAATACTAAGACTTGTAACTTTTACACAGATAATCCTGTATAGGATTAATTTCTTTATGAGTCGTAAATGGAGTTGTACCGAAAACTTACCTTAGGAGTATTAGGAAGTTACAGGGAAGAGTGAAACAATTTGTATTAACATTCTAATGATAGTGTATCAATAGCTTTGTTAATAAATATTGTAATAACTACTTATTTATTAGGTTATTGAATAAATTAATGAAGGTACATGCACTTTAAATCTAGACTGGCACATTTTTTACACACACACACACATATATATATATATATATTTACTAATATAATATTTCTCTTGTTTAGATAATTAAAGTGGAAGTAATAAAGGCTGCGGCGTGCCGGCGACCACAAGTCAAACAGTTCCACAACAGCGCCATCAGATTCCCGCTGCCGAAACGTGTACACCACCACAAACGTCTCAACACATTCGCCTACAAGAGGCCCAGTACATACTTCTTGTAATTTTAATAATAATGAGACTATCAACAATAAAATCCATGTAATGTGGAATCTATTAAAAAGTTTGAATTATTTTTATTATCTCTTTACTATATTGAAGTAATATGGTAATTTTTACAATCAATGTCATGACTGAACCATCAGAAATTCCTTATAAATTCCACCTGCTAGTCACTTGCCCAATGTGTGGATTAGCTAAGTCTTTTCTTATTTTCTATGTCAACTATAAACATGAAGTACACAATCCATCATAAAGTATATCGTGAGTACCGCCCAGGGTACCATCAAATTATTGCCATTCTTGACTGGTATTTATAACTACGTACACTCCAATTTTACAACTATAACGTCGTCCATTAAATACGAAAATAGCTTGAAAGTAAACTGAAAATAACCTTTGTAATCTACTTCATAGTAGATGAACTGGAAAATAAAATAAAAATTATAAATATAACACTTTATTTAAACAATACATTACGGAGATCACAAATCGAATACACTGCCAAAATACAAACAAATAGAAGTTAATCACAATTTATTTCACAGTCTTCTAAGTGACATATTTTATAAAATACATAATTATAATTTAAATTTTGTTTCACTATAAAATTTCTCGTAAATAAAAATGTTTCACATAAATTATAATAATCAGTACATAATTACATTGATTAAAATTAATATTTTTGAAGTATATTTAAGATTAACAACTAAACGACTATAATTATAAACAATAGTCTATTTTTGTATATAACTAATTTATAAGCATACTTGGTTTTTTATACTAAGAAAATAGGAAAGCTCTGGAGGAAATGTATACACCTATATTTAACATCACTTACATATTCGATATAAACATCTATAACATAAAAGAATATGAAAGGAAAACATTGTATTAGCATAACTGAACCTATAATTCAACTTTTATTTTGTCAATACGGGACGACTAAGAATGAACTATCTCAAATAAATTAAAGAAAATTTATTTATTATATCAATTAATCGATGTTGATTGCGGCCATGCAGAAATACGGAGCAAGCTACTTATTTATAAATGTAAAATTATGACAGTGATAAAAGTCGTATGTAACATGTATACATAAAATATATTCAATATATTATTAACAATATTTTTAAGATTAGAGGTTACTTTATAAAACAAATAATATAAGAGCCGAACAAATGAATAAAAAAATTATCTATTTCCTTGCATATGTTTTCAGGTGTGTATACCACAGCTAAGTTATAAATTCATCTATAAATACGAAAATCTTTCCTTTAAGGATACCTTCAATATTTGCTGTACGTTAAATATTGTAGTTACATTTCGTCTATAGCTCACTGGTTTGTTATATACTGTACAACTTTATTACCTGTATTTTCATTAATATCTAATACCTGGAAATCATGTTATTAATTATACTTTTGTGACTACACAATCAATCCAGTATTTTTTATGTTAATATATTGACATGATGACAATAACGAAGAAACAATTGAATTATTATTTTAAATATTGAGTAAATAAATGCAATAAATCGCAGAATTTTAACAAACAATAAATACCACAGACATCACTTCGTCATGTAATCCCTGCATGCATTTCAATTTCGGAGGACTAAGGTGTCAGGCCTCGTTACCCTACAATTTTACTCTTATATCTCCTCTTAAAACCGGGACAACTTACGAGGTAAGTTCCTTAGCGACTGAAATATAGAGGTACCCACGCAGATGACTAAAATCTACTGTATACCTATACACTAATGTACATTTTTCTTTATATAAAAAGTAGGCAAATATTGTTTCATTATAATATATTTCTTTTATTATACTTAATTAACGGGAATTACTGTATAAAAACGTTTTATTCAAATTATTATGTGTCCAATAATTTGAGTGCCAATTTAGCAGCTGCACGCTTGGCTTGTGATTGGTTGCTCCCCATGCCGTACACAGTGTAGCGACTTCCTTTCTTCGATACTGTTACGGGTATAATCACTTTGGGTATATCTGATTCTGTCAACTTCGATTTTCTACAAACAAAAATATTATTATTTTAACATTTTATGTAATTGAAATGGCGAAAACGCTGACGGTAAGCTGTGACATTGTGAAACTATACTAGACTACTTACAAGTAGCCATTCCGGAGGACAAATATAGTAAGTTATGCTTCGAATCCTGTAATTTGACTGTCATATCACTCTTTAAAGGGGAAAGGCTCGAAGCTTCCTGACAAATCAAATCAAAATATCTTTATTAATGCAGTATATCTAGTACTATTATGTATTACTCATACTCTTATGATATGTTAAAAACTACCGTCAACTGCTCTCCTAAGCATTCGAGCTAACGAGAACTGACAATAAACTCAGCTCTTATTCTTTTCAAATGTGCGTACATGTTTAGAAAAATACTAGAGATGAAACAGATAGCAATTTGGCCGGATACCGGATACCGGATATTCGCCCAACCATGTGACCGAATAGTCGGATATCCGGTTTATTTATCTAACTAATAAATTCATTTTCTTTCTATAACAGTCATTTACTATTGAGTGATTAAAAATTGTTATTGTGATGTTGTGATTAAAAAGTGATTAAATAAAACTAAAACTAATTTTAGTCCTTAAGTAATACTGAGACTAAATAAAGCAAATAATTACTAAAAAAAATATTTTTTTATAATAGGAGTCCGGTATTCGGCCGGATAGTATTAAGGCCGCCGGATAGTTACCGGATATTCGTTTCATCTCTAATAAATACAGATTCTTTTATAAATTTCAATTAAGAAGAATTTTGACAAAATTGATTGAGCCGGCCGACCACGCCGCCACAAGTTTACTTTATATGACTGTTTCAAGACAGCAGATATAGATGAGATAGAGGTACGCAGATTATTTTATCTACCTGCGTTGTTATGGATTGAATATTTAGTGTGCTTTTTGGTTTTAGTAGAGAGGTAAATGCATACCCAAATACAGCGCACGCGTGTACCCTTTCATAGAGAACTTTCACAGGCTGTTGTGGTATACAGTTGGAGAAGTTTTCGATCTCTTTCCACATGATGCGATAGATCACTGACCAAACTGTCTCCAGGTTGCCACCACTGTCCAGGAATATTGCGCCCACCAAGGACTCGAATATATCGCTCAGTACCTGTGGAATGTGCCATAAATAATGTAATATTTATAAGAGAGTCTCATTCCCATCCCATAAAAGCCTACTCGCATGGTTATCATGTACTCAAACAAGGCGTTTAAAATTATTCCAACGTTTATTGTTCTTATAAAAATTATTACAATGTAGCATAGTGTTAACAACACTATCCTTTTTAGCCGAATACACAGTATGTGTGTAAAAAGAACAAACATGAGACCAGTTTTTATAGTTTAATCCAGTACGAACAAAACAGGCAACGACAGAAAACTTTGGTGTTCTGTCCATACATAAATAAATTAAATGCATAAACTTCAATATAGCTTGTTAGTTTGAAACTGCGCTAATCTCTGGAACTGTGTACGTGAAGAATATTTTTTTAAATTTTATAATTCAATCATTGAGGAAAGAGTACTTGAAGAATAAGCTAATATGAAGGAATATTAAGCGAGAAGAGGGTAGTAATACGACCCTATTTCTTTTAAGTAATAATAATATCGAGAATCGCAGATTTCGCAGAATTCGAAGAGCGCCTTCTAGTTCCAGAGTAAGTAGATTGGGTACTTTAATTATTATTATTTAATTGAAAAATAACAGGTTGAAATAATTAAATAAATTTAGGTAAGAAACAATATAAATAAAGCACCCAGAGCAATACAAATAATGATACTTCTGAATACAAAGTTATCAATTTTATGTTTGCACAATGCGAGAATCGAACCTGCGAATATGAGAAGGGGGTGTTTCACACCGCTAGTCTACATATGTCGCGAAAATTTCTTTTAAACTGCGGGTAAAATTACTAAGCACGACTAGGATATATTTAAGATTGGTATACCTTAGGTACTTCCACGTATTCTGCAATTCGAGATTCCTCTTCATCAATCAAGTATAGAACATCTTCGATGATCTGGTGATCACGCTGCTCTTGGTGTCGTACGAAATTCATTATAGCGTTATCGAGGACCGGATTTAGTTGTGAACACAAGTACCTAAAATATATTTTTTTAATTAATGACAATGGAACGGTATGCAGGCAGGTGCCAACGGTACGCTGATGAACAGGTAGTGACAAATTCACCAGAACTTAACTACGACTGTCCCAGGGGGCTGATGATGGGGCTCAGAAATACGGTCAATAACAATTCCCGCCTTGTAACTAAAATAGGACAATAACTAGAAGAGACAGGATACGTAAATACTTAAGTGTGATAGTGATAGTTAAGCTATTAGATAGTAGCCATAATCAGGTACTAAGGCCCAGCACAAATTATCGACCCACAGGTTTATTTTTTAATTTTATACTTGCAGGAAATCAACAGGTAGGGGGGGAGGGAGAGGATCTCATGCCACAAACCCCCCGTTTGTGGCATGAGATGGTAGCGAACATTTATGTTATAAAATGTTGCCATATGGGTTTTAACCGGGACTCGATCCTGGCACCCGGCACCCGGTCCACTTCATGGAATGTGATAACCGTTAGTTATAAACAGTTTCATGGACGTATAGCTTCTTGTTGGTAGAAATATGAGTAACATGGATGATAAAAATGGTGAAATATTTTTCTATTATAAAACTTACTTGTGTAGATTCAGTTTCACAACATATGATGCGAAAGTGACATTATTCACTAGAGCTGATCTCAAATCCGTCAACTCACCCGGCTTCAGCCGTCTAGAGTTTTCAAAAATATGTGCCGTAATTAAGAAGTCAATAATAGCGTCACCTAAAAATTCTAACCGCTCGTAGGAACGAGTAAAACGATTACGGATATACGTTGGGTGCGACATTGCCTGAAAAACAATTACAAGACTTTAGTGAAAATCGAATTGCCTTCATATTATGCTACATTCTTTTCGCAAGGCAAAACGTCACCTGGCCTAATAAGAGTCAGTAAAAAAAATAAATAGAAATAACAAAATGAACTTAATGTTAAAAACTATGGAGCGGAATTGCATATATAGGGTAAAGTAATCGCAGCGTAGACAATTTGCGATTATTTTAATGAGTACCACATACCTCCAGCAAATGGGACGGATCCTTGAACTTATAATTAAGTATTTCTTCTACGTCGCTGGTGTAATAATTTAGCAGGAAGTTGATATCTTGCTGATTTGCACGGCCTTGTGTTATCACCGTTGGCACAACTTTATGTAGAAATTGTTCGAAATTTTCCTTGTAAAAAAGAAAAATATTAAGAAAGCGGACATATAGTTATAATAGTTCATGACTATAATGTGGTAAGGAGATAGTTTACAATATATTTAACATCGACATCCATGCCAGAAAGAGTGTAAGCATACTGTTTACCTACTGTTTGGTTTGATATCAGTATTTCCATCACTAGAGTCCGACAGAAATCCATACTAACATTATAAAATGCGAAAGTGTGTAAGTCTATTTGTATACATGTTACCATTTTACATATTTTGAGTCAAAAAATAGTCTAATACAATATATGCAAATACTATGTCTTTACTTAATTTGAATTATGTACCTGATAAACTGTTTAATTGAAAAAGTGTTCATCAAAGATTTTCAGCTCATCACTTTAATATTTACCTGTGGTGGCAAAATTCTGAACCACTCCAGAACTTTCACAGCGCCAAGAATACCACCACTCAAAAGGTAAGTTCCAACAAGGGCTTCGACACAATCAGCCACAGACTAAAAAGAAAAAGACAGATGGTACTCAACATTATATAAGAAAAGGGTGATTAAAGACGGCAAATACTAAACGAAGCGATAGTGTCCTCCTCACGTCCTTGACTTGACGACAACAATACTTAAGTAACCAAACATAATAATGATGGATATAGGATTTAAAATGAATGTTTATCCATATATTTATTTGAATCTTAGTGATTACTTACTCAGTAAATATAAACACTCAATTTAGTGTATAAAAACTAAAACTGAGAATACTTACTACTAAGCCGTAGGAGAGCAATTTTAATAAAAGTCAAGCATACATTTAGATTACTATCATCAAAGTTAGGACAAACACTAACAATTATGATAATAAATGTAATATACGCATGTATTATAATACCTATGCACATAGCAATACCTTGTCAGACACGGCCTGTGCGCGCACGTAACACTGCATAGAATTTTGAACTTCTCCATTTGGCTCTTTTTCTGATGCGTCACAATTGGTGTACCGGCTTATAACTGATTCCCAACTCTCATCAGACAATGAACCACTCAATGCCTCAGACTGCGAGAATTGCATGCCGATGAGGAACGTTGGCCTGATCTGTAAATAATGAATAACAGTTATGAGGTATGCTATTTTTAGTATAGTTAAAAAAAAATGAGTAAGACAGGAGCACAGATATTATTATAATAGTAAACTTTGTTAATTGCAAAATGAATCGTTAAAATCTGTTCAGTTAATACAACTGCGTATACGCAAACCTCCCTATAAAAACCTCCCCCTTATAAGGGGGAGGATTTTATACATTAATCAATTAACTTAATAGGGTATTTAATCAATAGGCTACCTAAATGTTTTAATTTAAGGGCTCATATCTATTCAAAAGTGCTATGAAATTTATGATAGTTTAAACTAGATAAGTACATACTGTATTGTGTTCAGATGTTCTTTCACCGCAGCGTAGTAGTACATCGCAAGTTAATTTTAATTGAATTTAAGTTTAACTTGACATATACATTATATTATAATAATACATACATTAAAAATATTATGTACACATTCTGCAACAATGTACAATAAATGCTAAGTACCTACTTAGGTATTCTTTATATCTCACTGTACAGTGTTAGTTACATATATCTTACAGGTTCAAATTTTTCTTTTTATTAATTTAAGTTAAAATATTAAATAATATAATATTGTAAAATTATTATTTATTAAAGGATTGCATGCCTCGTAAATAAAATCAAATAGGCCTAGTCAATTATTCGCCTCGTCCTTTCAGCACTCGATCAACAATCACTTCATTTGCGACGCCGATAATAATTCTAATAAAAGCTACCAAAGCAAAGATGTCATGAACCATGTATAGAAGTCGAATGATTCATAGTTTATGTTTTAATGTTACCTACTCGAATTTATTATCTTTTTTTTATAGATAGGTATGAATTGTGTTCGATGGTTTAGTAATCATAATCTGCTTAGTAATTTGATAACGTTGTCCAAACAACTAAACCTAGTAGTCCAAATAATATATTATAAGAATGTTGCCACACTCACACACACAATAGAATTATGTTACATATTTTCTGAAAATTTCTTAATTCGATTATATCTTTATTGTGTGTAACATCTTCGTCAATTCTAAATGTAATGTATGAAATAATATTAACCTCAAGGAACAATAATATCAAATAAAAATATACCTAACAATGAATGAGCTACTACTACGTTCTGAGAGTAGTAACTAAAACCAATTAAAACGTATTGTGCCAAAATTCTTAGTAACTTTCGCTGAATGAATATCAGAGTGTCAGCGGACGAAAGTTTGAGTACTTAAGGTTTAAGTGAAAGTCAACTGTTCCAGCATCACTAATATTATTTTTTTGTAGTTCTAGAGTTCGATTTCAATAACATGTGAAAAGCTTTTACTTCTGAAGAATAACAGATATTAAAATGAATTGATATTGAGTACTAAGTAATTATACGTATTATATTAAAGGTAGGTATAAATATAAACCTTCCAGAAGAAATTCTCGAAACAATTGTAAAAACGATGTCTGCGCGGTTAAAAAGAAGTAAACAGATAAATAATTGAATACAGCAACTTATTTCGTACTTAATATATTGACATCATAAGCACTCAAGCAATTCAAATTTTAAAATATTATTAAATTATTATCGGGTAGAGAGCATATTCTAAAAAATGTAGTAGTTCACATTGTAAAGTACCTACCTGCATGTCATAAGTGCACTGAATGCTATAATATACTATCCTAATAAGAAATACTTTTATTCATTTGTACAAACAAATTAATGCTTAATATGTAATATAAATAAAATATATTACACAATTACGCTCATTAAAATATTTCGTACACAAGTAAACGGTGTTCTAGATAAACAGAAGATACTTTTTTTACATTTTGTCATGCCAAATCATGGATTTTTCCCGGTTAAAGCATACAAAATTGGCAGTCAGATTATTAGGTTGTGCATTTCAATTCACATAGAACCGAATAGACATTATAAATTCGAAAGTATTAATATTATTAATAAGTAAGTAAGTATAGTCTGTATGTCTTTTTGTTACCATTTCACAACTAAAAGACTGAACGGATTTTAATAAAGTATACGAAGATAGAATGTATCAAGAAAATGTTATATTTTATCTAAAAAGAACTTATGAAGTTGTGGCTTATTTTATACATAAATAAATAAGTAATTTATAGCTTTCTAACTATATTAATAAAAAATATAGCATAGCTTGTGGTGAATGAACACGCGTGTGAGGTCGAGGTCGAATTATAATATCGTAAAGACGCGACAGTATTGTGGGTGAGAGTAGCTGAAACGGTCGGAGAAAATATTTCGGCTCCTGACATAGGCGCAAGAGTACGCGCTATAAAGTAATAAGTGGAACGTGTCTATTGACGAAGACGAGTCCATGATCCTCACATAGTGACTGTCTATTTAAATCAAATATTTAAAAGGTAATTGTTTAAAATAAATATGATCTTAAGTTGTTATACAGAGTAATAGTGTAGGTAGCTAGAAGCAACTAAAAGTGAGTGATATTTGCAATTCAATAATAATTAATATATGTAAATATTAAATACTTAAGTATCCTCGATATAAGTTTCATAATACTGATAACTTTCGATATCACAGACAAAACAACGATAACCGTATTTTTGCTAATTAATCTCATTTAACGAATACACCGTGAGTAATTACATTAATATTTTTCCTTTTAGTTTTTTAGATTTTAAAGTAAAAAGTACGCTTTAGTTTAGTATTTTTATATATAAGTATATAAATTAGTCCGAACTCAGGAATAAAAGCAGTTTCGGCAGGAACAAAATTGTTAACAATTTGCTCTGAATATTTTTTTAGTAAGTAGGTATTACTTATCAATCTTATCAATTTGAGGTCAATTGAGAAAGCCGTTAAAAATTTAACAGCGGTCAAGCAAGCTCAACTATTCAAGGTGTTAAAAATTTAGTGAAATAATTAATGCGACTTTTTAGTATATAATCACATCATCATAATATTTTTTTCCTTATTTGGGATATAATTATTATATTAAATCGAGTTCAATTGAATTTACTAATCAATTGTTTTTTTTTCTATACAAGCAATGTCTGCTAGCTAAATTTCTGTATTCTGTAATAACATTAGTATAACATATTATAGTTGGTTAGCTTATATTACTGATAGGTACTATCATAAATAAATAAATTAAAATAATTTAAATTAAAAAAAAAGAAAAGTTTATCTAATCCACGTGTGCTAAATTTATAATTAAATAAATTTATAATTTTTGTCTCTCTGTTTGTTCCGGCTAATCTCTGAAATGGGTGGACCGATTTTGACGGGACTTTGGGAGGTAGCTGATGTAATAAGAAGTAATTTAGGCTACTTTTATCTAATTAACTTTTTTGTTAAATTCCACGCGGACGAAGTCGCGGGTATAGCTAGTATTAAATAATATTTTTATTTAATACTAGCTATACCCGCGACTTGTTAAAATATCATTTAATAATTTAAAAATTCTAATAACATTTTATACATACATAGACTAATGTTAAATTAAGGGTTTAGTTTTCATTGGTATTTTTTATACTACCTACATAAAATAAATATCGCAGTGTTGTAGTGGAACTTTTTGTATATATACTAAAATATGACTGTAATTATAGATATTATTGGTAATAATAGTATAGCGGCATTTTACAACATGATAAGAATGATAATAGTACTAACATAATTACGAACAGAACTACGGTGTCGAAGATGTAGTGGTGAGTAATAAATACAGGTGTTGTGCAATTATAGTGATAAATTCAAATATTAAATTTTCGATACGCTGGCACTTTTATTCAATTGCAACAACTAGATTATTAATAATAGTAAATACAGGTAACAAGAATGACACGCTTCTACATACGTATTTGTTTTCTAAAATATTGATATTATTGCATTACAACATGTGTGCGTTATTACGAAATCAAATAAGTTATAATGTTACATACCTATTTTTTGATGGAGACATCGAGTCTCCGGAACCAGCTTGCAAATTAATAATGAAAATACATATAACGCATATGCAAAAATAGAGTTCATCAGTTATAAATTTTCTTTTTGTCTAACATTAAGTAGGTAGCTAAACTTCTGATACATTATCTATTTTAAATACTATACCTATAGGGTAACAACGTAAGTATTTATTAAATTAATAATACACATATACATTATTGTAACTCTCGATGTAAATTTAATAAAAAGTATTGTAATAGTGTAAAATATGGTAATATTATAGAATATAACTGACTATGATTTTAATATAAGTTGTATAATTTTAAGTTAATTAATCTTTTCTTCATATTCAGCAAACCATTCCTTTAAATTTAATTATCATTTACCTATATTATATACATATATATTTTTATTACTGGTTGTATTGAAATCATGAAACTGTTACATTTGTAATAAATTTTCTTTAAATAATTTTTCTGATTTCAAAAATAAAACTAAGGTAACATGGTTTTATTTTACTATAAAAAATATATTTTCTTTATATTTGCAGATGTTTAAATTAATAACAATATCATCAATAGTAGCTGTTGCTGCTATTGGGTCAGGCCTTGTAATATACAGACTTCACCTTGTACCAGAGAAGCCAGAACTAGACTTACAAAAATGGTGGGGAATAGGGATGAAGCCGCGTGAAGAAGACACCTCTATTAGAATATTTAATATTGACTTTAATGATACAGTGAGTTCACTTTATTACCGATATATTATTATCATTAGAACTAAAGATATCTATTAGTTAATAGTCCATATGCCAATTGACTGATATAAAATATTAAGCCGATAATAATAAATTCTGAACAACTCAGAATCATTGAGTCCCAAAGCACTGTGAGTAATAGACAAATGAAGGACATACTTCAATAAATTATATTCTACTATTATTATTTTGCACATTTTCTTTGTATTTATTAAGTACGACGCAACTGAATCTGTACATATAAATAAAATTGGGGTGTCTGTTTGTAATATTGAAATAACCGTTTTTTACTACATTCATATGAATACAAATACGGTATATATACCAAAATATTTTTTTTTTCAATTCTTGTCTTCGGTCTGTTTGTTCCGGCTAAATGGCTGGACCGATTTTGACGGGACTTTTTTTGGCAGGTAGCTAATGTAATAAGGAGTAACTTAGGCTACTTTCATTTTAGAAAAATAACATTAAATTCCACGCGGACGAAGTCGCGGGAACAGCTACTTTTTAAATATAACAATATATGTATATTTTTACGCAATTTAGCTAATTACGTAAAACATTTAAGCACGGATAGAAACATTTAGTACGTGTCTGTATGTTTATGTATTTGCTACCGTAACGCTGTAGCGAAGTACATGCTTGTTGGAAGTTGCCTTTGCTTCGCAAGCAAAAGGGCAACTAAACAACTACAATACTAACTAGTCAACTAATATAGTTTAATAATATTAAGTTAAACCTATTGAAATAAGAATAATCTTTAACATCTTGTTTTAATTTTTATTATTTTATAGATGATCCAAGACCTTAAACAGAGATTAAGAAATCATAGACCATTCACAAAGCCTCTGGATGGCATTCAATCTGAGTACGGTATTAATACAAAATATTTAGATACAATATTATCATACTGGCTGGAAAGGTATGACTTTAAGAAACGTGCAGAACACCTGAACAGGTATTCACATTACAAAACAAGGATACAAGGATTGGACATCCATTTTATACGAGAAACGCCTAAAGTTAAGGACCTTAAAGTATTGCCGTTACTGTTATTACACGGTTGGCCGAGTTCTTCCAAGGAGTTTGATAAAATAATCCCAATGCTCTCATCAAAAAGAAGTAACCGTGATTTTGTTTTCGAAGTAATTGCTGCTGATCTACCTGGATTTGGATTTTCAGAGGTAAATAAATTGATACTGATTTTATAAATACGAAAGTATGTATGTTGGTTACCATAAAGGCTGAACGCATCTTAATTAAATTTATGGAGATAATAAATTATTATTTATTAAGCATCTTTTATTAATAAAATAATCTAGAAGGATATGGAATTGGAAATTTGACTTTACGCAGACTCAGTCGCCGTCGTAGATATATTACAAATTCACTTACTGTGTTAGAATTTATTAGGAACGCTTTTATTGTCTAAATTGAATTTATAACAGACAGCCACAATAAAGAGTAAGCAGTTTCTATTGAGCAGTTTGTAATTAATAAACTTAATTTAGCAATATTCATGTGTTTATTATTATTATATAAAAAGTTGTAAGTTTAAAGTGTTCAATAAACTGGAGGGGTCTTCGGCTTCAAAAAAAATTAAATTGTAGACAATTCTACAGTTTTGGCTGTAAACACTATACATTAATTCATTACAGGGCACGAACAAGCCAGGATTGAATCCAGTACAAATTGGAATAATGATGAGGAACCTGATGAAACGCTTGGGATTCGATAAGTTCTACGTTCAAGGTGGAGATTGGGGGTCACAGTGTGCCACTCACATGGTGACATTGTTCCCCGATGAGATCTTAGGGTGAATATTTAAACTTTATTTTATTTTCAAAAATTTTTTTAAACAATTATTCTTTTTAGATAATACGAGATGAATTTTAAACCATGATCATTATCGGTTAGTTTTTATAAATAAATAGGAAAAACTTATAATTGTAGAAATAAAGTAATTAATATGTAATCACTTTAAAATATTCATCGGATCTTCTTTACCAAATAGGAGGAGATTCTCAATTGGACTGTTTTACTACAATTTTTTTAACAATTCTTTTTTATTTGAAAATTGGTTCTCTGTATCGTTAGTGGTATTCTCAGACTTATGAAATGTCCTATATATATTTAATCCGTATCTACCTATTAGTTTTGAGTCATCGTTAATAATGTCATTGGGTCGGGTTTTCCACGGCCTGATCACAGTATTTGATTGCCTAAAATACCCTTAATGTTTTCTACCTTGGTCGTATAGTTTAACATGTGGTTTTAGTTCTCAAAATCACTGTCACACTATTTAGAAAAAAAAAAATATTTCAAACTTATTACAATATTTCAGATTTCACACGAATATGCCGTTCTCTTCGAGATTGGTGAGCTCTGTGAAAATGTTAATGGGATCATTGGTGCCCAGCTATGCTGTAGATCCTAGATATGTTGACAGAATTTATCCGTTGGGAAATCTTTTATCATCTTTAATTAAAGAGAGTGGATACTTTCATATACAGGCCACTAAGCCGGACACTATTGGTAAGAAGAACATTAATAATATAATTTTAAATGTTTATAAATTGTGTTAGTGGCAAGACTATTTTTTTTACAAACATTATTTTCATTGCAGGTGTTTCTCTAACCGATTCCCCAGCGGGTCTAGCGGCTTATATTATTGAAAAAATGGGAGTAGTGAGCAATCGAGACCAAGTCAATACTCCACATAGTGGTATAGAGAACCTGCCTCTAGATGATGTATTAGATACCATCACCATCGTATGGGCAAACAACTGCATTGTTACTTCGAGTAGATTGTACGCTGAGGCATTTGCATCTCCTGAAGTTTACATTATTCACAAGTAAGATTTTGTCATTTATTCTAATTATTATAACTTATAAGCCACGCCAAAAATTTCCATTTTTGTAAATGAATGTAAATTCAAGAATTGATAGGGATCCAATTTTATTGTGTTATGCTTCTCTCTCCGAAATACTGAATTCATTTCATTAGCTTATTTATCAATCAACTTCGTTTCGTATTCGTATACAATCTTGTCGAATCGATACTAAATTTGTTGAAACATTTTGTTTTGAGGGAAAACCTTTAACTAAAATGAGATATTTTCAGTTCGAGTATCATTACATTTCAAAAAATTATTTTTAATCGTAGAGTTTAGGCATTTGTATGATGATCTTAAATATTGAATTTACTATTGAATTCTATTCTTGTTCCAGCATACCTACACCAGTTCCCACAGGTGTCATCAACTTCAAATATGAAGTGTTATACCAACCGGACTGGATATTAAAAGACAAATTTCCCAATTTGGTATCATCCAACACATTGGATATAGGTGGACATTTCGCTGCTCTACACACACCACAAATATTGGTTGACGATATTTTCTCAGCAACTGCCGCATTTATAAATTTCAATAAGAGAAATCTTTCATAGTAAAAATTTCAATACAATGACAGACCAAGCCTACTGAAATATTAGCCGTTATATTCCAAAATCATTCAATTAAAAATATAAATAGACGTACGTGTAAATACTGAAGGTACATATGGAGTGTATATTACTCAATCAATAATTATCAATAAGGGAATAAAAGATCAATGCTGGTGGGACGGTGAAAAATTAATAGTGACAATTTGATTAATACAAATATTTATTGTGCATGAATTGATTTTCAAGCACAGAATTTGTAACGAATTCAGTCATAAACTTTTATTATCTTAGGACATATAAGTACATAATTCAACTATTTGTATATGATCTGATTCTTTTTGCAGAATTTGTATTGGAAACTTTACATCACAAATTTGTAATATGACTTTTGGATGAAAGATGAGGGTACATTAGCTCACCCTCCATGAAATATCTGTTTATTGTTTAATATTTGTACAAATCGATTTGAACTTTAATGTTTCACCTATGTACAATTTATAATTAGAACAATAGGAATACAGTATTATTTGCATGTTTGGTATCGTGTGTGCGTACTTGAGAACGAAAGTAATGTATATTTATTGTATAATGTCAAAACTTTAAAAGGCTATTAAAATACGAATATTTAAACATTTTTATATATAGTAAACTTGATGATAACTTGTATGCTATTTGAAATTTAGTTTTATGCATGGAGGTAAACTTAAATATTGTTAGTGTGGTGCATTTGTAATAACAGTATATTATATATTTTTAATAACCAATATGGTGACGTATTTTTATTTTAAAATATATGTCCAAACAGTCCGAATGCAATAAATGAACAAATGTAAAAGTTATAGAAATAAATTATTTTCTTCAAAAAGGACTGGAGAAAACTTCTTTTTAATTATAACCCTATAAGATTACTAAAAGATCACGAAAATTTGAATAATTTAAAATTTATATTTCCGCATGGTTTTACCAAAGTATACTGCGAGATGGTATCACAAACGTCACAAGAGAATGTGATGTCCGTGGATTGTTGTTGTATAGGATTGTTTGCTAGTCAAATCACATTAAAGTAGTCCGGTAGGTTGACACAGGGAATAATATTGTATGAACACACTGGTACACGTGGGCCCTTACCTGGTAGCAAGTACACAGTCGTACAATGGACCACATAGTTCAATATTCACAGTGACATATGACTTATAAAAAAAAGTGAACATGATTACTTTACAAACTAAAAAAATAATAGGGACAGTATTGTTCAAAAGTTCATGTATCAATTACAATTTTTAATTAAATTTTGGCTGCAAAGGTTTCGGTCTGTGTATATGTCTGTGCATGTCTACTCCGTCAATACGTCGTAGATATCAAATCTCACCGCGTTGAGTACAGGGCCTATAAGAACTAGGGAACGATTATAGTGTAGGCTTTATACAATAGTATTAGGAACACAAAATATATTCAAATTACATACTTGTTCAGATTCAATAAGTGTCTGAATTTTCTCCGGTGCAAAGAAACCTGGCACCATGAAATCACTTCTTGGGCTGAACTGCTCTATTTTCATACGTCCACCTAATTTCACACGTGCGCCCGCGTAATACAGATTCCTGTAAAAAGTAATATGTTTAATATTACAGAATAAAATGTAAACTGAATTATTCGCCATGATATTATTTACGGGAAAGATTTTTTTTTTAAACATGTCAACCCCATTATTACAAAGTACATAAATGCTTTAAACAGTACCTTTGTCTGCATGAAAATCATTGATTGAACCGAATAGAAATATATCCTTCTCCATCCTAAATGCTCCGTGTATGCTATAGAGTATGATGACATACTTTTTCTTTAGAACTTTTATTATTACACGTGTTTGTTTGTAGACGAAGACTGCTCTATAAGTTAGTTTAAGAGTTCAATTATGTTATTACAGGGTGGCTTTCGCTGGCCTGGTTTGCGCCGCATTGTTAGGCGTTCTTTTACTTTTCCTCATGTGTAAATGTGTGTACTAATTACTACTGTTTTATTGTAATATTCTTATAGTATATAGCAGAAATTTACATACTTTCAGATGGGTACTTAAATATTTAATTAATTTGTTACAGAAGTAATAACCGAATATATTAATATGGCTTAACAATTGTTATCCTAAATGGGGTTGTCCAAAGCTTCAACTATTCTACATTTTGGTAAACGCAACACTTGACACACACATATACCTGGATATTTTTGAAACCAAGACGACAGAAGACCTTTCACATTCTTTCAGATCATCACTAAATAGTTAGAATTTCATTTAATAATTAGATTAAAACAATAATAAAATTCTTACTTATTTCCAATTAATCGGCTTTTAATATTCGTAAGCTGCCCTTCATTCGCCTTTGGGAACTTGTGAAACAAGTAGAGACTAGCTGAGAATTTAAGGAATGAATCCCCGAGAGTTTCAGCGCGCTCTAAATTAAATGTGTCATGAGATTTGATTGTGGTGAGTGCTGCTAAAATATCTCGCAACTCAGGCCCCCGACCCGTGGGAGTTCTTGATAATACAGCTATTTTGTCATTGAATCTGCAAGGAAACACAAATTAGTAAGTGATTCGTCAACTACAAAAATATTGCAATTATCACGCAAAATTTGTATTAAATACAGTTTTAGTAGTAAAGCGTTTAACGTCGTCGTAGCTTAAATTGTATTATAAATATGTATTGTTTACCACGCTTTAATTTTTTCTGATTTCAGCAGGTATATGGATACTATTTATAAAGCAATCTTGTTCTTTAAATAATTAAAATAAAAATAAGTTTATTAAACTACTAATGCTAATGCTTATTAAAATGCTAATTATTCTATATAATAATAATTACAATGACCCAAGACAATTTACACAGAGCCATTTATTTATTTACACACCGTTATTTCAATATTTCAAACAGACACTCCAATTTTATTTATATGTATAGATGTATAGATAAGGGGCTAATCATAAATCACATTACACCAATTTCAGTAAAATTTCATGTATTTATACTAAAATAGAAATGTGATGTCCCAAAGACCTCTCTGCCCAGGGCGGGACCCGAACTAGATTTCATAATTTTTTTTTATAAGTTTGTGCTCTTTCATCTATTTTAATGTCACACTTATCAACTTCCCCCCTCCTCTCCTTAACGTGTGACGAATGTGTGAACTGCTATATTTTCCTTTAGTGCTCAACGGTCTTTTATACAGGCAGTCCTCGTACTTAGAGCATATTTGGTTCTCGAAATACGTGACGTAAATCGAAACGACGTAAGTCGAGATATATTGTTTTCATATGTTTACATGTAAAACTCAAGGGATACGATCCAAACAAACCGAAAGAAATAAGCAAGCATGTGTGGAGTAATGTGAATTCTGCTGTGCCGGAAATCGAAACAATTGACGTATGCTTGAGGAATACTTTCATAACATTGTTTGACGTAACTTGAAACGACGTAAGTCGAGGACTAGTATGCATATCGACCAGAATATATATATCTCTAACAAATACGTACTTAGGTGGAGGTGGCAGAATAGCTGTAGCAGCCCGCCGTGGTGACGATTGTGTTCTGTTCGCTGTATCTGTGTTTGTAGTTTCTTGGAGCGGCGCAGATACGAATTCGTCGTAGCATTCGATATCCATTACAGTTACAGATGATAGATGGCGCTCAATATCTAATGGCTCTAATTTTTCCTATTAAAAATATTTAACAAATTATAATTTTGTTCACTGTTGTGAAGTGCAAACAAATTCATGAATTAACATGATACGAGTCGCCCCCGCCGCACAGTCTTAGGGCGCCAGAGCGAATACCTTTGCCCCGGTTCAACAACCCACGGGAACGGAGTTAAAACCTTTTTATAGACAGGTTATGCTTACTAAAATTTGGGTATTTATCCCAAATTTTATTTATTAGATGTAGTAAATATAGTACAGCCAAATTTCTATGAATGTGTTATCCAGTCCAGTTCAGTATATACCTAGATCCAATTGTGAAGAACTGGTAAGAAGCTCCATTGAAATACTTTTTTTTAAGTCAGTTTATTTACAATGTATATTTATATAGATGTCTATGTCTAACATTAAATGAACAACTATTGCCATGCAAGCTCGTCATTCAAATAATCGTGCGTTATACGCAGTGAGTAATAGGCTTTGCTCAGTAATAGGCTTTCTCAATTAGATCCATATACTGAACTGGACAGGAACAACAACTGGTAGGGAAAAAATTATAATATAAGAAATTTAACGTTCATAACCTAAATGAATAAAGATTTTAAATATGAATAACTTACATTCCATGGATACTGTTGGTCTATCTTCCTCATCTGTAGTTCATACAAATCTTTCTTCATTAATTTGTCACTTGGTTGTGTTTCTGGTTCACCGTTAGGGTTGTTTATTCTAAAAAAAAGTGAATAGATTTAAATTTCAGTGCATTATTGGATGTAAAAAATGTTTATTTTATGTTTATTTTTTAAAGTTTAATTATAGTTAACTTTTTTTTTCGTTTGTTGTTTATATTGATTTTTCGGTTGAACAAGAAATTATAGGTTATCAAACCTACTATGTCACTGCAATATACATATACAAGCGAGTTGTAATGGGCATACCAAGTCAAACGGCATGAAACTAAACTAGTTTTACCGATAAAAAAAGTGGAAATCTGAATATAAATATTAAACTTTTCAAGTGACTATACATTTCGTATGAAGGATTCAAAAAATATAATTAGTTTTCCAGTTTGTTTCTTTGGAAAACTTCTTTAGTTTTTATGATAAAACCTATTAACCATCGTATACTCCGTATATGTTAGTTAATAACTATAAATTGGTATACAAAACAAGTACCACCAACATTTATTAGAGATATAACGAAGATTTGACGTCAATTTAATTTAGTTATTAGATTGGGTTACAGCAAAATTTATATACTCTTGAATTACCTGTCAACTGTATTAATGGGCGTTGGTTCTTCTGTGTGTGAACGTAAAGAGTTTATAGCGATTTCTAAATCCAGTTCTATGGGTAACCAATTCTCACCTGTATAGACAACAATATAATTATACACTAACTTACTGAAGCATATAAATATTATTATATTTTATGGAGAGGAGAGTTGTATGTTACGAAACTGTCAGTTGGCTAATAAATTAATATACAACAAAGTATATAAAGATTTTAAAACCGGTATCTCTTACATTAAATTGCATACTGCATTCCGTCCCGCAGTCGTGTATACTTGTGCTGGTAAGCCGCATGAAATAACGCAAACAAAACTAATACAAGCAACTTGCATTAGAGTTGACATTTGCTTAGCTAAAAATGCTATAGTATCAATATTTTTATTGGACAGAATTCTGTATTTTGTAATAAATTACAGTGTAATATTAAGGATAACAATAAAAAATTGGATTTCCCATTTTTCCTATATTTTGATATGGGAAAAATGTCGGAAATCTAACGAAAACCACAACAATTCATTCAAATTGTCTGGTTTTTATGTTTTGGTTGTACAATGTATGCGACAGAGGTAGTATGTACCATACATTTGAAGCTATTAGAAGAAATTGATATTAAAAATTATTAATGTAACTCTATAAAAAGTATATTATATATAAGATGTACATATACCGGGGAAACAAACAGACGAAAATAACGACTTCAAATTAATTACAGATTCCATGAACGGAAAAATAAGTTGTACAATGACGCACCAAAATGTATCAGACTTATTTGAATAGAAGTATTATTTAATTTAATATAAATATAAACAAATTATATTATGAATTATCTCTTATGTAATTAAAATATTTTATATTTAATAACAGTAGAAATTCTCAATAACAACTTTTATGATTGTCCTATTTATACAACTATCTTTTATAGTAGAGTTGGTACATCAAGCATATACGACGACGCTTAGGAAACCGTCGGATATGGTTAGTATGGTATTGAATTAATATCTATTCTCAGTGCCCAAATAGAGTCGCAAATGCACTAGAATCTTATCATATATTTATGCTAAAAGTATGATTTCTATTTCTGTATTTTCAATAACTATTAATTATTTACAGTTTTTTAAAACTCACCTTTAGGTAAAATCTTTAGGCCATATTTAGTTTCTTCAGCAATTTCAGCGCGCAACTCATTTGCAATAAGTAATAATGACACCCTAAAATCAATATGAAATTATATATGGCGAAGCCTATGCAAGTGGAGTACATCAAGTTAATAGTTTTTTGTAGTCTATTTCGTTAACTCAAAAATAAATTACCAATTTATCATACCTATGCACAATACTGGGCAGCATCATGGCTTTATACCAAAAAACACCTGGAAACTCGTACTTGATACAGTATTCTGGTATGAATACTTCTAAGAAACCTTTAGGCTTATCGTCGCCTTGTGCTGCAGATATAAGTTTTTGTTGTTTTTCTGTGAATGATTTGATTGTGGGGGCTCTCGGCAGCAAACAATTCATTCTTGACGTTATATTACGGACCTGTTAATAAGTTTGTTCTATTATATCACTGTATTTACTTAAGCTGTATCTACTACAAGTTAATGTTCGGATTATTCTTTAGGTATTTTAGAAGTTATTATTTATAATAGAAGAGATATATATTAGAGACTATATTATGTTCAATACCTCTAGCATTGGCTGGTCCTTCGGTCCCAAAATTTCCAAATTGTATTTATTTCTGTAGTAATTTTCATATGTATCGTAGGTTTCAGTCTCAAATTGAGATTGCGGTGTCATGTATTCCAATACGTCGGACACTATATATCTGTTATAAAAATATGATAAATTAGCAAGTAGGTACAAAATGAGTAACAATAACTAATATATTTTAAAAATTAGTATAATAGGATAACAGAAAAAAGAAATTAAAAAGCAAAAAACGATAAAAAAAACAGTTACACTAACCTGTCTGGTAAAATAGACGATCGGTACCAAGGTGTCACTATAGAATATTTATAGTTGTCTCTTGTAACATTTAGAGATCTCCTCTCCTAGGCATACAAAAATGAGATTTTAATTAAATAACAAAATCAAACAGAATTTATATAATGGCCAGCAACCAACTTAGGAAAATACATAAACAGTTGGTACATACTTAAATATAGGGATATTGTAGATGTACGAAAAACGTATGTAACTGGATGGCAAATAAACTGACGGCACACTTGATGTTAGTTGTATTCGTCGCATTTAAATACGAATAGCCTGTGACGCGGTAACTCACGCGCGTCATATTAGCATTATAGTGTTCCCAAAAGGTGAAAATAAGAACTTTAGGACCTTCCACTACTCCCCCCAGTATGACCTGGACAAAGTGATTTTATAAAGATATAATTTTGATTTTTTATTTCAGATGATCTAGCACCGAGTTGGGAGTGTCACCGCCATTCGATTCTTTATTTCCAGACACTGCAGACTAATCGTCGCCATTGCTATATTTATCATAATATCACCATAAAAAAATTACACAATATTGTTCAAATGTCATACTATAATTCGTTTTAATAAATAAATTTCAACTAGTTTCATAAAAATCACAAAAATGTGCCTTTTTCACGCGAATTAACCCTATACCCCTCTTAAATAATCTTAACGACATTAAACACATGAGATTCCATCATTATCGTAATGCCTACTATATCCTGTTGAAGATATCACCGAAGCCAATAAAAATAATATAAATAATAGTAATACATATCGATACAATTGTGCTTATTGTACGGTTGAGACTGAATTAATGATTATTGATACACATTCTTAATTAATTTTCTTCTATATAAAAGTTTTTAACAACCTTGCTATAACATAAACACTATGGTTTTTGCAATAACCTACCGTAAAGGAAGGCGGGCCGATAGGGGGTACTTCGGTATATTGCTGCATTACTCCCCAGTCGATGTCGTAACCATTATCAGGTGTAAGTGGCACCACAAACATACAATTTTCTGTTCCATCATATACCAAGAACTGTTTTGCAATAGCCAGCACTTGATCGAAAATAAAAAAGTGGAATCTGAAATACATATATATCAATAACGCTATAAATATAAAATAGGTTCGTTGCATGGTAATCTAAATTTTGGTGGTATAAATATTTGTTTTTCTATAAATATAAATCGACCGATCGAATTGACGACCTCGGTGGTCTAGCGATCAAGCACACTGCTTTGCGACCGATGGTCGCGGGTTCGATTCCTTGCACGGCACAAACATTTGTATTCATGAGTATGATTGTTTGTATCGGTCTGGGTGTTTTCTATGTATAATATGTATGTATTTACAAAAAAAAAATATCTATGTATATGTATCAGTTTTCTAGTACCCATAACACAATCTCTAGATAGCTTAACTTGGGTCTAGATGGCTCTGTGTGAATTGTCCTGGGATTATTACTATTATTATTATTATTATTATATTAAATCACTTTTGTTATCTTTATATGATGTACAGTCAAAATAAATCAATAGGTTGAACAATCAACATAAAATAACTTTACATGTCCATTCCACGATAGAACAATATCAATACAAATGTGAATGTGTATAACTGTCGATAAATCGAAGGCAGTGTGCTGAACCGTTAAACTACTGAGTATTGTGAAAATCTAGAAATATAGAGGTAACATTTAATAATAACGTGTTTTCATTATAAGTAACAAGAAACTCACTGTTTAATAAGATCCAAAAGGGTCTTGTTGATTGGCACGACGGCATAATTGACTTGAATTGTAGTACTTACTTCCCCTACCGTCAAAAACAAGGGGAAGTCACATAACTTTGGCAAAGGTTTAGGCGTCAATAAACCGTAGCCCTCGGGACGTTGTAACAACTTGTATAATGCTCTCTCGCGAGAATCATTCGGTTCAGGGAAAGTGGCTATCACTTTTATAACATGAAGATAAAAATTATGCTGATTAATTTCCAAATTGCCGGGTCCTTTAAGGCTAGATGGGAACTGTAATTAGAATTAATATAATTAACATTATTAATTATTATATACTAGCTACCCACCCCGGCTTCGCACGAGTGTACATTTATTATACATATAAATCTTCCTCTTGAATCACTCTATCTATTAAAAAAATCCGTCGCGAAGTTTTAAAGATTTAAGGATGCATTATTTTATACTATGTAATGAAAAACGAATGATAGTTAAGTCAAACACATTTATAAACATAAAAAATAAATAAAATGGTTAAGAAACGGACTTTACCTGTTATTTGTAGGTATACTGTTATTCTGAGATGTAGGTCAATACTCTATATATATAAGTATTTAAATATATTAAACATGAACTATCAATAATAATTGCGTCGAATTCGTACGCTAGGGTTCCGGCCAAAATGTAATTATTACTCAATAAATATAACCTTTAATATTATTAATGTATAATTAACTAAACAAAACTTTAATACTATTAATGTTCCACTGTAATTGCAGTACAGAATGTAAATGCAGAAACGAATGAAATAAAACTAAACTTTATTGTATTGAAATAATAGTGATATTCATTGAACATCACAAGATAAGTAAGTCATCAAAGGTGCCGTAACGTTTATTATTGATAGCACAGATATTTTATACACTAAAAATCTTTGAATTAAATTTATATAACTAGAATACATCTGTGACATTTTAAAACTATATCGACTTTTTCTAATAAACATAAACAGTATCAAGGACATCACATTATTACCAATCATCTGAACTTATATATATATATATATATATATATTAAAAAATTACCATTTTTTTATGTTTACGCATTCTTTTCTTAGTTCCTGCTTTGGGTAAATCTCTAACACCTTCGTTTTCGTTGTCATCCCACTGCCAGTTTGGGAAACATTCCTTTATATCGTTACTATCAAATTCTACTAACCTAGAAATAAATATTATAACATAAGTATACAACTTCTAGGTTTTTAGTAGAGGAAGCTAAAGAGCATGAAATTTGACGTTCCACTGTCGATATCTACCCCAGTATGAGATACACGATATCTATGAATGTATGTAACGAATTTCCGCAACGCACTTTACTGGAGTGTAATGAGCTCTCTAGTGCGAGATCTTGGTCAACACGACGCTTTAGTTTTTATCTAGTAAAACATATTTTACCACACAAAGGATAACCAAGCTGTTATAAGCCTCCGTAACATGTACTTTTGTTGCCATATCTCATCTTACCGAAACACAGCTTGCAAAGGAAGCTGCTTGGCGAGTTATATAGGTGAGACACGGGTACGCAGGCAGGTAGAAAAATTCATATAAAAGAAAGATAAACTAAATAAACATAGGCATAACATACCCGTGAGAACGCGGCAATAAAGTGACTGGATCTAATTCACCTTCCTGGTGCAATCGTATACATGCATTCAACGCGGCCGACCGTTTCGCTGACTTTAGATTAAGCATTGGTGTGCCCTAAAACATTAGTGTTTAGGCGGAAAAAGAAAGCCATAATTAATATTCAATAATTGTCACACTCAAAAGTATATTTGACGAAAAACTATAAAATATATAAAACTTAATATACACAAAAACCTTGCTGAATTATATAACTAATCCTTTCTCTGAAATCACTCAGTCGATGGATGAAAATTTGTTTTTAAAAGTATTTTTTTAAAAAATCGTGAACGTAGTAACATACACGGCAGGCGTCATTATCCTATAATAGGTATAGACAAGCAACTTGTGCCTCTTTTCCTATTTTTTTTTTAATAATTCATAAGTAAATATTCATATTGAGATTTTATATTATAAGAACGTATACAAAAATACATTACCTCTATTTTCTCTTTGACTGGACATTCTATGGGCATGATTATGGTGATTTTTCGTAATATTTGATTATGATTATTCGTCACCTTTTCTTGGATCCACATGGGTGTTATAACCGTAAATTGATCGTGTGGTAAAATTGAGCAATATCGGTTGATAAGCGATATAGCTGACACAGACGAAAGGCGATCTAAACAGATTTATAGTATATATTATTATTATAAATTAAATAAAAATAATGTTTCTACTACAACCAAGAAATAAAACTATAATCTAAGTTTAGTCAATAATCAAGTAATTATAATACAATAATTTATGTATATATAACTAAATACTTTTATTACTTATTATTATCATTCACAGGCCATTCGACAATATGTTTTGGGTATGTTGAAGAGTACAAGAAAACTAGTAAAAGTGTCTAGTGGTTTTATTGAAGTTTTCAAAAACACAGGTTAAGAAACACTTACTGCCATGTTCCGTGAAATAAGGCGGAATATCGTCTTCATATAGATCTTGTAGTTCCTGTTCAGTTGGTGAGGCGCGGTCCTCTGTTTTCCCTACTAATACCTGTAATAAATGTTTCACCTTCAATTGAAAAAATAGCATATCGAGGTATACAAATCGGTAGATGTGACGTGCGCGAAATATTCATTATTAATTCATCGCCTATTTTTGAAATAGAATTACTTTTTATTAAATAATAATATTTTATTAAAATAACTGGTTACTCCCAGAACTCTAAATTTTGGTTCCTTTGGCACGTTCTTGAGTGTTTCTGTTATTTTAGATCAGCACTTAGTCCCGTTTTTTAGGTCATTTGGATGAAAGTAACTAGATAAGAAATCTATTCAAAAACAATACATTACAATCGTCAATGTTTTCGAATAATAAAATAAATTTTTCATAGAATAATAATTGATTTTTTCAAGAATCGATTATTTTTCCACAATACTAACCCGTGGCCGTTATACAAGCCTACAAACATCACTTACAAAAATATTTATATTGAATTATAAGCAAATAATAGATTATACCCAGAAGAGTGTTATCAGTATTTCTCACCAATGTATTAAAACAATTACTGTTCTACTGAAGCAATCACTGACTTCTTTACCAATTCAATCGCATAAAAATATAAATAAAATATTATACTAACGCCTTGAATGTGTTGCTCTATTTTTTGGAAATTCCTGTATTGCGCCTGAAATTTCTCCTTATTAGCATCATTGACTAATATGATATAGTTAGATTCAGAGCAACGTGCACGACCTGAAATGTCACTCAAATTTAGTTATATTATGAGTGGTCTATATGCAAAAGTTATGTGTATAAATTTCCATTATACATGTTTTTATATAATACATTAATCCAGCCATAAAACTTTCTCATAGTCAATTTTTGCTTACCTTTACTTTGTATATAGGATCTGTATTCAAGTGGCTGATCGTATCGTACTATTAACGAACACTGTGGCACATCCACGCCTTCTTCTATTACGCTCGTCGAGATTATACAGTTGAGTTCACTGTAATTACAATTTTTATTACATTTAAGGTCATTGAACTCTCATCGTGCAACATCTGTCACAAATGCTTAAATGTTATATAATATGTCATTTGCCTTTACTACAGTAATCACAATATTTCGTGACATTTTTTAATAAAAACAACAATGCCAAAATTAAAATGTTGTGTACGGCACATAATCTAATAATAGGTATCTATTTTCACCACATGAAGACCGTTTGTGACAAAAACATAAAAAAATTGTGTCACATTGTTATTTTAAATCTTGTTTCTTTTTAATATACATGTATCTGAGTTAAATAATTTTACTAAATCAATTTACATAATTTAAACTTTTAGTGAAATTTAAAATTAACAAATAAAGATCAAATAAATAGAGCAAGAGCCCACGACTGCCAGACATACGTCATTTTAGTAAACGTGAAAGTTCTTGTATGTGTGTCCCCAACACAGGAAAGAACGATCCCCAAACATGAAACCTGGATCGTGGTTCCTTTGGCAGGTACCAGGTAACAAAGGTGTAAAAAAATTCATATCAAATTCGTTATTTTAAGAAACTCCATATTTTCATATATTGTTCGTAGCATTATTATAACTTGCGCTGCTCATTGCCAGACACTTAGTGTGGTTCCAACCCCCCGCCGGACCCCCCTAAACTATACTATTTTAGAAATAAACTTACGTCATTTTAATAAAGCTGAACTTTATATATATTATTGAGAGAACTATTAAACTGAGTTTCCTAAATTGCCAGACAGTTTTCTTGGTTCCTTATCCTACCAGACTCATTGAAACCGTATATTGGGTAACAATGGTGTATACAATTTCATATCAAATTCGTTATTTTAAGAAACTCCATATTTTCATATGTTGTTCGTAGCATTATTATAATTTGCGCTGCTCATTGCCAGACACGTAGTGTGGTTCCAAGCCCCCGCCGGACCCCCCTAAACTATACTATTTTAGAAATAAACTTACGTCATTTTAATAAAGCTGAAATTTATATATATTATTGAGAGTTCTCTCAAACTGAGTTTCCTAAATTGCCAGACAGTTTTCTTGGTTCCTTATCATACCAGACTCATTGAAACCGTATATTGGGTAACAACGGTGTATACAATTTCATATCAAATTCGTTATTTTAAGAAAACTGTCTGGCAATTTAGGAAACTCAGTTTAATAGTTCTCTTAATAATATACATAAAGTTCAGCTTTATTAAAATGACGTAAGTCTATTTATAAAATAGTATAATTTAGGGGGATCCGGCGGGGGGTTGGAACCACACTAAGGGTCTGGCAATGAGCAGAGCAAGTTATAATACTGTTACGAGCAATATGTGAAAAAATGGAGCATCTTAAAATAACGAATTTGATATGAACATTTATACACCGTTGTTACCCAATATACGGTTTCAATGAGTCTGGTAGGATAAGGAACCAAGAAAACTGTCTGGCAATTTAGGAAACTCAGTTTGAGAGAACTCTCAATAATATATATAAATTTCAGCTTTATTAAAATGACGTAAGTTTATTTCTAAAATAGTATAGTTTAGGGGGGTCCGGCGGGGGGTTGGAACCATACTAAGGGTCTGGCAACGAGCAGAGCAAGTTATAATACTGTTACGAGCAATATGTGAAAAAATGGAGCATCTTAAAATAACGAATTTGATATGAAATTGTATACACCGTTGTTACCCAATATACGGTTTCAATGAGTCTGGTAGGATAAGGAACCAAGAAAACTGTCTGGCAATTTAGGAATCTCAGTTTGAGAGAACTCTCAATAATATATATAAAGTTTAGCTTTATTAAAATGACATAAGTTTATTTCTAAAATAGTATAGTTTAGGGGGGTCCGGCGGGGGTTGGAACCATACTAAGGGTCTGGCAATGAGCAGAGCAAGTTATAATACTGTTACGAGCAATATGTGAAAAAATGGAGCATCTTAAAATAACGAATTTGATATGAAATTGTATACACCGTTGTTACCCAATATACGGTTTCAATGAGTCTGGTAGGATAAAGAACCAAGAAAACTGTCTGGCAATTTAGGAATCTCAGTTTGAGAGAACTCTCAGTAATATATATAAATTTCAGCTTTATTAAAATGACGTAAGTTTATTTCTAAAATGGTATAGTTTAGGGGGGTCCGGCGGGGGGTTGGAACCACACTACGTGTCTGGCAATGAGCAGCGCAAGTTATAATAGTGCTACGAACAATATATGAAAATATGGAGTTTCTTAAAATAACGAATTTGATATGATTTTTTTTACACCTTTGTTACCTGGTACCTGCCAAAGGAACCACGATCCAGGTTTCATATTTGGGGATCGTTCTTTCCTGTGTTGGGGACACACATACAAGAACTTTCACGTTTATTAAAATGACGTATGTCTGGCAGTCGTGGGCTCTTGGGCTAAAAGACTTGTATGAAATAATAAAGTTACAATCTATACTCACTTTTTACTGAATTTCAATAGAGCCCTTTGGCTAGTTTTCCTTAAATAATATTGTTCTCTGGTATCTTTGAAGGGGTTAATATTAAAACCAACAAGAAAATCACCTTTCAAATAACCAAATTCCTCAGGATTTAGCTCCTTCGCATCTTTCAGTAAATTAAAAAGAATTTTCGCTGTAAATCTTTGTTGCGTAAATATTATACATGATAAAGGTTTTCTACTTTTATTAATTTTTAGTAGAACTGAAACAAATATTATGGACACCATTAACAAAATTTTGTCTTAAAGAACTCCTCCTCTTCTTTATTGCTGAAATTAATACTTTCCAAATTGTGCCGGCACTGTAAGTAACAGTAAACAAAATTCAAAATAACAAAAATGAAAAGAGATAGAATAACTATTCAAAAGTGCTTAACTTTATTTGAATAAAAATAATTTCTCTAAGTCAACCATTATTTGACTAATACTATTATTTTACAATTTTTCAATGAAATTACCTCCGCTCTTGTTAAACATATCAGGGTTGTATTCTTTCAGTATATTCAATAGCTGTACTATTTTTTCAGATGAATGATTTATTATTTTACCATACCCACGCTCATTTTCCATAGATTTTAATAAAATCGCTCTTGCCCTGGAAGTAACAAAACAGGTATTAATATTATGATGCCTCTGTCAATTATAGTATCATCATTTTTAAATGACAACGCTCAAATTTGTATATATTTGACCAGACGGGTCAAATATTCAAAGATACACAAATTAGTGCGAGCGCTTTTTTGGCCATGTGGGGAAAATATCGATTATATATTAATTATTATGTGTATTTTGTGCAACAAAAATGTATTACTAATATACATATGTCTATGTATAATAAGATATCCATTATAAAATACTTTTAATACTTACTTTTAAATATAAGGAATGGAACGATATTTTATCTATACATATAAATAAAATTGTTTGTAATATTGAAATAACCGTTTTTTACTACATACATATGAATATAAATACGGTACATACACTAAAATATCATTTTGTACTCTGCTAATCTCTGAAATGGCTGGACCGATTTTGACAGGACTTTATTGGCAGGTAGCTGATATAATAAGGAGTAACTTAGGCTACTCTTATTTTAGAAAATCTCTTATGTTTTAGAAAAATAAAGTCAATTCAAATCCCACGCGGACGAAGTCGCGGGTACAGCTAGTCATTCATAAAAATAATCATCAGTGATACTCATTTTATCACTGATGATTATTTTATGGTATCATCAGATGTATTAGTGACATAAATCACAACGATTGCAATCTTTTTGCAATCGTTATAAACAGGGCTCATAGTAAACTATTCTGATTTGGATTAATAAAGGAAAACCAATAGATTTTTTTAATGTAATTAGAATGCTAAACAAACTGGCGGCCCACCTGACGATAAGTGGTAACCATTGTCCATATCCTATTAATAATATAAACGCGAAAGTTAGTATCGATGGATGTTTCTTACTCTTTCACGCCATAACTACTGAACGGATTTTGAAAATACTTAACAATAATATAGCTTATACATCAGAACAACACATAGGCTGTAATTAAAAATATATTATGAAATGATAAATATCAAGTGAGATGCATACGATCGCGCGGGTCAGCTAATACATTATATGAACAGCACCACTAATACATAATGTTACGATCCAGTTACCTCTCATGCGTTGCCATTTCAGAGAGCTACGATATGCCTCTTTACAAAAATCCCCTCGGTAAAACTCGTTAGAATCATCATCATCATCATCATCATCTGCTTCTTCCTTATCCCATTTATTTGGGGTCGGCGTAATATGTTTTTTGCTTCCATTCATCCCTGTTCGCAGTCATCGCGTTATTTACTTCCTTTCTTACCATATCATCTTTCACACAGTCCATCCATCTCTTTTTCGGCCTTCCCTTATAACCATCCTCATTCATATGTAACACCTTTCTTAAAATATTATCCTCGTTCCTACGTGTCCTTACCATGATAGACGATTACTCTTCAACCTCTCTGACACCGGTGCCACTTTCATACTTCCTCTAATGTATTCATTCTTTATCTTATCTATTCTTGTCACACCACACATCCACCTCAACATTCTCATTTCAGTGGCATGCAGTCGTCTTTCATCCGTCGCCTTTACGTACGCCTTTTTCACACGTCGTTGCCGTAACCTGCCGCCACTTCATCCATCCTGCGTTAATTCTATGCTTTATGGTCCTGTCTAATTCACCATTGCTTTGGAGGAGAGAACCTAGATACCGGAAATCGGAGCAGATCGGTAATGGAGCTCTATTTAGTGATATGGCTGCAGAGCGGGAAAGAAAGCCAAAATCACAAAACATGTATTCTGTTTTGGAAACATTAATTTTTAAGCCCCCGCTTTCCACCTTTTGCTGCCACATCACTCGTTAGAATCGTTATAATATTATTGCCAGCGAGTGATCTGGGATTTTTGTTGGCGCAATAGAAAGGTATCTAATGTTACCTTTTATACTATTTCATAAATTAGAAGTTTAAACATAACAAATACTGACTGGATCGATTGAGATATTGTGAATGTGTACATGAGTTCCTCTTCTTTGGTCAGGGACTTGCGTTTCAGTCGCTCTAATACAATTATATGTGCTAGAATCCCTATAGCACCTCCATAAACTCCCATTTCGTTTATATATAATATCATTGATACAATCATGTTCTTTACAGCTTTCACTATCTGAAAGGTTAATATAATAATATCATAAAAAGTAATGTAAAAAAACATAATAAAAATACTCGCAAAGTGACATGCATCTGACATTTTGTCAGACATATATGTCTGTATTTGTCGTAGAATCTTGGTCACTAAATCATAATGCGATCCACACAGAAATAATGTAGTGACCAATATTCCGTCCTCCAATATAATTTATGTATATATAGGCTGTTATCAAATAATCAGCTTAACTTCTAGTGGGTATTATATATTATGATTATGGTAATGATGGATTTAATGTACCTAATGACATTAATTATCTCATACCCTAACTGCTCCTTAAATGCAAATATCCTATTTTTTGCTAATTTGCCTTTAAAAGCAGCTGTTCGCCCTTCGGGCACAGAATTTCGTAGGAACTAAAGGGGAACAACTGCCTCAGTCCCTGAATAAGGAGATTTACAAGCACATTGTGGCATTAAAAGAATGAGTTTGTTTTATTGTTTTATATTTAAATACTATTAAAGCATGAATTTAATTTATGCTCTTAACTTATATAAATAAAACTGTAGCAAGTAAAGCAGATTACTTAGTAGCATCCTACACATAACGACTATGTCTAGGTATAGTTTGAACTATGAAAATACCTTTTTGGGATCATTTGTGATGTCTTGTTGGCCACGTTTTAACTGTAGGATGTTGTCACCATTAAATGACGGTAATTTAATGTCTATTACAATATTCTGCAACTCCGTCAATATTTGTATTGCTTCTAGTGCAGCCTTTGTTAGGACTGGAGTTTTATAAATTTGTAGTAGTTCATTTGGATTCGTCGAGTACCTAAACGAAATTGTCTTTTTTATTAATATAATAACAAAGATGTTTATTATGGCATTAAAGGCCCATTTGTTGCTAACAATTTTTACTCGTTTGGTAGACAAATTACTGTTACAGTACAGTTTTCTGTGCATAGAGTCGAGTTTATCATTATTATTTTTAAGTCTGGCTAGTTAATTATTTTTATAAAAAATAAACTGGGCAGATAATTATGACAATCACTTAAGGCTTGGGGATACACGATATGCTGGCCACCAACCGGCCCCTATTCTGCAGGGGATTAATGATGGTAATCCCACAGCATTTCCACATTCTTTAATTTGTAAACGTAGATTCGTTTCCCACGACCTCGCAACACGTGTTCCACTTCTAAAATGCGTTCAGCGAAATTTAGTACATTTGTACGTTTCTTTACATATTACGCAATATGCACTAGTTAATATGTTGTTTCTAATTTGGGGCCAAAAAAAATTACGTGATTACATACAATTGGCTATGTAGAGCACACTAAAAGAAACGTCACGTGATTGACAACTACTGAAATTTAAAGTATCGCACAAAAACAATTTCCGTGATATCTTTTATGTGGTACTTTTAGTGTAGATTAAACATTAGGTTATTTTAATATTTCCTTCTATATTAGTTTTTATATGTAGCGGCAATGACTTGATATATCAAATGGCCGTTCTATAGCCAGTTACTATGACTTACTTTAAAACTTCTCCTAATTCATTAACTGTTGCAATAGTCGCATGAAATGTTGTTTCTAAATCTCGTAAAGATTCTGCAACCTTATTAATAGTTACATTCGCATTCAGAAGTGTGGAGGTTAAACCTGAAAGTAACCAATAATTGTAATCATTACCATTTCGTTGTAACAACATCAGATTAATAAGCATTTTTCAATATAAAAAAAAAGTTTGTTCATAACATTTATAACTCACCAAGGACCCTTGGTTGTAGTTTTAATGGGCATGTCTCAAAATGCTTCATGACCATCCTCATTGGATGATCGTCAATAGCATGGTGACACTCATCAAATATTATTAAGCTTATATTCTCGATTTTTATATATCCATGCGTGAGCATGTCAACCATAATTTGAGAGGTCATCACAATAACCTGAAATATATTTACTGTGCATTTAATACAGAACAAGTACTGTGCAGTACATATTATTAAAGTATAATAAAAGAGCACAGTTAAAGTGTATTGTGTATGACTGTTTCTGCAGATAAGCAATTAATAGTGTGGTATATTTAATAATTTATCAGCTTCTATCGGGCTTGTTAGGAAGTCACACTAATTCGTTTACAAAGATACAAATATGCCCTATAGTGCGATTTTCGAGTGCAAACATAGTAGTATAGCTAAAAATGTGTCAAAAGGTGAGGATATATATCTTCATTCTGCGGACGTAATATGTTAGGTATATTTTCAATTAAAAAACTTTTAAAACACCTAAAGAACATCGTAACTAAACAAACGAATAATTAATTTGTTTCATGACAGGAAGAATTATATTTATTTAGTTGGCTACATAGCTAATTAATTAGATTTGTGTTTATATGTGTCAAAAAGATGACACGAGGAGTATGTGTGCATTATTGGCGATAGTAGTTCTTTCTATCTACTTTTTTGTTCTGTGTTTTTTACTACTTAGAATGTAATTGTAGTTTGTCTATGTGTAATAGGTGTAATACATATACTTCAGTAGTAAAAATGCAAAGTATGTACGTATTTTTCTTAGAACTTTAATAAAAGTCATCCGGGTATGAAATATGGGTAATATTTCATACCCATATATCAGTGTAAGTTTAATTAATTAAAAAAAATCGTTGCAATACCTGATATATTGTTAATTCTTCGTCCCATTTATTCTTATCCCAGTAGTCGACTTTGTTTTCACTGCTATACGCACCTACACCCTTAACTGGGCACAAATATTCAATTACTTTTTGCTGAAACCAAAAACATAACAAATAGGATTTCTTTAAAACAATTAAAAGTACTTAACAAATATGTTAAGTACTTTTAACATATTTGCCGATTTTTGTAATATCATATTGTATGGATAAATATGACATAAAAGAGCGTAGTGGCTTATTTCATTAATACTGGGTATTACACACCCAATGTTTTGTCAGTCCAAATTGTATACAATAATACTATTTTTTTCACGAATATAGTATTAGCACAGATAATATAATATTACATACAGATACCCCATCCCATACAAGAAAATGGTTCCTTCCTAACTCGGGCTATTTTATTTCGCCGCCGTAGGCGCTAGATGTCGCTATATCTGAAGCAGTTCGGATTACTAGTTGGTGATTAGTAATAAAGCATGAAAATAGATGGCAGAGAATTCGGTCTACATGACATCTGTTTTGCAAAGATACGTACATAATAGATATATAACTGTATCGAACTCCTGATTGGGTACAATCGAAAATTCAATGTAGGTATAATATTGTTCGCTGACAGTCTACAGACACGGCTAATGTACCTATGTATCTATGTACTATGTTACAGTTACTTTTTTACATTAGGCATGTGTGGCTTTTTTTCTCCCGACGAAGATATGTCGTAACGCGTCTGCACTAAAATCGGGCTATCGGTTAAGGAGCAATAGCTCCTTAACGAATAGCCCGATTTTAATACGGTTTTTTTTATTTAAATTGTTATGTGATAGTGATAGATTTTAGCTATAATCAATTGATGTGCATATGGGTACCTCATATAATTTTCAGTGTATAATTATTTCTCAATATGTAGTTAATTATGGTAAACTGGCAATTTGTAAAACTGAAAATAATATCTGCAAACCATCAATCTGTTATATGTAGGTTCTTTCAGGGATACTACATCGGTGCTAATGACATGTAGGTTATTTTGATGTTATACCTATTTGTAGAACCTTCGATATCTACAAACTACGCCTTTACTGCTAGTTTTTTGGTATTCATGTAAGTTGTTATTCAGTTGAAATTAAGCTGCGAAATTACAGGATATTTGGACATAACATCTATGTTCTCCGGAATGATAACGTATGCGGGATATAGCGGGCACGACATGATGACGTAATGCTGTTTAATAATATATGTGTATGTATGTACGTCGGATAGCGTCGTGGTTGGATGGATCGTCAGCTTATCTACCATTTCAGTTAATAATAGTAGGTAGTAACTTTTGACAATATGGATGAAGGAGGGTAACGGTGATGATGATGAGATCAATAATGACTGTTGACGATAGTGACGGTGGTATTTATTTATGACCACCATAAAATTCATCATTGGCAGTATTCTCAACATTATCATCATTGTTCATCATGATGATTGAGATCAAATTAATTAATTGATTAAAAAAGTAGCAAGTATTAGGTAGGTACTAAGTCCTTATATGACTTAAATACAAGGTTCTGGGATGCTCTGATATACTACAGTCTCTAGATTTTGTTTCTTATTAGTATTCCACGACCAAAGTCTATAGACAGGGAAATATAGATTTACACAAAGTTTTTTGATGTAAATGGGAATTATTATACACATTGCACATTGCATTGCATAGTAAATAATTCCTGACATTTTAAATCGAATGAGGTGAAACTAACATTGCATGAACACAACACTTGAAGATCATAACATTTTCATTTCGGGTAATAAAACACTTTTTAATAATTTATTAATCACAGAATAAACAATTGTTAATAATTTACAATAATATTTCGTTCACTGCTTGTCTGTTATACCACTAAAACTTCAAACACTTCTGTTATTTTTATATTATATTCCAAATAAATCAATATCAAGACATAATATTTCATCAAAATCATTTCATAATTAATTCCTGGTACACAAAATATTCCTGGATTTGTTGATGAAGCAATATAATAATAATCATGAGCTTAAATCATAAACTTATTTGTAGTCGGTTACACATAATATAATTACTTGGAATTTCTTCTCATCACTAGTCCGTTGCTTTCTTACTTATTTAATTATATTATTAATTGCATTGTGATTAATAATTTACAGATTTTTCTTCTGCTTTTTTCTCTTATTTTTACTTGCATTATTATTTTATACAGTAAAATGTTATTTATCTTCATCTGAATGACTAGGAGATTTAGAATATCATCTCTTATTTGTTTAAACTTTGTTCAGTATTAAGTTGTTGATGTGGGGCTGTTCAAGTATTACGTAAGCAGATTTATCACAATTATTTACCCCCCATCCCCCGTTGTCAGCAAAAGTAAGCAAAGCTCTTACCCCCTCCACCCATGCTTACGTAAACATCTCTCAATTAATGTATTGTTTTTTTTAGCAAAGATGTGAGGGTTGCCATTCGTGTAAAAAAGTAAATACGAATATGACGTAATCATCACAGACTCCCCCACCCCCATGTCATCCAAAATAAGCAAATAAAAGACCCCCCCGCCCCCCTATAGTGCTTACGTAATACTTGAACGGCCCCTGTCAGGAAAATCTGAAAACAATATCATATACCATGTTACATTTTCATGAACTTACATGAATGAATTTACATGAAAGTAACTAAACTGTAACCTTATTAGCACAATAAACATATTATTCATACATCATATTCATTCAGTTCTAATAAAATATAAAAATAATACTACTGTTTAGTACTTTATTTTGATTAATAATTTTCAGTATTTTCTCAATCAATCAATCAAAAATTATAAAATCAGTGTTAGTTTTTTGAAGTTACATTCATAACAATAATAAAAACATAATAATACCACATTAAAGCGGTCACCAAGTACCTATGTTTATTATATTTTAATATGAAAGATACACACGCATACATATGCAAGTTTTTAACAACTTATTATATATTTATACCTGGTATGAGATAATCCTCAAAGACACGATAGTTTACTAAATATTTGTAGTAGTCCTTAGACACATTTAAATTATTGAGTTTGACAAAAAAATAAGAAGTTCAAGGAACTCTGAACAGGAACAATTCAAAAGTTGAAGTACCTACTTAACTTAAATGATGAAAAAAGAGAAAAAATCCAATGCTAGTGAAAATATGTTTTAAGCATTTGACTTAAAGTCGTTTATCCTATTCTTTTATTCCTATATTTTATATTTTTAACATTTCATGTATGTTGCCAGTACTCGTTGTCATTTCGATATAATAAAAAAATATGGACCAACCTACGATTTAAAATCGATATTTTTATTTGTGATGAAATCTAATAATATAAATTATGAATAACCTACCCTCGAATGGAGATATTAAAAAACTAATTATCATGAATAGTAGGTACTAGGATCAGTAATATATCATAGTATTATGAATGATTATCGTTTCAAAACCTTGTACAATTTAGTAAGGTTGAAAATATCCTTCTACAAAAGCAAAATTCGAGTATTTGTAAAGTTTCCTATGAGTATTTTAAAAAATTCGAGGATCCTCATATTTAGCTATCAATGTCAGTAATTTAGATACCATATAACACTTGTTTATTGAGGTTTCATAAAGGTATAGCTGACCTTATATACTCTATACCACATTCAATTCTCATTCATTAAATTACAATAAGTAGGTATTTATTTTTTTAATAGAAGAACTATGTCACTAATGTTATTAATTGCTATAATTACCAGGGTGACCGCGTGGAGGTTGATATAATAGAGTACACTTATATCAGATCAATCTAATTAATATTTCCCTCTTCAAGTTTCGAAGTTATGAGCGAACAGATAAATATATAGTACTTGCATACCTGTCAAAATCTCTCTATTTTACCGTCGTCGAGTAAAAATTATGCATTGCAATTCGTTCCAAATAAGAATATAATACAAAATGATGAAATTTTACTGTTTGCAAAGACTAATTAAAAGCACCATCGAATAATGCGTTGTAATATCCTGTTATCGATTATTCGAAAAAATCGATAAATCTATGCATTTATTTTTAATATGGCAACACTTTCTAAATAAGTATTACTGAAATAATATGGTTTTCTTGTTTAGCTGTTTTATATTTACTTAAACTTTTTTTATGTTTAATTTATCATAATAATATAGTAAGTACTTATTATTTGAAAATATAAAATAAACTTTAAAATACGGTGATACAAATGAAAACAGCGCCATCTATGAAAGTATTTTGGAAACAATAAGCCCCAATTAGCAATGATTAAATTGTAAACAAATACAGGGCAACAACAAAATGAGTAAATATATGAAAATTACTTTTCAAAACGCATTATTTCATTTTAACATCTATATATGACTTTTTAAAAATAGAATAAACCTTTTTAAAAACATAGTTTTGGGTTTTAAACGATTACAAAACAATGTTGAATTCCATTCGATACCAATGACGCCATCTAAATCCGTTTTTCGAACTAAAAATGGCTACTATGCCATTGATCCCCACTGGTATTAGTGTACTGTTTATACACTAATACTATTTTTTTCACGAATGAAACACCTATAACTAACTAGAAATTAAACTGAAACACGTAGGTAGCATTCCATTACCCTTTACAGAATAACTAGTCTAGTATTATTCAAGTAGACAAGTCGAAATATATATAACTCAAAGGTGACTGACATAGTGATCTATCAACGCACAGACCAAACCACTGGACAGATTGGGATGAAATTTGAAATGCAGGTAGATGTTATGACGTAGGCATCCGCTAAGAAAGGATTTTGATTAATTCTGTACCCAAGAGGATAAAATAGGGGATGAAAGTTTGTATAAAACTTTGTCAATTTTAAACCGATCGGGCTGAAACTTTGCATGCATAAAGCCACTATGACGTAGGCATCCCCTAAGAAAGGATTTTGATAAATTCCACCTCCAAGGGGATAAATTAAAGCGAGCGAAGCCGCGGGCAAAAGCTAGTAATAGTATAGTTTGGGATTTGGGATGTGGTAAAGATAATGCAAGAACAACGTGAAAGAATAAGTTAGTATTGCCCAAAAGTAACCTAACGTGATTTCAAAGAAATGTTTTTTACATGGCACATAAAATATTTAATGGACTACCTACAGATTTAATAGAACTGACAGGACAACATTATCAAAACAAATTGATTAAATGGCGGTTAGTGCACTGTTTCTACTCTATAGATTATTTAAATTATAAATACTATGAATAAAAATGTAATGTAATGTATTAATAAGATAAGATAGTAATAATAATAATAATTGTAAAAACATTATATAATAATCGTCAAATATTAAATTTGAATATAATAGTTATAACGTACATACGTTATAACAATTAGAACTTATAAACTTTAACTGTAAACTTTTTAGGCCTAGTAGGAAATAAAAATTTGCATGCCTACTGTAAAAAGGGATATTACGGCGCTGCATGCTGATATCATCACTGTGGCTAAATTGTTTACTTATCTGTAATGCAAATAAAGGACTTACTTACTAGCTGTCCGCGACTTCGTCCGCGAGGAAAACAACTTTAATTTTATAAAATAAAGGATTTTTCTAAAATAAAATTAGCCTAAGTTACTCCTCATTACTACCTGCCAATAAAAGTTCCATTAAAATCGGTCACGCCATTTCAGAGATTACCCGGAACACAGGCAGACAGACAAAAATTACATTAGCAAGACATTATATTCATATGCATATAGTAGAAAACGATTATTTCAATACATATTACAAACACTTCAATTTAATTTATATATATAGATAATATAATTTATAAAATATGAGACATAATAATAATAACATTACTGATAGCTTTGCAAATGGAGGAAAAGTTTTGTAACTTGTTGTAAGGAACGTAGTTAATGAGTGGTTCAAATTTAGATATCATATTTGCATATTACATTTACTGTTCTTGTTTACGTCATTATCATTAGAATCAAGCATATTAATACATTGTACAAAAGTACAAACTGTATTACTACTGTAGTACTGTATAAACTATAGTACTCTAGTTTATTTTCAGATGGATAAAATATGTAATGATGTCTAAGAAAACCGTATACAACGGTGGGGCACCAGTGGATAATATGTACATAGATGGGCTAACTGATTTGATTAGATGATAACATGTAATCAAATCAGTTAGCCCATCAGGAAAGATTCACTTACAATTAAACACAATAATTTACAGAGAGAACCATGCTGTGGTCTGTAGTAGTATAGATGTGTTTTTTTAAAGGATGAAAATGGAATGGTACATTCGATTGTGTTAACTGTTTATGCTGCCAGAGCACCAGTGGAGGATAAGATAAATATGAGGTCAGGCCAATAAACCCATGGTGACAATTTTCTTAGGAATTTATTGCAATGGTATCCAGGGGGGAACTGCGTGGAGTTCAAATGGACATGGTACATTGCTAGCAATGGTGACATTAATCCACATTACTAACAATCCACTTTCCCCCCGTGTAGGTGTGTTGTAAATTGTTTCCTACCTTTGCATGGTTAACCCTGAGGATGTAATACATTGTATTTTCACATAAAATTACATCACACATCTTAAAAAAATTAATGTGAAAATACACTGTATCACATTCTCAGGGTTAACAATTAGAATACAATAAATTCGTTCTGATATAAATTGCGATATTTGCGCCAGTTATCTCTATTATACTTCTTTTATTGTCATGTTAATATAAAACTTTATTTTACTGAATATAGATATACAACTTTAGTTTTTAAATCATGTGTTAATTTGATAATGATATAGATACAGAGTGGGTGGAACAATAACAGTATTTCCTGCAACTATTCTGTTGTTTTGTACAAGAATATGCCTTGAGCGACATTATTGTATTAGGACATTTCTATAATCTCACTACAAAGTCAACCATACCAATAATCATGTTAATGATTACAGCATTTGTTTCTTTGCATTGCCACTGGGCTTTTGTGAGTTAAGCAACAGGCAAGTTTTTAATGCATATTCTTGGCTTAATTTACTATTTACATTTAGAATAAAAAGAAATGTATTTACTAAGTTTATCCTAATAATATTCATAAATATATATGTATCTAACCACATATACATATCCCAGTGTATCCATAATGTACATCTTATTTATTTTTTGTATTTCCAACCATATACATAAAAATAATAATTCAATTTTACCTGTTGTTCAACTAAGGGAATATTGTTCACTAGAAAAAAAATTCTCTTCCCGCCTTGTCCCCAGGGTTTTTGAAGTTCATGTCTGAACCTTTTGATTAATTGAGCAGCAATAAAAGTTTTTCCAGAACCTTAAAACCAAGCCAAAGTATTAAAATGAATGGAATCTGTTTATAATGATTTTGTAGGGAAATAACAAATGGATGTCATACAAAGCATTTTGTAAAATAAACAAACAGTATTCAAATGATCACTCTCACCTGTAGGTAAATGTATAATAGTATTTTTTCTTATGGCGATTTCTTCCAACTGATACTGATAAGGTCTACATATTAATCGCTGCTCTTCCACATTTGACACCATTTCATCCATGCTGATAGAGTGGCTGTGCGGATAAAAAAAAATATATTATACTGTATAATAAAAATATGAGAAAACAACTTAAATATACAAAATACATTAAAATAGAAAGGAGCTGCATATACGAATATAAATTATTACAATTAAATATGATGAAAAAGAATATGCATAAATTGATTTGTAGGCAGAAACTTTTTGTCAAATTCATTGTTATGAAATATATGCCAATCATGATGCAATAATCAAAATTGATTGTTCTACAAGTGGGATTGTTTTGCAACCATGAGTCTTGTGAATGGACGCACAAGAGTCATTGTTTATCTGGTTAAGAGAGGCAAATGATAATAATGGTTTACCACCAACTAAGGTGTTTATAAGAGTGCAGTATATGTAAATCAAATTATCCAAACCAATGTTTTATTTTTGTGTATCTATAGACATTTAAATAAATTGCAACAACAATAACAATACAGCATGTCCCAGAAGTCAACATCAAGCTGGAATCGGGTAACAGGTAAGTCATAATAATAAACCAAAAAATAAAAAATCTGAATTACGTTTTAGAAGACTTACAGGCATTTTAAAATTAAAGTTTAAGTACCAGATTCAAGAATAATATTAACAAAATTAAGGTTTCTGGACATATAAATATTAAATTGAATTGATACTTTTAATATGTGTAGTCTCAAATAATACATTGTATTATTTCAAATTATATAGTCAATTAACGAAATAATAAAATAAAAAGCCTACCTTTGAAAATAACATTAAAATACAACTTTTAAATTTAATACACTAAATATATTTCAGATACTGTTAATCACAGAAGTTTAAAAACCAAGAACAACTCTAATGAAATGCAATGTAAATCTGAATGCCGAAGACAGAAAAGTCACTGACACACACTACGTCTAGGAAAGTCTATAGTTATCTTTATTCAGTGTTGCCACCTGGACGTCTGGCTTTGTCCTCAAATTTCGTCAAAAATCCTACTTAAATTCAAATTTTCAATGCAATCCATACCATAAAAAAGTATGTATTAGCAGAATTTATAAACATGATCGTTATTCAATATGAATTACAAGTAATGTTTCAGATATTTTATTACTTGTAGGAAAATGAAACTGAATAAAGTATTTTTATCTATTATAGCGACATATTCGTATTTAGAATAAATATCACTATTACGTCATTGTGCGAAGCAAGAAAAACTAGGAGGTCAACAATTATATAGAAAATACTGGTTGACTTATCGTGGTGACTTTAACTCTCGACAACTTGCTGAACGTAATACTTCTGTATTAAAGTTTGTGGACTTCTCATGTCTCGGGTAGTCATTGTCGCGTTAGTTATTAAAGATTGAGTATTAGTAACATTGCGTCCGTCGCGTCATGTCATCTTTTGGTTCAATAGTTTTTGCGCTGTCTAGTGCGTTAGATATAACAGTGAATTGTCATTACAATTGTTTTTTCTTAAATTTTACAATATCCATGGTGTTTTATTTTAGTTTTCGTCAGTCTCGTCTATGTTGCTACGCGCTATGTTGCAAATATAAACTACAAATAATGTTTTAGATATTTTGTTATTCATAGGAAAACATTCAGTTTGAATTTGACCTATAATTTTTTTTTATGTATGCTCTTAGCGACATTTCGTTTTATGATTAATATGGATGAATGAAGTAAGGAAAGTAGTTGAAGAATGGGAAAGTTGGAAAAAAGCTGTAATCTGGCAACACTAAATTACTCTTTGGTACGTCGTTACCCAATTCATTGACTGGTATTATTGTGATTGGTCCAGATTAGTTTAGTCGTGCTTGACTTTTTTTTAATGTCAAGGCACGGCATGGTGCTACATTTGCCAAAGACAATTAATAAACGATTTTGTAGAAAAGAAATTTGCATCAAATAATCGTCTGGTGATGGAAGCACTGATATCAATCGTACAAAATTACTCATACAGTAATAAATACCCGCAATTACCGCCTTTTATGCTCTAAATTGGCTACAAAAAATATATTAGAAGGTACTGATGTGTCTCTTTATATACTTTAGTAATAGAATACATAATCGACTTAACTCGACACTCGCCGCGCTTCTGTTTTAATGATGTCTCCACATAACTTTGATTTAGCTTGTAAAATTTGTTTGAATCTCAGGTAAGATAATATGTATATCATATGAAGCGTTCACTTCGCGTTTCTCGTAAGCTTACGTACCACAGGATGAACTAAAATTATAATAAGTCGTAGTACAAATATTTCATTAGTCTACTAACTCTTTATCAAGATACAGGAACAACTACAAATCACATCATAAATAACTCTACAGTGGTAAGGTAATGTTTAATAGTTTCATGGTGAATTTACCGATAATTTCAGTTACGGATATTATTTTTTTAAGAAATTTCAAAAGTAAAATACATATAGCTAATATAATAGTTCCATAACGTGTCCCAATTAGGCTCCGCCTCTATACGATATTTGTAAAATTTTGGATTCAGTTACGGTTACGAATATCGGATAGTTTCGGTTACGGTTACGGTGCTTCCTACATCCCTGATGAAAACGTCAAAATTGCGGCTGTATGAGGTTAAACTCTTTGCCTTTCTGTAATGATAAACGAACAAAAAAAAAAACAAGAAAATTGTCAAAATGTTCAAAAGAAATTTATTTTTATTGCTACCATTAAATAATGTTTTTGATTATTAAATCATCACAAAATAGAAACAAACTACTTTTTCTATACATTAGCTTAATATTAATTGTATTTGTAACAGTTGTGTCCCCAGGAGGTAATTTTAATATACAGAATTTTTAGTTGCTACTACTTCTACTTATTAACTTTAAACGAAACTTTTAACTTATTAAATGTTATAGTTAATCTATATTCCTATTTTTTATAGCTAATGACCTACATTTTAGCGATGGGTCATCTACGGCTGATGCAATCGCAGGAGATGTTTTTTTTGAGATCTTAGATCCACCTGAACTTAGATATTCATATCGCATTAGACCAGCCAAAGATTTTGGTACAACTTTCGTGAGTATTCATTATATTTATTATTTCCTTTACCACTTGTTGTACAAGAAAATTGTAGTACATTCTGAGGATGAGTTTTCAAAATATTACATCATTATTTTTTTAGAGTGTCACATAGTGGTTTAGTAACTTGAATTACCTCATGAGGACAACTGTTCAAATCTGGCCAACATAAAAAAAATGTGTGCAAATTTATATTACTGACTGATCTTTTTGTAAATAATTCCTTTTATACATCTGAAAAATGGTAAGCTCATCACATGCTATATTTGATTCAAATGTACGCAGTGAAATATGGACAAGTGTTGTGTTCACCAAAACATTGACAGTTGACAATGTCTCTGACTCCCCCGTCTGGGACCAAAGCTGTGGCAGTTATTTGTTTTGTTGTATTTTTATAACCTATTACCTAGTATTATGCTAGTAGCTTTGACATTTTGTAGCCTCTATGTATTGGGTGAATAATTTTTACTAGCCTATTCATTTATACAATATTCATTTACTTTCCATCTTCTGCATCTACTGTCAAATATTTATCTTAATTACAAAATTGATAATTTCTATCTGTTTTGAAAGGAAACTTTGAACATTAAATAATGAAACCTAGTGAGTAAAGCCTTGGAATTTGCTTCTAGAATTTCATATGCTTTATTTGTAATTTCAGAATGGAAGTCTCCAATTCGAAAAAGCTCGTTTGGTTCCTACAGTGCCTTTACATAGTTGCTCAGATATTATTAATCACGAGGACATCGTGGGACATATAGCATTATCTGAAAGAGGGTTAGTTATTTTAAGCTTAAAATAATTGAGCACATCAATTAGTAGTTGACATTGATAGTTTCTGATGTCATGTGTTAGGATCCTACTGTACACCCTGAATATGAATGGTTGGTTAGCTATTTGTCTTCATAACTCGATGAGTGAGTGACAAATATTAACAAACAATTCTTTAATAGTTGGGACAACTTCCATATAAATCAGTAACATATCTACTATTAATATTTTTTTTACGAGTGTTGTATATAATTATAAATTCAATTAAAATTTGTGTGTGATTTGAATGTGATGTAGTGAATTAGATAATGTAATGGGTTTTTATATTTTTAATGTTTTATTGTTTCCAGTGATTGTTCCTTTGTTTTCAAGACAGCTAAGGCTCAGCAGGCTGGTGCTAGAGCATTGATTATTACTGAATCTGTTGATAAGTGGGATGAATCCCTGGACCATCTTATTGAAATGGTGGATGACAAGTATGTATTATTTTTAAAAATTAATAGTTTTGTACTAAATTAAATTAATACAATATCTCAGTGAATTCACTCACCATAATTTAAGGTTTTACTTGTAAATAAAAAATGCTTTATCATTCACACTTGCATACTGTGAAGGTTTGAGATATTGCTATAAATGTGGCTTGGGTTGAAAACATGGATCTTACAATGAACTTCTGAAATATTTCAATCTGGACCCTTTGTATAATAGGACAAAATAATGATTTTATTTTGTTACATGAAGTTATTCATCATCAGTTAAACTCCTCTAATCTTCTATCTCTATTAAATTTTAATTGAGATTTAGATCATGCAATTATAACTATAATACTTTTTATTGTAGTCTAAATTTATTCAAATAACACTTCACATTAAAATTCAATAGCTGGGAAGTGTGCCCAATAGAATGAAATTTTTGTCTCAAATATGGATATTTTCTATTTAATACTTTTTCAGTTCCAAAAAATAGAAATAGAAATAATCTTTATTCAAATAAACTCATTACAAGCACTTTTGAATAGTCATATTTTGATTCTACCACTCATTCGGAATGCAGATTCATCACAAGAAGAATGAGCAAGAAACTTGTGTGTTGCTCTTTTTAATAGATTTTTTTATATAAATAATTACACTATAACAAGTAAGAGGCATGCGATAATCAACATAGAAATCGCTATGCACTCATTATTAGTGTAATTAGATAATATTGTCAGTGCTATGGATTTAAAGTTTTTCTATAAAAACATTATTATTGTTAACAAATTCTTCAATTTTATAGTTAGCTTTTTTGCAAAGGAACTGTTTTATTTGACATTTAAATCTTTTTTCTGGCAGATTTATAACAGACTCTGGTATTTTATTGTAAAACCTTACGCAATTGCCATAAAACGAATTACTACCTTTAAAATCAGTTTGTTATTGTTACGTAAGCTTTTATTGGTGCTGATTGCACCAATAAAAGTAACTCAACTAACTCTTTTGAAATTGTCTATATTCTTCCTGGCATAGATGATATTTTCATAAATGTGTTGAGAAGCAACGGTTAGGATATTTGATTCCTTAAAACACTCTCGCAATGACTCCCTGGAACCCATACCATAAATGGAGCGAATGGCCCTCTTTTGTAAAGTAAATATTGTATTTATATCAGCTGCTTTGCCCCATAACAAAATACCATACGACATAATGCTATGGAAATAGCTAAAATAGACAAGTTTAGCCGTTGCCATGTCTGTTAATTGTCTAATTCTTCTTACCGCATAAGCAGCAGAACTAAGTCGACTCGCTAATTTAGTAATATGAGCACCCCATTGCAACTTGGAATCTAATGTGACGTCTAGAAATACAGTATCGTCAACAAAATTAATAGATTTATTGTCCAATACGATTTTTGAATCTACTGGCCTTACATTGGGGAGAGTAAATTTGATACATTTAGTTTTATTTGCATTTAGTAGCATATTATTAGCAGTAAACCATTTCAAAACATAAGAGCGAGAGCACCATTTACTTCGTCCATATCATCAATATGTCGATTGACTTTGAATACTAATGAAGTATCATCAGCAAACAGAACTATGTCAGCTATCTTTTCTACTATATAAGGAAGATCGTTTATGTAAACTAAAAATAAGAAAGGACCTAGAATAGGAGGAGCCCTGAGGAACACCCATTTTAATACTAGTTCCCTCAGACGTTACACCATTTATTTCAACAACTTGCATTCTATTATTTAGATAGGACTTCATCATGCTTAGTGCTTCATATCTAATACCGTAATGTTCTAGTTTGAGTATGAGTGTTTCATGATCAACGCAATCAAATGCTTTTGAGAGGTCACAGAATACACCGATAGCATCCTGAGACCTCTCCCAACAGTCAAAAATGTGTTTCATTAAAGCTACACCAGCGTCAGTAGTTGATTTACCGGCTGTGAAACCAAATTGCTGACTGTGAAGCAGTCTATTTGTTTTAAAGTGTTGAAGCATTTGATTGAGCATAATTTTTTCAAACACTTTACTTAGTACTGGTAAAATAGAAATGGGCCTATAATTACCTACTTCAGTTTTATCCCCTGACTTATGAAAGACAGTCGTAAATCCACCATAGACAGTCAAATTGAAATACTGTAGAATAATATTTAATACTAGCTGTTCAGAGATTAGCCGAATCAAACAGACAGACAGACAGACAGATAGACAAAAATTATAAAAAATGTTATTTTGGTGTATGCACCGTATTTATATTCATATGCATATATGTATTCATAAAACCGTTTTTTACTGCATAGTAAAAAGTAAAAACAGACACTCCAATTTTATTTATATGTATAGATTGTACCCAAAAGTATTCATACTGTTTTCTATTACATTCTGTTTACTATACTTTTTATTATCTACCCTATATTGCATGCATACCATATATTGCATCCAAACAAATGTTTGTATTGAATGTAATCTGTTTTGTGTGATAATAAATAAATATAAGAAAAATTATATAATTTTTATGGGTATTAGTTACTGCAATATATAGTTAGTTACTACAATATAGAGTTCAGTATCCAAAAGAGATTGAATACTTAGTGTTAACTAAAAATAAACTTGACTGTTCTTTTTTAAATTAATTGTTTCAACTAATTGTTGCCTTTTTTATTGTGGATGATCTACTAAGAAACTATTGAATGGAAAAGACTAGACTCTTTGTCCAGAGTTGCTCTTGAATATAGTGTTAGTTACAGTATAATATCTCTAAAATGTAAATAATACACTAGCATTATTAGTAATTCGCTTAGTCCTTATTACATGTTTATATTTACTCACTAAGTGTTTCTTAATTAAAGGTTTTAAACTATCTATTTGAATTAAATTTTTGTTTTTGTTTTGCTTGATTTCCAAAATATTCTATATATATATAATAATATAATAAGAATAAAAGATACAAAAATTTAAAATAGTATTTTTTATGGATTTCAGAATGGAGTTAGATGTGAATATACCTGCTGCTTTCCTGCTCGGGCGAAGTGGTGCTACCATAATGCGGACGCTGAGACGTCTAAAGAAAAGTTATGCAATAATTAATTTACCAATTAATATGACACATGTGCCTATTAGTAGAATGAATCAACCACCATGGATTGCATGGTAGTTTTGTAACTTTGTACTATAGCTGTGATTTGTTTTTTTGGGTATTTATTTATTGTTATGTTACTAGGGCAATTAATCAATAATTTTACACAGGATTACACAATATATGCATTATATATTATAATAATTAATAATTTTAACTATTAGATATGGGACTTTATGAACATTCGTTGGCTTTAGTATTCTCTAAGATTTTTATGTCCATATTTCGCATATCTAGCGAAAAATAGTTATTTTAATTAACTTGTACTATATAAAACTTACATTAAAAGACTTCAGCTTGTTTAATTAAAGACACTTGATCGAAAGTTACTTAAGGCATATGTTGTATACATTTCCAAATATAGGATCAATACCACTACTATTTACTCCTAGCCTAAGCCTTGGAATGCTCTGAACATGATAGCAGTAACAGGTTTCAACCACCATTCAGAGTGACTCTCCTAATATTTGGTACAATTCTAGTTTTCTTGTATATTCTTGAATTGTCTCTTTAAACTTGCTTAGAAAATAGATAGCAAAATCTCCTGGATCTTGGGAGACTTAATAATTATTTCTTTTTTTCACAATTCTTGTAATTGACATGAAACTCATATTCTCTGAGGTATTCTTTCTTCTCTGAGTATCTTGAATTTCATTCATCTATTTCATTAATCTCATTCTCATTAATTGAATAATTAAAATAGTAAAGTATTAAGACTCATGGACAAAAATGTAAGTATTGCATCATAAAGACCAAATATATTTCTATATTGAAAAAAAAACACACATAAAAGTAAGATTTTTACTCTTTTTTCTTTATCGCAGTTGAATATGTAACCGATAATATCCGCATTTTATCTGGAGCTAACTATAGATTTGGTTAAATAACGGTGGCTAACGAGTTTTTTTTACAATACAATGATCCGTCCGCAAAATGGGAGACTATGGTAATCAATATGTATACAGATGTCAGTACTCACTAAATGTATATTCATTACATTCTTACATAAAATTAAAACTGATTACCAAAGACTGTCTTCCAATTAAGTGTTTTAAATATATCTAAAGCTAAATAGCTAGCTAATAGTATTACATTTATAAAATCTTCAGCCCATTTTATAGTGATTATTCCCTCAATGGATAGATATCATATGTAATAATCTTTATAGCAGAGATAACTTTTTGAAAGATACCATTTTAAAATGTATATTTTTTGATAAAACAAAAGCAGCTTATTCATAGATATATACAATTTATAGCAATCCATCATATGAAATAGCAACAGTCCTTATATTCACGGTTGTGACTTTGTTGTATAGTCATCATCGGACCGGAATGAGGTAAGTGTGGTGTCATAAAATGTTATGTCCTAGTACCTGTCAAATGTCGTTTAATAAAAACAGCATTGCATTTAATAGAAATTTGAGCATAGTCTTCTCTACCAAGTCTGGGTGTAGCCTATGTATATGTGTATTCTTTACGGCACAAAACACATAGGAATCTGTTTTGTACCTGAAAGAAAAAGAATAGTCCATCTCTACCACAGTACACTATGCTCATTACTCGAGCCTTGAAAAATAATATTATGAAATGGTGGTTTTTATATAACATAAGCAAAGCAATATACTTTTTAGAAAAAATATTACTATAAATGTATAATTTTAAATATTTAACAATCACGATTTTACCAAATTCGATAAGTGAGATATTATCCAGAGTTAATCTGTAAATGATATTATGCCAAGTACTAGGTAAATTAAAGGGATGGATTTTATGGATGTTAGTAAAATTGCTAGCCGCTTGCGAAAAGGTATACAGTGCTCTAATAGAGGGTGATTGGATGAGCATAAATACTGTTAGTCTTTAATGATAATTTTAACCCTGCTAACCGTTATAGTTACCAGGGAAGACTGCATATGAAAATATAGTTTCATTTCTACATTTTTTTTAATGAGCATTTCATCTGGCTTTTGAAATATTCGTTATGAATAACACTGTTCAAGGCAGGTAAAGTACATGTTTAAAATCCGTATTTTATTTAATACAAATCTGTGTCGGTTTTATAGACTGTTTATTAAAGTTTAACAAGCTTCATTGATAGCAGTTTGGCATTTCTCGGCAATTGGCAATATTTATGTAGGTGGCTCGGATATAATTATTATAAGAATGTTTGTATTTGTAAGATGGTTTCTATATTTACCTATTTTAATAACTTAATTTGAGGCAATAATTTACTACCAATTTTCATAGAAGGTATTTTATGTACGTATGTCATACAATTTTTTTGGTTACTTCTATTGTAGTTTACTGTAGACAGTAGATATACATTATAGTATCTGAATTTTTATTGTACAATAAATCTGCCTGGTCTACGCTGAAGTGTATTCTTAAAATTGATAGAAAACGTTCTTTTGAAACGTAATCAAGATGAATCCAATATATTCGATAACATTGTTAATTGTTTTATTGATAATAAAATATAGAATTAATTCGTTACTAGTGTAATCAAGAATATAAAAAAGTGAGAGTGGATTTGAATTAGTTACAATGGTAGATCGAGTTGGTCATCATTCGGATGGCTTATTGGTATGCAAATGCTGTTTAAAATGTCTGTAATATGGTTAAACAATTATGAGGTTAAATATTGTTTTTAGCTATTCAATAATGTCCTGGGTTCGCAGCTAAGTTGCATAAATGTTATTTTAGCGTTTAGTTATATATATTTTTTTGTAAACACCTAACGATTTAATAAAACGAAGCTCCAATAAATACATATACATATTTTAGAATTATGTTACCAAAATAAAGATTTTTAATTTTTATTGCTGTATTCTTATATATATATTTCTTGAACTGGAACAAATATTTTTACATTTGCAAGAGGGTTTTGAAAATAGGTTGTGTCAAATAAAAGCGATTAATTTAATTTTGTTCATTATAAAACTGATTTTGATTGGTGTTATAAGTTTTTCTTTAAGTCGTGGAATTTTGCAACTCAATTTTGAAGCAGGTACAGTTTAAGTTGAAATTTTGTTTACATGTTTAGTTTATATGACAATACATGATTAGCTTAATGAAGTCATTGTAAGTTATATTTATAGCACTTGTATAATATGAGCATCAAAAGAAATGGTTTACTAAGGATTACTGGAATAGTGACGTCGCTCCAATGTGGTGGACTAAGGTTTTTAGGCCACTCCATTATGTCTTTAAGTATTCGAAGGTTTGAGTGTTATTTACTTTTAATTATTACAGCTGTTAACAAAGCCAAATGTAAATATCACAGAGGTACCCTTACATTGAAGTTGTATCCGCAGGAGTTTGCCTTCAGCTTCTCTATAAGACCTTTTGCAAATTTGGCGTATAGGTTTGTGTGTACTTCACTTGAAGGTTGAGATAAAGCAGTGAAATTAGAGGCAAGACACCCTAGTCATCCGGATTAGCATCGTATGAGTTTTATATTGTCACTATAACTATATCCGTTATAGTGACAATGATAACTATGTCCGTAGTGGTGCTGTTCATGTGTACATAGCAACGGTTAATAATGTCAGCATGTTTACCTCTCCGACACCGGCGCCACTTTGCATACTTCCTCTAATTTATTCTTTATCTTGTCCATTCTTCTCACAACACACATCCATCTCGAAATTCGCATTTCAGTTGAATACAGTCGTCTTTCATCCATCGTTTTTAATGCCCAGCATTCTGATCCATACCTACAAGAAAGTAGTCCGGATGGTCTTGTAAACTTTTCCCTTAAGTTTACACGAACACACGGGAGTCACACGTCGTAACTTGCCGCCACTTCATCCATTCTGCGTTAATTCCGTGCTTTAAAACTTAAAACTTTATTGATTTTGTACAATAGGCGGGCTTAATGCTAATAGCATTCTCTACCAGACAACCTTATTTATGCAATTCTAGAATTAATTACGATAATGAAAATAAATTTTTACTTATATTTTAAGATTTTCCTATATTTCACTACAAAATGTGACATCTATATCTACATATAGTTAAATTTGGTGTGTTTGTTTGTAATATTGAAATAGCCGTTTTATACTATATACCTATGAAATAATGAATATAATACGGTACATATACAAAAATAACATTTTTTACAATTTTTAGTAAATAATGTATGTAATAAGGAGTAATTTAGGTTAGTTTTATTTTAGAAAAATAAAGTTAAATTCCAAGGGGGCGAAGTCGCGGGTACTGCTAGTTATTAATATGATTACTTAAATGCAAAATCGTTCCTGTTGCATATTATATTAATAACTAGCTACCCACCCCGGTTTCACGCGGGTGTACATGTATTATACATTTAAACTTTCCTCTTGAATCACTCTATCTATTAAAAAAACCGCTTCAAAATCCGCTACGTAGTTTTAAAGATTTAAGCTTACATAAGGACAGACAGCGACAGCGACTTTTTTTTTTAATCTATTAAATATTAAGGGTTTATTCCGGAGAATATGCCACCCCCATCGGTGCAATAATACAAAATATTTAAATTATGTTACATTTCCCTTGTTAATGCCAAATTTGACTATATTGATCATTTTGATGGCCTATTCTGTTAATGGGTTATTGAGAATACTATTGCAGAGGCCGATACCATTTCGAATAGAAGGTAACAATTCGCGTCTTTTGGTCTCGTTCCGTGCGCATTCCATAATATGATAGACATCTTCAATTTTTCCACATACTGTACAATTTGGATTTATAGATTTTCTCATTAAAAATGCAAAACTATTTAAAGGAAAATGTCCAGAACGAAGTCTTAGTGCCAAAACAATATCTTGTCTACTCATATTAGAATGTTCAAACCAGGGAATGCGAAGGAGATTAGGTTGGATTGTTTTATACCATACCTTTGGATAGAGATGTTTCATCAAAGTACTCTGACCACAGTTTCCAACAGTCTTGTCTTATAATTGGTAGTAAATCTGAGAAACCTGGCATACAATTAAAGTTAAGCCCATTCGAAATAGCCTCTGGCCAGTCTATCCGCCTCCTCATTCCCAGGCAGACCAATATGCGCCGGTATCCATTGTATTCTTACACATATATCTTTGAGTTTAGTTATAGTTTTAATTATCTCATAGGCCAATGGTAGTCCTCTAAAAACAGAAGTACATTAAATAAAATTAAGTAATGCGCTTTTGGAATCAGTGAGAACAACAACCTTTCTGTAAGGTAGTGATTCGATATATGCTAACGTCTCGGCAATGGCAACCAACTCTGCATGCATGATACACATTTGTGTATTTATTTTTAATTTAAGATAAATGTTTTTCTGAATATCTATGAATGCTGCTCCAATTTTGTTGTTGTCACTTGATCCATCTGTATAAATTTTGTAGAATTCGTAATATTTATAATTTAAGAAATTATTACGTTTTAATTTTAGTACCTGACTGTTGTATTGATCTTTAGGTTTAACTACGATATTAATATTAGGTTGTATGACATCTGTTAGATCCAAATTGTTGACCCATGTATTTAACGAGAACATATGCAGATATTTATTAGTGTAGATCGACTTGTCCCTCAAAGATGCGTTAACCTTCATTAATAAGGGTTTTATTTTACGTCTCCAAAACAGACCTTGACACAAATCTGCTAAATCATCAATTAGACCAATCAATATATCATCACGGGATTTACATTTAAGCCAGAATTTGCTGGCTAGATATTGTCTGCGAATAAACAATGGCTGTAAGACCAGCTCAGATTCCATCACATGGATTGGTGTGCTTTTCAGAAACCCCCCTATTGTACGCATACATTGATTTTGTATTTTGTCTAATTTAGTTATTTGGACAGCGACTTTGTTTTATAATTTGTAATGAAGTCGCTTTTCGAGTTCCGTATAATTGAATGTTTTTTTTTGTGAAACAGAATGGCTGCGAGTTCTCATCTTTTGATTATAGGTATGTATGTATTTCGATTTTCGATAATTCTGCAAATATCTAAACAGTTTCCATTGTTTTCTATAAAATGTAATGAAGCGTTTAACAAATAAAACAGTAGTATAAAACAAAAGTTAAGAAATCATAACCGAAATCGTAGTTTCGCGTGCATTGTTGAAATCGATAGCATGCGATTTCGTTATTATGAAATGTAACTTGGCTAATGTATCTACGTGTCTGTTTCAAAACACGTTAGATATTATGCCATGAATATAGATGGATACATCGTTATGTATCTACGTACACTTTATATCTTTCTTACTATATTACTAGCTGTTCCTGCGACTTCGTCCACGTGGAATTCAACTTTATTTTTCTAAAGTAAAAGATTTTTTTTTAAATAAATAATAAATCTCTAAAATAAAAGTAGCCTAAGTTACTCCTTATTACATCAGCTACCTGCCAAAAAAAAATCCTGT